TGTCTGCTTTTGCTCCATAGTCGAGCACATTGCATGTCTTCTTGGCCGCCTTTGCTGACGCTGAGGTCAGGGGCCCGACTGAGCCGGAGAGTGATGCAGCGACCAAGCTAGGTACCAGCCCTAGAAGGGTGAGCAGAGTAAAGGCGTGAAGACGCATCGTCGCTCAGAAGCCTCTCAGAAGCAAAACGAAAGGGAATGTGAGGGCATAAGTTGGCAACCCAAGCCTGAAGTGAGCATCTCGGGAGTGCTAAAAACTACCTTTATAGAGCCGACATGTCTGAGACTCGACTCCAAGTCGGCGCTTCACTGGACTACGCCTCCTGGGTAATCTCCACATCTTTAAGGTGAAACTCAGGGGACGAGTGGATATATGGGGACCGTGGCTTGCCGTGATTTTGTCTAGCGAATAGATACCTCCAAAATAATCTTCTGGAAGGCTTCTCACTAAGGCTTCTCACTTGGTTTCTCCACCGATCAGTTGGCGAAGCTTATGTCTACACGGAATACCTCCGAATGGGCTGACACGCGTACCAATGCAACGAAGGGACACGCAGGTAGGAAGCAGGGGTGGCTAGAAACGACAGTAGAGGATGGTGACGCGCAGGCAACGGGCTGATCAGTTGCGACGCATCTATTTCTTGTTCAGTCGGGCCTCTTGCTGCGTTATCGACGTTCCCTACGTACGAGGCTTTGCGTTGCTTCATATATTTGTGTCATTCTGCGAGTTCTGCTTGGGGTCATATTCTTGTTTCAGATGGTGGAGCACCTGCATAGTGAAACAGCCGTTCAACGGAATTGAATTGGATTGTTGGTGTCCTCTAGGAGTGCGTGTGCTTGAACATCCAAATTCTGATTTCTTGTGGTCGGCGGGTTGACCCCTTTCCAGCGGGTTTCTGCGACATTATGGCCATACAACCTCAAAAAATGCAGTAAAAACGACGTAGATGGCAGGAACGACAGTATGACCAGGTATGGCCGTAGCGGCTCCCAAAAAAATAGATGGTTCTTTTTAAGATGGTAAGAGTGGGGATTGGTTTTGACGTCAAGGATTGTGGCTCATTACTTTGTCTTGTAATTCTTCTCATTTCGACGAAATACATAGTACCCTACATGGCGAGAACATGGTCAGTACATGATTAAACGTCACATTGGCTCCATGGTATATTGACAAAATTCTCTATGTACATTAGGGCTATCTATTTATGATCATAAGAATGTACTCACCCGGCCTGCCGGGTTACGACGCAGGGCTGGGAGGCAAGTCCCCGTGAACCAGTCACTCGGGCTCTCCCCCAGCTCAAACTCGAGCGTCCCTCCATTCTCAAAGATATCACCCCATGTCAGCCAATTCTTCCGCCACTGCTTCCCATTAACCTTGAGACTCTGGACATAAATCTTGCTATCACCGTTGCCGTCACCCCCGGTTGCAGTGACACGCAGCTTCTTCCCACCACCCAGATCGACAACCAAGGACTCAAACCACGGCGAATGGATGAGGAACGTCGTCTGCCCTGTAATCGGATACAGCCCGATCATGTTCCAGAGCAGCCATGTCTGCATAGCGCCAGCGTCGCTGTTACCAGGGAGCCCTGCGACGCCCGTGTTGAAGTACTCCTTGGCGACCTTGCGGGACTGCGCGACAGAGAGATCTTGGCGGTTGACGTAGTTGTATAGGTATGGGATGTTGAACATGCTAACTTGTCAGTACCTTCATTCTCTCGTTCTGAGCAGAAGCAGAAGCAGAAGCAGAAGCAGAAGATGATGACTTACGGCTCATTCGTAGGATCAAAGATCATCCCACTGGACCCGCTCGCCCCCTCCGTAAACATGGTATTCAACCGATCGACAACCGTTTTCTCGCCTCCCATCCGCGCAACCATCTCCTTCATATCATGCACGCTCGCCCACGAGTACGCCCATGAGCTCGCCTCGTAGTACGGATCCCCCCAGTACCCGCTGTCCGCCAGGGGATCCGTCTCAAGGAACCCGGACTCGTTACGCGGGACCACAAACCCCGAGAACCCCAGCGACGTCTGCTCCGGATTCCAGTGGTTGCGCCAGTTGCGCGAGCGGTTGAGATACTTCTCCGCGTCGGCGTGTTTCTTTAATCCGGTGGCCACCTGGTACAGCCCGAAGTCATTACAGGCGTATTCCACCGCGCGCGTCACGGCGCGGGTATACTTTGGCGTGATGAACCCCAGATCCAACCAGTCGGGGAGCGCGCCGCGGCCTTCTTTTGTGGATGAATCCGGCGCCATAGGGTCGATGGGGTCGTTTGGGGCGCGACCTCGGCGTCTTTCACTAGGGCTTTGTACCCGTCTTCCCAGTTGACGGAGCCGCGGACGCCCTTGACGTAGGCGTCCGCGAGGATGTTGTCGGCGTTGGAGCCGCCCTGGGTGCGGCCGTTGTAGTTGGAGGAGCGGGCGTCGGGGAGGTAGCCTTCGAAGCGGAAGATGTCGATTAGTGAGCGGATTTGCTCTTCGTAGGCGGTGGGCTGGAGGACTTGCATGAGGGCTGTGGAGCAGCGGAAGAGGTCCTACTCCATTAGTTTGGTCGAGCATGTATGGAACAGGGAAGAAATACCCAGTAAGTGAAGATATCCTGGTAATAGGGCTCTGAGGAGGTCCAGCTGGGGTTCTCGCCTGTCTGGTTTGTCGGGATCAGGTGCATAAAGTACAGCGAGGTGTAGAGCAGCTCGAGGCTGGTGGCGTTTGTGTTGGTGGTGGTCACCTTCGACAAGACGGTGGTGTTCCATTCGGCTTTGGTGGCTGCGACAACAGAGGTGAACTCTGTCCCGTGGGGTATCTCATCCTGGACATGCTTGCATGCCTTCTGCGTGGAGATCCACGAGATCCCAACGCGAGACGTCACCACGTCGTCCTGGAAGGTGAACAGTCCTCCGACGCGAGTCGATCCCGAAGTCGAAGACGCAAAGCCGCTCTCCTGCTTGACACTGCCCTGCGCATCGGTCCCAATATACGTCGCGTTGCTGACCGGCTCAGCATCAAAGTAACCACCTGCAATTGCAACCATTAGCAAGCACCCAAGCAGACCCAAACCAAAAACGCAACTAACAAAAGTAAATAGCCCAATCCGGAGCCCGATTCCACCCATTATCATACACCCCATGCCCCTCATAATGCCCGTCGGCAAAAATCGTCAAATTCCCCCCCTTATACCCCTGGCCAAGCCCCTGCCCCCGAAACGACGGCAAAACATGCGACACATCCACAAGGACATTCCCCGTCTTCCCAGCCGGGAACGTATACCGGTACATGCCCGCGCGCGCGGTAGCAGCCAATTCAACGGTTACGCCGTCCGCCGTGCGCGCGCGGTAGTGTCCCACCTCAGCCTCGTCGGCGCCGGCCCGCGCCACCGTCTTGTTCGACAGCGGGTCGCGGACGTCGCCGACCAGCGGTAACTGCGCGACGGTGCCGTACTTGGGGGCTCCGCCGGTGCCTTGCTCGTGCATCATGCTGAAGCCCGAGAAGGCGCCGGTGGGGAGGTAGCCCGAGTAGGCGTCTGTGCCCGGGTTGAGCAGGTCCGGGCCCAGCTTGACCATGCCGAAGGGGCGGGCGACGCCGGGGAAGTTGTTCCCGCCATTTTGGGTGCCGGTGCTGTGGCTGTCATTAGCATAGCACATAAAATCGAGACAGGGGCTGGGGCTGGGCTGGGCTTACAAGAGGTTAACGTGGGATGTTAGGTCGGTGGCTTTGACGGCGGGATGTAACAGGGTTAGGACTAGGAGGACGCCCAGGCAGGGCATTGTCAGTAAGGCCGCTACTATTGCAGATAGGATAAGTGAGCGGAGACGAGGCCTGGCGGGGGGAGAGTCAGTATTGCCTTTCGTGAATACGATGAAGGTGACCTTGCCTATTGCTTTTGCTGGCGTCTCTGATATAAATCTAAGAACAGTCTACTCAAGCGAATGGATAGTCTACCACACGACCATGGATCACGGTTCTAAACATATAAGCAAGACAAACGAGTGACTGGGAGCCCCTCAGCTGCTGGCGGAGTAACCCGCTACAGGGATAAACTGCTACAACAGTAAGCAATGAATGAGCGGACGGATGGTGGACATCCAGAGAAGAGACGTGTTAGTCGACCAGTGGAGGCATGAGGACTTGACACATGCGACAGTCACAGGCCGAGAGGGGCTGTGAGCACTAGAGGCGAGACTAGAAAAGTAGAATGAGAAGCTACAGGATTTAGACTCCTTTTAGGCTCCATCCTGAGTCCCTGAACTAGACCAGAAAGTAGATAGACTAGAAGTAAGGGATCGACGTGAATTCTTGACTATCATTTGGCAATCAATATATGACCAGTCACAATATACATTCCTCAATAGTGCATCTGATCAATATAACAGGGCTCATCTGCTCATACTTGAAATGACTGCAAAGAATGCAGCATTTCTTCAGTTATTATCACGATTACCCCTGAGTCCTGACACATGGCCAACTGAACCATGGATACAAGCATCAGCCAATCCAGTCACAAGGCTGGATGCGCACATGCGGGTGTCCAGAAAGTCAGCTACTGCAGTACCTAGGAACAAGTCCCTTAGACTAGGGCTTAAGTTTGTGCAACCAGAGCAAATGATCCGCCCACATGCTAGGCAAGCATTCCACTGATTGGTTGCGCAATAAAAGCTCTCTGATAAAGCTCTAAAAGTAACCGCAAATATCAGCTCGCCGGGCTAGCTCAATCGGTAGAGCGTGAGACTCTTAATCTCAAGGTTGCGGGTTCGACCCCCGCGTTCGGCTTTTCTTTTTCTTTTTGGTTTATATTCCTCATGGTCTATTGTCGACCGCCTGTATTTTGATATTGTGTCAGTTTTTATATCTTTTTGATACACTGACTGACCACAGTAATATCGTTGCATGATGCCTTGGCAAACTACTCCTACCATTGACTGAAGTCAGTCATTCAAGCAAAGATGCCATGGTTGTTGAATATATAACAAATCGAAATCAAATTCTTTAGACGCCTCTAAATCAATCTATATCTATAGTATTGCCATGTATCATGCCCTCAATCACCATCCTCTCACCACTCTCCTCCACCAACCCCGGAAAACACCGTTCTCAATCGTCATCAGCTCCCCTGGCCGCCCCATCTCCACCACCCTCCCCCATCCAGAACAATAATCCTATCAAAATCCGCAATTGTCGAGAGCCTATGCGCAATAACCATCAACGTACACCCACGAACCACCTGCCGCAGCGTGCGCTGAATTCGAATATCCGACTCCATGTCGATCGACGCCGTGGCCTCATCCATGATCAGGATCTTCGGCCGCGAGACCAGCGCACGCGCAAGACACAGCAACTGCTTTTGGCCCTGTGAGAGGTTCCGTCCTCCTTCTATGATAGTCGCATCAAGAGAGAATGGTCCCGGAGCATCGCAGTCAGCCGAAAGCAGCCCAACTTCAGTTAGAGCGTCCAGCAACTCGCTATCATCATGCTGGCCAAACGGATCCAGGACCTCGCGCACCGTGCCGGCAAACACAACCGGGTCCTGCGGAATGATGCCCACCCGCGAGCGGAGGTCGTGTAGCCGCACCTGCGCGATATCGATCCCGTCGATGTGGATGGACCCGGACCGCGCGTCCAGGCAGCGAAGCAGCGCCAGCGCGAGCGAGGATTTTCCCGCTCCCGTCCGGCCCACGATCCCGACTCGCTCGCCGGGGCGCAGGGTGAAGGTGAGGTCCTGCAGGACAGGTGGGAGGTCTGGCCCGTAGGTCACGCAGAGATCGGTAACCTCTATCTCGCCGTTGCTGGGCCAGTATACTGGCACGGGGATGCCGGCTTGGGGTTCCTGGTCGAGCTGCGTGTACTCCACTATTCGCTCGGCTGCGTTGGCGTCGAGCTCGAGTTTGGCGTACTGCGAGAGGAGCCAGGAGATGTGGTCGGAGAGTTCGAGGGCGAAGCTGAGGGCGAATCCGGCGAGGGGGGCGTCGAGGGTGCGGATGGTGACAAAGGTGATTGTCACGGAGGCGACGAACTAGATAGTTAGCAGTGGCAGTGGTGTGATGGGGTGAAGGGGGAGTACAATTGCGCCGACCATGCTCATCCAGAACGACATCCAGCAGGAGAATAACCGTTTGTGCCAGAGGGCCTGGCAGTGCATATCGATCAGATCGTACATTCGCTTCAGGTAGGCCTTTTCTCGTCCGAATGCGCGGATGGTAGGTAACCCAGTCAGAAGAGACCCGACGAGCTCGAAGATGGGCGATCGAGCGGTACTTTCTAGTCGTTTTGCCTCGCGGGCACCGGTTACATAGAAGAAAGCGACTGCCCATGACGCCAGCAGAGTCAGCAGGCCAAGTCCGACGATAAGAGGAGAAGTGACCGAAGCTGCGAAAATGACGCCGAGGATCATGATGCCGCTATGCAGGAGGTACGAGAGATCCAGAGCAAGATCGGAGTCGAAGGTGCCGAAATCCGATGTGAACCGGTTCAAGATCTGGCCAACCGGCGTTATATCGAGAAAACGGAGAGGCGCCCTGAGGATGGTCTGGGCGAACTGTTCGAACATCACCTTGGAAGCTTTAATGGAGCCGCGGAGGATGATCTGGATACGCATGATGTCCAGGATCCAGGATGCAAATGCCAAGGCGAAGTAAATCGAGCTATAGTAGACAAGGCGATGGTCCAAATGCAGTCCACCAGTCCTGAAATCTGGATGATCGCCAGACTGTGTGAGAACCGATCGTGGAGAACTGTCATTGTATGCTCTGGTCCAAACGGAGACCCAGTAAGGAGCTGCCAGGTTCAGTACCAGAGTCAAGAGGCAAAGAACGATAACGAGAATCCAGCGAGGGTAGCCCCCGGAGGCTTTCATATAAGCCTTGTACACCTCTGCTCTGACCACGCCACGCTCTCGCTTCTCCTCCTCGTAGTACTTTTTGGGCTGGGCATCTGACTCCGTCGGAGTTGCGTTTATTCGCTGGCCAGACTTCAGTGGGGTAGGTTTGCTACCTAGCGACGTGTCTGACGTGCCATCGTCAAGTTTTTGCTCGAAAGTTTCGTCTTGGACGAGACTAGATGGATGCCCTGCTTGCACAACGCTGCCGTTCTCCAGCCTCACCAGGTACGCAGCCCCTCCGAGACACAATCGAACATGGTGCGTGGCCAGGATTCTTGTTCTCCCTTTCGCAAGAGCGCCAGTCAAAGCATTGTCATACAGACGCCGACTAACATTGGAATCAACCGCACTAAAGATATCATCCAAGACGAGAATACTAGCGCGGCTGTAGAGCGCCCTCGCCAACGCCAGGCGCCACTTCTGCCCCCCGCTCAGATTAATCCCATTAGCGCCGATATCCGTACTATCGCCGTCAGGAAACGACTGAAGATCATGCGCGAGCGCGCACGCATGAATGACCTTTTCATAGCGCTCTGCGTCGAACGGCAGTCCGAACAGGACGGCATCACGGATCGTTGCGTTCTCGATCCACGGGTCCTGCGAAACATATGCGACCAGACCATCCACTATCCAGTTTTCCTCGTCGACTGGCCGGTTGGCGGCCGATGCGTGAGGGACGATCGCAGTCCCCTTTACGATGTCTGCTTCGCCGATGAGTGCTTGAAGGAGTAGTGATTTGCCCGCACCGCTCCGTCCGGAAATAATTGTGAGCTCCTGCGGAGGAAAGTCAAGGTTGAGGCCCTGCAGCTGGAACTGCCCTGTTGCGTCTTCTGAAGCAGCTGACGGCCATGCAATGGTTACGTCACGAAAGGAGATAGCGTCACCGAGTACTCTCTTGTCCTCATGCTCTGCCAGATCCAGGAAGCCCTCGATTCGCCGAAGGCTGACCCTGGCATCTAGCAGATCCGTAAAGATTTCGGGAAACATGCTGAGGACGCTTTGCAGATTCTCAAAAAGTGACAAGGCTGTAAACGCAACGGAGACGGCAATGGAGCCATTCAGGTAGATATGTGTCGCGATGGAGAGACAGCTCATGCACAGGGGACCCAGCGTCCAGATGGCCGTTAGGTAGACGTCGAGTTGGAAGACGGTGTACTGGTTGTGCAGCTCTTTTTCACGCAACCCTAGGATCTTGTCGTACCATTGGGTTTCGAGCGCGCTGAACTTGATCTGCCGCACGCCGCGCATCAAGACTGTCAGAGTCGCAGATTTGTCGTCCCGGCGGTCCATGAGGGCTTGTTCCTGTTCACTGTACCGTTTCGTTAAAAGGTAGTAGAAAGGTATTAAAAGGACAGGAATAGCGCAACCAGCGGCTACGGGTTTCCATCCCATCAGGTACACTAGGAAGATGATCGCGATACCGAGTTCAAGTATGCAGTCGAGGAGCAGGTGGCTGTAGGCGACGAAATCGGAGACTCTTTCCACGTCTACTCCGAGGAGATTGAGAACAGAGTGTTTTGTTCTGGGTGGAGCATCGTCATCGTCGTCATTGTCGCTGGCAGCATCATCATCATCATCCTCGCTATCGCCGGCGGATATCACTACATCCTTCAAGCTCATGGCTTTCTTGGAAATGACCGCGAGCAGCTGCTCATTAATCGGCAGAGAAAGTTTCATATCAGCTACAAAGTCTCTCAAGGATATGGACCATGAGGTGACCACCATCGATAGCCCAAGACCCAGGGCAGCCAACCATAGTTGCAATTGGTTGCTTGCTCCCGCATCACGGTCCTCAAAGAGGCGAAGGATGGTAAGGAGGAGGAAGTGAGGGAGGAAGTTGGCAGCATTGGCGACGAGCTGCAAAATCACCTGAAAGATAATCTCTGGCCAGTAGAGCGTAAGCCACCTCCTCCATCGCGCTGAGGCTGAGCTGACTGCAAAGAAGGAGTCGGAGAGCGTCTTTGCACGAACTTCGTCTCCAATGAGTGGGAGGTCATCAATGTTGAGTCTTTTATTCTTCGCCGCGATGGAAAGGATTGTAGTCGCCCAGGAGAAGGTGTATCGGTTTAGGAACGAGACAGATTTCTGGGAATCGACTGGACGGCCGTTGCGATAGATTGTAGGTCCTCTTGGAAATGCGAGGTTCACGAAGACGAGAATGAGAGCGGCGACCAGTTGGACAATACTCGATGCATCTCGAGAAGTCAATTTGAAGTCAAGGTTGCTGTGAAAGGACGAAGCATATGGCCAGGCTATACATATGCCTATAGCCAGACTAGCCAAGGCGCTGTAGTAGCCTAGCCGATATTTGACTTCTGGATTCCGACGGCTTATGAGGACTAATTCTTGGACTAGAATCATGATCTGCAAATATCACCATCTCTAGAACTTGGAAGTGCTCAGGCGCGTTGTCTCTTACCCAAGTAGCGAGCCGAAGGATACTAGGCCCAAGTACTGGTTGTATGCTGAAGCATGACCAGAGTGCCGCGATGGTGGCTGCTGCTGCCACCACAACTAGAATGACGCGCTGCCAGACTGATTGTGGCGACTTGCCGGCGGTAATAGACTCATCATCGTTGCTCGACTCGAGTAATCTGAATTGTTTCTTGCTTCCACCGTCCGTGACAAGCTGACGAACATGAGGGATTGATAGGAGCAAGATCGCTGAAGCCCCTACGTAGGGGATGGGGAAGGCTGACAGAGACATGGACGTGAGACCGACGATTCATTTTGAGAATTTGCAGGAGAAGCGAGTCGAGAAAGTCAAATATGAACCAAAAGAGCTGCCGATGAGTCAAGATCAGATCTGACCATTCCAGGCATCAGGATTTCTGCAGGGATCAGATTGTCGGGCACCGGATTAGGACATGCTCTTCGTGTCAGCCGCAGTGTGTAAATTTTGGATTTGCATACTCTTTCAGATTCTGCTGAAGAGTGATAACAAATATTGTTGGTGTCATATTTGCAATGTCGCGCTGGGTGTGTAGGCAGATGGTAGGTAGCTCATAAGATAAGACCAGATTGCTGCAGACGACAGCCTTTTTCTTAACGTTTATTTGATATTTCTGTGGTGTCCCGAAATCCGACCAAAGGATTTAAGCTCATGTATCTTGAAATAAGAATATTGGTTTAGCTTGTATTTAGTCGAACTAGTAGAAGTCTTGCATTAAGCTGATGAAGCTTAGGCGGAGGTAACTACGTACTATGAGTACATCTCAGACATCTGGAATGTTCCACTGCCAACTTAAAAAGAGTTAACGATATCTCTGGGTTAATCTACAGGCCGTAAGTGGCTGACCAATACAGACCTCATTTTCGAAATGTTCCGAAAACCGCTATATTATTAATGAACGCGCGTATACGAGGTAATTTGTCAGCATCGGTCTCCTATACAGAATATACTTCTCTTATACTTCGTAGACAGCAAACTATAAAGATAACCCCCCTGACAACGGTTCTCTTAACTAAACCAAAGCGCATAAAGCTATCTAGTAACATGTCTCCTATCCAGAACGTCACTGTTCTCGGGGTATAGTCCCCTTTCCCCCGGAGCGTATGTTCCCATCACGAACTCCTACTAACGAATACATTATCAGGCATCTGGAGCCGTCGGGACCCTCCTGGTCGACGCACTGCTCGCCTCCAACTTCACCGTGTCGGTAGTCCTCCGTCCCTCATCAAAGGCTACCTTTCCGCCCTCCGTGACCGTCCACCGTGCCAACTATAACGACCTCGCGGCCCTCACTACCACCTTCCAGGGCCAGGACGCCATCATCTCAGCCGTGGGAACCTTCGACGCCGCAATGCAGCGCACAGCCATCGACGCCGCAGCCGCCGTGCCCAGCGTCAAACGGTTCATCCCGAGCGAGTACGGAGGCGACACATCGCAGCCGGGGCCCGTCAGCTTTGCCCGATTCCCGCAGGCCAAGCGCGAGATTGTCGAGTACCTGGATTCAAAGGAGGGGATGACGTGGACGGCGATTTGCACGGGGTCATTCTTTAATTGGGTTTGTTTTCCTGTCCCTTCAATGAAAACTGAGATCTGATACTGACGAGTGATGCAGCTACTTGAGTTGGAAAACGCCGCGATGGGCTGGGATCTGTCGGCGCGCAAAGTCAGTATCTTCGATTCTGGCAATCGGCCGTTTGTCGTGAGTACGCTTGGGCAGGTGACGAGAGCGATCATCTCCGTCCTTCGACACGAGGAGGAGACGAGGAATGCGTACGTGTATGTGAAGTCGTTTGAGGTGACGCAGAATCAGCTCCTGGGGTTGATTGAGCGGTTGTCGGGGACGAAGTTTGAGGTGAAACATTTGACTACGGAGGAGATTTCACAGCAGGGAGTGGCTCACCTCGAGGAGGGAGATTATGAGCATGGATATCCCGAGGTGGTGACGGCGGTGGCTTATGGACCGTGGGGATTCTTAGGGTTTGGAGAGCAAGCAGAGAAGTGGAATGGCGTCCTGGGTCTTCCGAAGGAAGACCTCGAGGAGACAGTCAGGGATGTCCTGAAGAAGAAGGGATTATTGGAGTGATGTTAGTTAATGGGATATACAATTTATGGCTTCTCTCTACAGACATCGGCTAATATAATACGCTTCAATATACCTTAAGTACGCAATGGAGGAAGCTTTGTTTCCCCTCTGTCTTAATCTGCGGCGGAAATGTTCAATATTACACACGTCTGAAGATAGACCTCCAGTAAAAAAGTCCCTACTGCCAGGTCAAACAGGCAATTCCGTGTTTATAATTGGTATAGACGGTGTATCTATATATCCTCGAGTTCATCAAACCATCCCTTTCGCTTCATGACTGCTAACCATTCCTCTGCATTCTGGTCAATTGCCGATCACAGAAAGCTTAGCCAGAATATCCCACGAATAGGGATATTACCGAGCCAAGTGAAACTGCAGATTATTTATTCCTCTAATCAACACCCAAAGCTATCAATCTCCCCATTCAATTCATGAAGAAGCGGGGAAATTCTTTTGGCTAATATTCCTCGTTTCACTCCTGATGAATTAGGCTATTACCATGGGTGACAGGGTTATAAACCCGCAGATCCTGCAGTACCCTGAGATTGTCAAAAGTAACCTCTCAACTGTTTCTGTCATGCTGTGCTTCAGTGCTGGTCTTCTTTTAGGGCTGGGGTTAACAGCCCAAGCCCAAGCTCAACAGACATTCACAAATCCCGTCATCTATGAAGACTTCCCTGACAACGACATCTTCCTGGGCCCTGATGGAAAGACATTCTACTGGTCCAGCTCCAATTTCCACTACTCCCCCGGAGCCCCAATCCTCCAGTCAACAGATCTGGTGAACTGGGAACTGATCGGCCACTCCGTGCCAACTCTGGACTTTGGATCCAACTACAACATGGAAAACGGCCAGACGGCCTACAACGGCGGAACCTGGGCATCCACCCTGCGCCATCGCAAGAGCAACGACAAATGGTACTGGATCGGCTGCATCAACTTCTGGACTACGTACGTCTACACAGCCTCGGACGTCAAGGGCCCCTGGCAGCAATCCGCTAGTTTCCAACCCTGCTTCTACGACTGCGGGCTCTTAATCGACGACGACGACACAATGTATGTGGCCTACGGAAGCAATAACGTCTCCGTTGCCCAGCTCGCTCCGGACGGATTGAGCGTCGTCAGGACGCAGCAGGTATTCAGCTACCCGGCCGAGTGCCCGGGGGGTATCGAGGGGAATCGCATGTACAAGATCAACGGGCTGTACTACATCCTCGACGACTGCCCCGCGAACGGAATCACCGAGGTCTGGAAGGCCTCCAGCCCGTTCGGGCCTTATGAACGGAAGATCCTCAGCAATAACACCCCCTCTCCCGTTCCTGGCTCCGGCGCACCAGTCCAAGGCAGTCTCATCGAGACGCCCAATGGGCAGTGGTACTTTATGTCGTTTGCGTGGGCCTATCCCCTCGGGCGCCTGCCGGTCCTCGCCCCCATAACCTGGGGATCCGACGGCTTCCCCATCCTCCAAACAGTGAACAACGCCTGGGGCGAGTCCTACCCGTACCCTCTTCCCAAGAACAGCAGCGTGCCGTCGTGGATCGGCGGCGACCAGTTCTGGGGCAACTCGCTGGGCCCAATGTGGGAGTGGAACCATAACCCCGACACGACGAAATTCACCTTCAACTCTCCCGGCCTGACGCTGCAGACAGCAACCGTCACCAACGACCTGTACCACGCGCGAAACACCCTCACCCATCGTCCTCACGGCCAGTTCCCCGTGGGAACGGTCCTGCTTGACTTCACCAACATGGCCGACGGCGATCAATGCGGGCTGGCCGTTTTCAAGGACCAAAGCGCGTGGATTGGAGTCGTGCGCAGCGGCAACAGCTACACCGTGACTGCAGTGCAAGGGCTCACGCAGGATGCTAGCAACAACTGGGCGACGACGAGTACCGGGACGGTGGTTGGGAGTGCGCCTATTTCTACGCGCCAGATCTACCTCCAGATTCGGATGGATGCGCGAGCGGACGGTCCGAAGCAGTCGACGTTCTATTATAGTGTTGATGGGAGCACGTATACCCAGCTCGGTGGTGCGTTTACTTCTGATAGTGGCTGGCAATACTTTATGGGATACCGGTTTGCGATATTCAACTTTGCTACCAAGGCTTTGGGAGGTTCCGTTAAGGTCCTTGGTTTTACGAGTTGGACTAATGAGACTTAGCTGTGGCGTTTCCTCTGCTAGTCTACATGAGAGGGCCAGATCGCCTGTCTTTTGGAATATGGATAGACATTGCGTGCATGCACGTTTCTCATGGCTCAGTTGCCAGCCATATAGGAAACTACATAGCTTAGGGCTTATAGCGGAGATGTAATCGTGGATTATGATACTCCTATCATCATGATGAATGCTTAGCTGGCACCCCTGCAAAAAGTCCGTCCTCTCGATCGCTTCTTATATTTCATAGCTGTTAGCGGCTTTGTGCAGACAAAATAACAGGCTCGAAGGGACAGAGACCCATATTGTCTTTTGAAGGTCTCTTTCAGGAACTTCTGGTGATCAGCAGCACGTTCGCATACTGCCTCGATTACGGGTTCTGCACATCCAGACCAGTACAAAAAATGGCTTGTCCCGGTCACTACTCAGCTCATCCTTGGTGAACTGATGATTATCGACTCTTCTTTCTGAAAGGATCACCTCGCTGGCCGATGAGCGAGGGTGTCTATATGGAGGCCCTCCAGTTTCTAGCTTACATCCGGAAACAAAGGTGCGACCCACGAGGAAGTAGAGAACGAGACAGCTGAGATCAGAACCACCAAGAGGCTGACCTGGAAAGAATTTCTGCACAAGAGTAACCGGAGCCGCTTTCTCTTCGCAGCTGTGCTCTTGTTCTGGTAGCAGTTCAGCGACACAAACTCAGCTGGTTACTACGCGCCTCAGATATCCAGACGTTCGGCGAGAGTGCGACAAGTTCATCCCTCTTCGCTACCGGCGTCTATGGGACAGTCAGATTGTCGCCACAGATTTTTCTTGTTCACTGGGTCGACCGACGGGGCTGATGCCAAGTCTCGTTGGCGTTGCTGCCTGCATGGCGTCCATGATGTCTCATTTGGGCTGCCTTAGCCACGCATCCTCCCGATTTAAACGCCTAGTGGTATCCCAGGATCCAATCGCCGTGGTCGTCATCGGCTATTTCGGCCTGGGGACCTGTCCATAGGACTATATTGGCGAGGTAAAGATGACCTCTGCCCGTTTCTGTCGTTCAAGCGCATATACTGTCCCGTCCCCAACCGACTTGGTGCATACGGCATTGGTCTCAGAGCCACGAGTCAGTGGCTTTCATTTCGTCGTAACCGAGATTAGGAAAAGCTGCAGGGCACTCCAAGAAAGACAAGATTTACCTTATGACTCAGAACAATTTCGCAAACGCAGTATTCGGCCGAGACAGAATGTTCCATGAAGAACGCCTTATCATGGGGAGCGGGGTCTTATACCACCTTCCTAGCTGGGTCTAACGTTGAGACAATCTGTGAGTCAGGGTGACTGATTGCCAGTTTCTTTTCTTCCAGTAATGCAGTCTAGACTTGCTTCGAATTCCACAGTATCGATTGATGCTGTTTGAGCCGTTATCGCATTCATGCAGTAGGAAGCTGGGGTGTCGCTCGGCTGTATGAAGCCGTCGGCGATAGTATTTGTGCAGATGACAACGAGCTGCTTGGGAGGACGCTGCATCAAAAATTTGATGTAATGATTCCCCAGAGCAACAATGTCGCATATTTGAAAATAGGAGAAACACCATGTTCCTAGAGAGCCTTGGTTCTTCGACATGTCTCGTCACAGATTGAAACTTGTTATCACTGGATTTAGGTTTTGAACTGCTGCATGGAATGAACGTGACATCCTGACTCAGCGATAACAGACGCACTACATCCCTTGCAGTAGGACAACGATACATAGCCCCTGTTGTCTGCCCGACTCGGCAGCCGGCACAACCTGGAAGATGATCTCCACAGAATATATAAGTAAGCGGAAAGGAAATGTGTACCTGATCGCAGCAGTATTGTCTATCGCAGCATTCGGGGTTGTGCTAGCCTATATTTCAACAACCATGTTACACTGGAGCAAATGGTTTCTGGTGCCCTTTCTGTATGTTGCGACCACTGCATCAAGTTCTGAAAGTTCACCAAATGGTGCAACAGGTTGTCAATGTGTATCCCCCTCCCTGATTGAAGCAACGACGGCTGAGCTCCAGGAGGGGCTCACTAAAGGCTGCTTCTCCAGTGTCGACCTGGTCAATGTTGGTGCATTCCATTCTCCCTTAAACAGGCTTCGATAATATTTAAGGTGCTAGGCGTATGTGACGCGGATACATGAGGTCAACTCGACACTTCATATGGTCCTCGAGGTTAATCCCGACGCATGGGACATCGCTCGGCAGCTTGACTTGGAGAGAGAATATGGACTGGTACGAGGGTGAGGCATACAGCAGTTAGGACCTTCATGAGAAAACTGTTCACTGACAGCTGGCAGACCTTTGCATGGCCTCCCCATCCTTGTCAAAGGCAACATCGCCACCGAGGACAAGATGGAAACAGCTGGTAAGCTTGTATGCGGTGATATCTATCCCAACTCAAAAACTGACCGAGACTACCAGCCGGCTCTTATGCGCTTGTTGGCGCCACGGTGGCTGCGGATTCAACTGTTGCAAAGAAGCTCAGACAAGCAGGGGTCATCATCCTCGGCAAGACCAGCATGTCGGAATGGGCGAACTTCAGGTCACTGAATGGATCCTCCGGCTGGAACGCCCAGGGAGGCCAGACATATGCAGCTTACTACCCAAAGCAGGATCCCAGCGGTAGTTCAAGCGGCAGCGGTGTCGCAGCTGATTTGGGTCTTGCCTTTGCAGCCCTAGGTACTGAGGTAAATGACTTTCATTCACAGAGTTCCCGTGCCATTGTGTGCTAACTCCTAAAATTGACCAGACAAGTGGAAGCATTCTATCTCCGAGTGAAAATAACAATATTGTCGGCATAAAGCCCACCGTCGGTCTCACATCACGATACATGGTCATCCCCATAAGCGAGCGCCAGGATACGATCGGACCGATGGCTAGGACTGTCAAAGATGCAGCAATGATACTGCAAGCGATTGCAGGCCCAGATAAAAATGACAACTATACCCTGGCATCTCCATTTGGGGACCACCTCCCGAATTACGTCGCAGCTTGCAAGTTGTCCGGGTTGAAAGGGAAACGAATCGGTATACCCCGTAACGTCATCAACACGTTGGACTCGTCAAGTGAGCCGATAGTGTCTGCCTTCGAGGCCGCTGTCTCCGTGATTTCCAAAGCAGGCGCGACAATCGTCGACGATGCCAACTTCATAGGTTACGACGAGTATCTCAACACGTCGACCCCACAGGCTGTCGTGGCTGCTGATTTCATAAGCGATATCGCATCATATCTCTCGAAATTGAGGGCCAACCCGAACAATCTTCACAATCTGGAAGATATTCGGCGCTTCACTCAGCAGTCACCACTAGAGGACTATCCGTCTCGTGATACAGGCATCTGGGATCTCGCGCTTGCTAGCGGTATCAACAACACGTCTCCCGAGTTCTGGCAATTGCACTTGCAGAGCCTGTACTACGGAGACGAGGGTGGGTTGACAGGAGCTTTGTCCCGCCACAAGCTTGATGCTGTCATTCTTCCAACAGCTCTCGCTTACGATATACCGGCAATCATCGGGGCACCAGCGGTCACAGTCCCTCTTGGGTCTTTCCCTGCGGGAACACCCATTGAGTACAATGAACGGGGTAACTTGGTTGAAAAGGCGCCTGGCATCCCCTTTGGAATCAGCTTTCTTGGACCCAGATGGAGCGAGGAGAGCTTGATAGGCATGGCCTACGCATTCGAACAGCGGACGCTGGTGAGGAGGAAGCTGCAAAGATATATTGAACCGAGAAGTGACCTGAGCATCTTGTTGTAATGAGTTGTCGGTCTGCACAGAGTATATTCATATTAACTGATAGAAATTGTTATTGCAAAGAAGAAGATCGGTAGATCTAACCATCGAAAAAAGGGACAATGCAAAGGACAATCGACAGAAATACATGAACAATGGACATCATAGATGCTGCAGGGCACGTGCACTGTGGGAGATTACCCAGAAAGGAATAGCGCAGTTTCTGGTCGGCACGATAAGATTAGCTCTCTGTTGCGGGGTTTTTAATCGGCTGCGTAAAATCAAGAGTTCGAAGGCGGTTGGAAAAGAGCCGGAGTTCAGCGTGTCATTTCTATATATTTATTGTTGTCTTTTTTATGGAGAATCTAGAGCAGACATGCGCGTCCTTACGCGCTCAAATAGCTGCCACCGAGGCCCAACTTGCAGGTCTGAAACGCGACCTCGGAATAGCTGAGCAAGCAGCCGCCGACGTCAAGGCTCAAGATACCGCGAGAACAATCGCTGAGGACAAAAGGAGTGACAATGGGACAAGGAAGTGGCCACTGCTCGGCGAGGAATACAAGCGCTATGGAAGGCAAATGATTGTACCTCAACTTGGATTGCAGGGTATGTACTTTGCGCTGCTCTAGCAAAACAACAATCCTCTGCGTCGCCTTGGTGGTTATGACGTTGCTAATATTTCTGATCACTTGTATAGGCCAATTGAAACTTCGCTCCGCACGGGTCCTCATTGTCGGAGCAGGTGGACTGGGATGTCCTGCAGCATTGTACCTTGCTGGAGCGGGTGTGGGCACCTTGGGCCTGGTCGACGGAGACACTGTGGAAAACTCGAACCTGCACCGGCAAGTTTTGCATAGGAGCAAGAATGTTGGAAAGTTCAAAGTAGACAGCGCGATCGAATATCTCCGAGAGTCAGTTCAATGACAACCCCTGTCGAATGTGCTCAGGTACTGACTGGTTGATTACCGCATCTCAGACTGAATCCCCACCCTACATACGTACCATATAGAGCTCACCTCACTCCTCAGGAAGCTCCGGATATTTTCAAAGATTACGACCTCATTCTTGATTGCACGGATAATCCCGCAACTCGGTATTTGATCTCAGATACAGCGGTGCTGCTCGGGAAGCCACTTGTTTCTGCTTCCGCGTTGCGGACAGAAGGACAGCTCATGGTGTTGAACTACCCTCCTCGGCCGGTGGGAGACAAGACCGGAGGACCGTGCTATCGATGCGTGTTTCCGAAACCGCCACCGGCGAACAGTGTTGTCAGCTGTGCTGACGGCGGGATTCTGGGCCCGGTTGTAGGCACAATGGGGGTTCTTCAAGCACTTGAGGCAATCAAGGTCATTACTTCTCCGACTCTGAATTCGAGCGCATCACCTCCATCTCTGCTTATATTCTCCGCATACTCAACGCCTCCGTTTCGAACCATTAGACTCCGCGCTCGTCGTGCGAATTGTGCGGTGTGCTCTGCCGAGGCCAGCGTGACGCTAAAGACGCTCAAATCGGGATCTACTGATTATGTCTTCTTTTGTGGTGTTGCAGACCTGGAAGCGACACTTTCGCCGGAGGAACGTATTTCGCCCCTTGAGCTCAGAAAGAAACATCCTAAGGAAGTGCCACAAGACGGAGGCCGCCTAAGCAAGGAGCCCACGATCATCGACGTGAGAGAGAAGGTGCAATTCGATATTTGTAGTTTGGAAAACAGCATCAACATCCCCATCTCGACCATTTTGTCGTCAGCGTCAAGTTCTACGAACGCAGATGCCAATGCGCAACCTTCGCTACCGTCCTGGCTTCCGACCGAACTAGCGTCTGCTGAGTCGACGGACCCGATATATGTCGTGTGTCGTCTTGGGAACGACTCGCAAATGGCAGTTCGGAGGTTGAAAGAGCTGGGGCTCGATCAGGGTGGACAGAGATACATCGGTGATATACAAGGAGGGTTACGCGCGTGGCGTGAACAAATCGATCCTGACTGGCCAGAATACTGAACAGAAGTAATAGACCAAGTTATGAAAATAAAGACACAGTTATGTACAGCAGTCGTAATGGGTATATCAAAAGTAGAGCAACAAAAAAAGAAAAAAGAGGGTAAAGAAGCCGAAATGCTCATCATCACTGTAACGAAGCAACAGGAGAGTCTTCCAGCCACGACCATTCAACGGTGACCCGACCAAGATCCATATCAGCAAGTTTCTGGAAGACGGCGGGCGACACGTCCAAATCTTTCACTTTACATCCCACACCTGGATTCGTGTCAGCAGGTTGCCCACATAGTATCGCATAGCCAAGAAACGATCAGAAGGCAGCGACAAAGACATACATCGATCAACGATCTTGACATCCACGCTCGATTCACCCCGACGAAGCCTCAATTTGAGCCCGCACAGCGGATTCGCATTCGGGTTTGACCCCGTCGAAGCAGCATCAAAGAGAACATGGGAGACGGCACAGATCATGTCCGAGTCTGTGCTGGTGATGCCGCATGAGCCGAGGCCGGGGTTGTAGTAGGTCAAATCTCCCGAATAGGGACCACCATGGGAGGTGGGAAGCGGAAGATTTGAGTGGCTTAGCCTTGGTCAGTTGATACACTTGAAGAGATAGAATGTGAGTGATATGCGACACTCGCGCAAAGACTACTCACCCTTTTGCCCTGGTCAATCCCACAGCGAGGCCGATGACCAGCGCAAGGAGACAGACGACCGCGACTGCAATTGCGATGACTATCAGACGCTTCTTTTTCGAGAATTGTCGCCAGTTCCAGTTCAAGTTCCACCAAGCTGGTTTGGCGAGGGGTTGTACGCTAGAGTCTTTCGTCGCAATGGCTGCTGGCTCGGGAGAAGCCTCTGCGACACCGATAGGGACGGGCTTCCGCTTTGGGACCGCCGCAAAGGGGAGATGCGAAGCATCCTGACACAATTGCGGGGGAGGTTTCTCCACGTCTGTAGACATGACCGTGGCGTTGACTAAAATTCTTTCATGGGATTATCCAGATCGAAGACTGTCATGGTGATGGAGGTCGCGATAGCCGACTTGCTGTCTCTGGACTCTGAAGATCAAAATTAAGGGGTTAATGACAGAGACGCCAATTGATTGGCTGCATTTTCTGTAGGACTCAGAGCAATGTTCATTGGTAATTGAATCGAATCTCTAGATAGATATGCATCAGGAGAATGTGAGCATCATAGGGGTCTCAATAAATAGTAATTGATATTCACATTCACATTCCGATAAAAATTTCAAGATCATGTTGATTGACAGATCTCGTGGTTGCCAGTTGTGTCTCACGAGTTCCCTTGCTTAATGCTGCTTACATTCTCCGATCGGAGAATTCTCCTCGATAAGGCTGAAGAGAAGTCTAAACTGCAGTCTCAATTCATCATTGCAGAAGAAGATAATCAAAATAAAGACATCAGACAGACAGATATAACATGATAACATCATGTGTTTCCACTTTCCAAGGAGAGAACTACTAAGCCACGAGTGCCGACCCACAGCAGTATTTGTTCCTTGCATCATTGCCCGGATGCTACCATCAACCACTGACCAACATCTATCTAGTTATCAAAGGTCATGTCTCTCAATCATCAGTCATCAATGTGACAAAGTACTATGATGTTGACTACCATCTAAATTGAAAAGAAAAGGGGTTCTGACGAAGCCAAGCGATTCTCTGCATAACCGCAGATCCGAGGCATTTGTGAAGCTACACGGCCCACTAAGGTCATCAAATTCCGCCCAGATTGGGGATGTTGCATTTCCCGCTCTGAGTTCTAACCAAAACCTTAATCGAAGTTCTGTCACTTTTAGAGGGATCTCTGCAAGAGTCGTGTAATTGTTACTCACGAATTGACCTCAACTTGCCCTGCGTCTATTGACCAACGTCGGAGGACGTATCTCGGAGGACGTATCCGTTGATCACTTGAACATGCCGATGATCGGCCCCAGTCTACTGAGAGAGTGAGACCTCGACTGACGGTCCACGGATTGATAAACGCGGGGTGCGACTGAACTCGTTTGATCCTACCATGGCGTCGCGAGTCAGTTCGCGCCAGTCGACGAGTTCGTCACAGTACTCGCAGAATGATGAGCCAGACAACAAGAAACAGCAGCAGAAATGGAACCTATTCCGCATGATCAAGAATGGATGGTCCAGGTTGGACCTGGATCGACGAACGGTGATCTTGATGATGAAGTGAGTAATGACAATTGACTTTGCCCGCTGAATACTTATAAGATATTAGGGGTGCTCTACCACCTGCTATTGCCATAGCCATGTAAGATGTCCTCAGTTCCTCACATTACACCACTCTGACAACCAACAGGTATCAAGCCGATTCTATTGCGGCACGGTTCCCCACTACTGGCTATCTCATTGCAATCATCTCTGTTCTCGGATTTGCCATCATGCCACGGGCCAAATTCATCCAGATGATGCTCTTGGACGTACTGGCAGTTTGCGTTGCAACGGCTTTTGCCCTGCTTATGATGTTCTGCAGCGTGAAAGCACGAGAAAACACACAGTCTGCTGCAGATGCGGCCTCTATATCGAGTTCGGATCCGACAGCTAACGAGTACAATTCATCTGCCTCCGCCGTTAGTGGCGTGCTGCTGTTTTTCCAGATATACCTGGTGCACTCGTTTCGTGCCCATTATCAACAGTTTCAATTTCCGGTGATCATCTATGCCATAATTGCCAATATCACCTCGTCATATGCCCCTCGGCTCCCCACCATGGCCGCCGGTATTGCTTTGGTGAGGACCTTGCTCGAGGCTTGTTTGATTGGGTTGGGAATCTGTACGGGCGTCTCCCTGTTTCTCTTTCCCGTGACCTCAAGACACATTGTATTCAAAGAGATGGCAAGCTATATCGGAGGTCTTCGCGTAGGTCTCAAGGCTCATACAAAGTACTTTGAGAGTCTGGAGCGCGATGACATGTTTGGCCGGGCCGAGACATATGACGAGACAGTCGAGAAATTTTCCAAGAAGGGCAAGGTTTATAGCCCAGAAGCAGAAGCTATTCGAACTGCGATCCAGAAGATTACAGACCTCCATGGCAAACTGCACGCGGACCTGACCTTCGCGAAGCGCGAGTTCGCCATTGGAAAGCTCGGCCCTGACGATCTCCAAGCCATCTTCAGACATTTACGCCAGGTGATGATTCCAGTTGTCGGTCTCAGCTTCATTGTGGACATTTTCCAGCGTCTGTCGGAGTACAACAAATGGAACGATCCCATTGACCCACTCGCAACGGACATAGGTACCACCATCCGCAGTCGTGTTGTACACGAATGGAACGAAATTATGAAGGCCGTGCATGATCCCTTTGCCTCCATTATCGAGACTATCGATAGCGGGCTAGAACACATTTCTTTGTCGTTACAGCTGACAAAATCACCGAAAGCTTCGCTCGGAAAGAAAGATGCGCCGACAGAAGGGGTTGCAGATCTGGAAGCGTCGGCAGAGAAACCCCGTCCCCGGGAGAAGCAGGGTTCGCGGCTTATTATGAGCGAAAGCTCAGCGACTTTAAGGTGGCAAAACGACTCGCTCTGAGGACCTGGAGTGAGGAGAAGGGCATCACCTTACCCCGGATTTCTTCGAGCGTCCTTCTTCTGACTTGCCCGATCTGGACGAATTCCTACTAGACAAATCCGGGGTCGGTCGCGATAGGAGCCGTCGACAGCTCTATCTTTTTCTTTATGTAGGTGCAAAGGCAACTTGCTCGCATTTCCGTGCTAACACCTTAAATCAGATGGAACAACTACTCTACTCGACAGGCCATACAGTACTAGATTTTATTCATTTCGCCGATGAGAAAGTCAAAAGCGGAAAGCTGTCAAGATCACGTCTGATCATTCCCGGTGCTAAACGCTTACTGAAGTGGTTACGCAGTATACTTCAGGCGGAGGATACCCATGAAGACGATCACTTGGGCGATATCCACACGCAGAACCATATCCTTCAGCTTGGTGAAGCGTACAGGCACAGGAAGGATCCTGAGCATTTGCCCCCTGAAACCACCATTCAGAAGATCGGCGACAAAATCAGGGTAATACCCTGGCTGCTGCGTTCATCAGAGTCAGCCTACGGATTTCGAGTGGCTTGCGCTACTATGACTATCTACGTGGTTGGCCTACTTCATCAGTCTCAGACCTTCTTCATCCATCAACGCCTGGTCTGGGCCATGATCATGGTTAACATCAGCATGTCACCGACCGCGGGACAGAGCATTTTCGGCTTTGTGCTTCGTCTGATTGGCACTGTGATAGCCATGGCTCTCAGCTTTTTGGCTTGGTATATTCCAGACGAAAAGACACCGGGCGTCATCGTCTTCTTCTGGCTCTTTGTTGCCTGTGGGTTCTATGTCCCTATCAAGCTTTTCCGCTTTCGAATCGTCGGGATTATCATCATCATCACCACTTCCATGATCATCGGCTATGAACTTCAGGTGCGCAAGGTTGGGCAACAGGTTGCGAGCTCCAACGGCCAGGCCTATTATCCCATTTATCTTCTTGCTCCCTATCGTCTGGCCATCGTGGCCGCAGGTATTGCGGTGGCATTTTTCTGGACATTTTTCCCATTTCCAATCTCCGAGCATGGAGTTCTTCGCCAGAGCCTTGGAGCTTCGCTTTATCTACTGGCGAATTATTATTCTATCATCCACGAGTCCGTGTCTGCGCGTTTGCGGGATGACGAAGGTGATCTGGCTTTGAAAACGTCAGCAGGGCGGAGGCTGCAAAAAGCGCGAGGCAAAGTGTTTTCTAAGCAGATGTTGATGTTGAATGGCTTGCGAACATCTTCGGAGTTTCTAAAATGGGAGGTGCCCATCGGAGGCCGCTTTCCCAAGAAGCGGTACCAGGCTATCATATCATCGATTGAGAAGTACAGCTCATCTCACTTTCTTTGCCAGTGCGTCACCACTAACACTCGATAGTATCGTAAATTATCTGAGTTTGCTAGGCTATGCCTCGGACACTCTTTTGCAGATAGGCGATGACCCCCACGCATCGAATTCTGACTGGCTTCACGACTTCAAAAGACTGGTGTCTAGTGCCCGCGTCACGACTCACGAGGTGACCTCTGTTTTGTGTCTTCTGTCAGCTAGTATTACGAACCGACAGCCTCTGCCGCCCTACCTGAAGACTCCTCGACCGTACAGTTTCACAAGGAGATTAGAAGCGCTCGACAAAGACATTCTCAGCATCAAGCACGTCGCAGAGCCGGGATTTGCCACGTTTTCTGTACTGCAGATCTCGACCAGATGCATTGTTGGAGATGTGGAGAGATTGATGAGGTGAGTTCGTCTCCACATCCATATTTTGATAACATGCTAAAGCAGGTTTGATAGAAATGTGAAGGCTCTCGTAGGGGAGCTTGATTTTTCCTTCCATGCTGTCAGCACAGCACATAGCACGAAGTCGTCTCTAGATCAATCGCGCCTCTCGAGACCACCATCTCGCGAGAAGTTTGAGTGAGAGATTATCCATGTTGTTTATACATATTTGAGGTTGTCAAGTCTTGACTTGTTCGCCTTGACTGTACATATTTACGAATAGAGCACGAATGTTATGTATATCGATTTCTGGATATATTGTCTCGATTGCGGATTGGGTAGCAGAAGGAACCCATCTCGTTCTCTGTTGTGCTAGCTATCTTTTCCAGCTGCTTTGCTAACTTTCTCAGTAGGTGTAAAGTGAGAATCGAAAGTCAATTTCCTCATTGAATCCGCGTTCGATAACCACATCATTCATGCCTTGATCAACAGGACGTCGTGACTCCAACAATACCAACTGCAATAGCGACTGATCTTGGCAGTTGCACGGATGCTTTGAAACGGCGAGAATCGAGCCTCCTACATTCCAGGAACTCCTTGCACAATCAGTTCGCCATATCGACAAATCCTGCGTGGTCAAACACTCAACGGCATAACACATCAGGAATGCAGGAGAGTATGCGGATGACGACTCCACTGGAGCCTGAATCAAGGACTCAACCTGGACACCAGGTTCAACTCCTGCCTTCTCTATTCCTGGCATAAATAATCCTGACTCCACCATGTCAGCATCTGTGCGCACGACTTTCCATGTCCAAGGTCTATCATCAGTGCATCCCTTGCGGAGAATTAATCATGGTTTTACAGTAAGCCATCATGAGGAAACCGGGTCTTTTTCGATCTTGTCGTTGATAAATCTGCTTTCGACCATATTCCCCTCGGACAGTTCTCTCACCATTCTCCAGGACACTTGTCTACTGACACTGGTGCCATCTATGTCTTGACTTGCGCAACCGCACCAAATGGGTGTAGAATCCATTGACACGGACTACACTGCGAACACCACCAGAGACCACTTCAAGTCCGGCACCGCATTCCACAGCTACGATGACGATACGTTTTCCTATACTGACACGGTCGAGCTGTCCGTGGCGGTGGCAACCCCAGGGAGCAAAGAATGGAGGCCCCGGGTCAAGGAGTGGCTTGTTCTGATCTGTATATCGATCTTGACGATGCTGGTCGCATTTGATGCGACAATGGTCATACCATTCATCCCGGTAAGGGCCCTCCAAGACAACCCAGTGACTCCCCTCTTAACGACTGGCCAGGGCCTATCACTCACGTTTGGAGAACCGCTCAGCAGCACCCTCTGGCTCAACTCATGCTATCTTCTCGCCAGCGCAACAGGCCAGATCTTTTTTTCGATGCTTGCTGAGGTCATCGGACACGGGCCGCTTCTGGTCGCGGCAGCGGTCCTCTCAACAGTCGGGACGGGAGTATGCGGTGGCTCCCTGCAACTATCCGAGCTAGTTGCCGGTCGATTCATACAAGGACTCGGCGGAGGGGGCGTAGTATCCGTTTCGCTGCTCTGTCTGGCTGAGAACATCCCCGACAAACACCTCATACGCTTCTCAAACTACGTCTCCCGGGTCCGCCTGGCGGGCGCCATCCTCGGCCTAGTCATGGGCAGCTTGTTGTACGAGTACATCGCCTGGCGCGGAGCCTTCTACTCGAGCTTCTTCTTCTGTGCGCTCGGCATGCTCGTCATCCCCTTTGCGATTGAGCTCCGAGGCCACAGGGGGATCTCATTGCGGACTTTGCTAAAGATGGACTGGCTAGGCGGCGTGCTGACTCTCCTGGGCCTCTGCTCGCTGCTTATAGGAATCAGCTGGGGCGGAACAAGCTACCCCTGGAGCGACTGGCGGGTTCTGACGCCCCTCGCTATTGGGTCATCCTCGATTCTCGTGCTAGCCGTATACGAAACGAACTGGGCCTTCCGACCATTCTTCCACAGGAACGATTTCCGCACTCTCCCCGTGCTGATGATGTACGCCGGCAGCTTCCTGCACGGGTTCACGGTTAGTCCCTCCCATACTCCGAACTAACTAACTCCTCGCTAATTGCAATTTCATAGCTCTTCTACCACCTCCAAAACCTAACCATGTACTTCATCTTCGTCCGAGCGCTCCCCCTCCCATTAACCGCCACCAGCCTCGCCTCGATAATCACCCTCGCCCTCCTCACCCTAACACTGACAGAGAAGCTCGCAGTCCTGGATAATCGTCGACACTGTTTCTGGCTGGTCCGCGTCGGATGGATGCTCCTCATTCTGTGCACAGGGTGTCTCGTAACGCTGGACTCGACCACCCCAACCGCAGGATGGATCCTTGTGCTCGCCGCGACAGGCACGGGACACGGATGTCTTATGTCGGGATTCAGAAAGTGTCTTCGGCCGGCGCCCGTGCCGAGGGATTATGGCGAGCAGGAGGAGAGAAGCGTTAACCCTACGTCTGCACTGCTGATGTGCGCGCTTTTTCGGACGGTGGGGATGTGTCTTGCTGTTACTGTCAGCGGGACGCTGTTTTTGGGTCGTGTCGCGGTGGAACTACAGGGTCAGTCCTTTGAAAGTGCCCAGGGACAGGCGACGGGGACAGCTGCTTGGGCCCGTATCCCGGAAGACCGGTTCAGGAGCACCTGTGCAGCCAGCCTGGAATTTCTGTGGTTGGTGCTGACTGGGGTCGCGAGTCTGGGGGTGTTTCTTCGGTGTTTACTAGGGCCGTGGGATGAATGGAAATTAACCAAGCATTTCCCAATGATATGACATCAGCGGAATTAGTTTCCTCTTGTGTAGACCATCTGCCTCTGTGCCTTGATTCCCGCAGCTTTAGTTCGTTCCAGCGGGGGAGGCAGCAAGGCTTGGCCCAGCCTTAAACACCATATCCCCAGGCTATCCCGCAAAACAGGGACACTAAAATGCATTTCGTTGTGTCATGGAATCCCATTCACCAGCCCATTGGAAACCGCAGTATCCCACTCCAGAACTCTATTGCCCTGCGTGATGTCATCCGCCTCTCATGGGAATTCCCCATACAACGCATCTCCGCGGAAGCCAAGATCATTTAAATACATTGTAACTCGTAGACAGACAATCTGTATTCCCAGCCATTCAGGAAATTATAAGTAGTCAGGCAAACATGCCAAAACCCACCGGCGCAACCGACCTCGAAGTCCTCAACGAGCCGGACTGGACGCAATCGCACAGTCACCGCGTCGGCGTGCGCAACCGCGATGATCGCTTCCCCGGTCTGACACACGAGGGCGACGACTGGCGCTATGAGCTCGAGAAGGAGGCCGAGAGACGGGCGGAGGAGCTGCGGGCCAAAGCTAAGAGGGGGAGCTGCTAACGGTGCGGGACTTTCTGCAACAGCAGGAGGTGAGCATATTCATATCCTGTTTTCCATGTCAGTACCTAGAATGGAGGGAGGCTTATCTCTGTAGGACTTTCATTTGAGGAGGCCGGATGTGCATCCGAAGCATTGGCGATATGTGCTGCATACGACGGAGGAGTTCATCAAGGAAGACCAGCCATGGTTGATTAACGAGAAGAAGAAAGAGATGAATGAGCAGGAGAAGGAGAAGGAGAAGAAAAAGCAGCAAGAAAACGGAGGGAGCAGCAGCAACAACAACAACAACAGCAGCAGCAACAGGAGCAGCAGCAGGAGAAGGAGGAGGGTGGGGGTGATGGCTCGGAGAAGAAGCCTGCCGAGTCAGGTCAGGAAGGACCAGATCAGGGAGATGAGGAAGACTCGCAACCAAAGTATACGCCGGAGCAACAGGCACTCCTGGCGTATCTGAAACAGGAGGCAGAGTATATGCGGTCGTTGAAATCGAACGACGGAAAGGGCCATTCGCCTGCAGGGACTTCCTTTTTGCCAGGAGAGATCGACGAAGCCGATCAATTCACTCCGGACAACTGGGTCCCTCGGACAGACCACTTGATCCGATTAACCGGGAAGCATCCGCTGAATGGCGAGCCAGATCTGGTCGAGCTCGTCGACGCAGGTCTCATCACCCCCAATTACCTACACTACGTGCGCAGCCACGGCCCAGTGCCTCATCTCCTATGGGAGAACCACAAACTGGAGATCTCCGCCGGCAAGTCGCTGACCTTGTTAATGGACGATCTGAAGGATAAGTTCGAGAGCATCAACATTCCCGCCGTAATGGCGTGCGACGGAAACCGGAGAAAGGAGCTCAATCTGATCAAGCGCAGCAAAGGGTTCAACTGGGGTCCGGCCGCCGTAGGTTGTGCCTACTGGAAAGGCGTGCTCGTGCGGGACGTCCTGCTCATGGCGGATATCCTGCAGCTGATGGACGAATACAAGGATGTGCCTCTTTGGGTGAATTTTGGAGGTGCCGAGATTCTCAGCGAAGGAAAGTACGAGACCTCGATCCCTCTGGACTACTGCATGGATCCTTGCAATGATGTGATCCTTGCCTATGAGATGAACGACTCGCCCATACCTCCCGACCATGGCTACCCACTGCGCTTAGTGATTCCCGGGTACGTGGGGGACGTTGTGTGAAGTGGCTAGAGAAGATCTGGGTGACGGACCGTGAGAATGACACCTATTACCACATCTTCGATAACCGGGTCGTTCCCCCTTTGTAACCGATCGGTTTGACGAAATAGGTCAGACCATGTATCGTCTCCCGAGCACGGCATGCAACGAACAGATGCTGAACTCTGTCATCGCGAGGCCGGCGCAGGGAGAGAGGATAGATTTCACGGAAATAAGAAAGGGCAGGAAGTATCGAATCATGGGTTATGCGTATAATGGAGGCGGGAACGAGGTACAGAGGGTTGAAGTCAGTCTCGATGGTGGTCTCAACTGGCTGTATTGCGTTCGCAAGGTATGTCGGTAGCGATGTTTGCCATGGGTAGTGATGCTTTCTGACGCCTATGGATATGGAACAGTTTCCCGAGGCACCGCTGCGACATGGCAGGAAATTCTGGACTTGGTTGCACTGGCATGTGGACATCGACATCACGCAGCTCCTTCGCGCTGAGCAGATTACCGTCCGTTGCTGGGATGTGAACAAGAACACCCAACCGGAAAATCCGACGTGGAATCTCGAAGGGTGAGTGTCGAGCCATGCAAGTAAATCGGAGGTAAATAGCCTTGCTGAACACAAGCAGCATGATGAACAATTGCCACTACGTCGTCAAGTCCGAAACCTCAGTGGACCCGACCAGCAATAAGCCTTACCTGCTGTTCCGTCACCCCGCTGAAGCTGGCACGGGGGAGAACGGGTGGATGAAGCCCTCGATCGATATCCAGAAGGAAGATATTCGACGATCGGCCGCCGTTCCCGAGAAACAGTTTACCCGTGAGGAGATTGAGAAACACACGACGGATGATGACTGCTGGATCATCATCAACGGTAAAGTATACGATGCCACCAGCGTCCTCAGCTGGCATCCAGGAGGAAAAGCGCCCATTATAGCTCACGCCGGCCGAGTTCATCAAGATACGTCGGAGGAATTCGAAAGTATTCACGACGATTATGCTGTTCAGAAACTAGAGGGTACGATGTCCTTCTCAGTCCCCATCATAACACGCTAACGTAATGAACAGAGTGCCTCCTGGGATCCGTCACCCAGAAAACGCAAGAGTTTATCAAGCACGACGCCGAAGAAAAAGCTAAGGAGAAAGCGAAATCAGCAAAGGAGGAAAACGAGGTCGCTCTCAAGCGTCACAAGTATGTCCTCTTATCCTTCGAACAAACCATGACTATCAAAAGCTCACCTCCATCGTAGATGGACCGCGGTCAGATTCCTCCGCAAACGACCATTATCGGAGGATACAAAATGCTACACCTTTGAGCTCCCTTCCAAAGACAAAAAGCTCGGTCTGGAAACAGGTCAGCATCTCCAGATCGGCTTCCACTTCAAGGACCGGCTCGTCGTTCGTCCATATACCCCTACCCGGCCCATACTGGAGTCCGAAGAAGACGGCACATTCGACCTTGTCGTCAAAACATACTTCCCTAGTTCCGCACAACCAGGCGGCACGATGAGCAATATCCTCGACTGTCTCCAGGAAGGCGAGGAGGTCGAAGTGAAAGGGCCCGCAGGCGAGATCCGATACCGCGGGAACGGCGAATTCCGCGTCGACGACAAGACGTATCGTTTCGATCACATCACTTTGATTCTGGGAGGGTCGGGCATCACACCAGGGTATCAGCTCATTGCACGGATTCTGAGGACAGAACAGGGGAACGGGCTCAAGATCAGGGCCATCGACGCCAACAAGTCCGAGGATGATATTTTGATGCGCGGCGAACTCGACAAGTACGCAAAAGAACATCCGGAGCAGTTTCAAATTACGTACGTGCTTTCTCACCCTGCGGACGACTGGAAGGGAGAAAAGGGGCATGTGAACGAGGCAATCCTCCACAAGTATGCCTTTGGGCCGGGGGAGAAGAGCGTTGCGCTTCTGTGTGGTCCGCCAACTATGATTCAGAAAGCGGTCTTGCCGGTTCTGAAGAAGTGGGGATATGATGAGGACAAGAATCTGTTTGGTTTTTAGTATTATCTTTTGGATTTGCACCTTCCTAATTCCCAGTGGGAGGACTTTCTTTGGAACACTCATGGCTTGTTGCACTGCGGCAGTTGCTTAGTACTCTGGTGTTTGGATCCCCTGAAGCAAGTGAACTCGGAGCAAGCTTGCTCGCATCAGAAAGAGTTGCATGGCAAGTAGACATAAGTCCGGCAGGATCAAGCACAAGTAAGGTGTAAATAAAGACAGTCTGCACTACATTCCAACAAGACCTCGCCTAGTTCCAAGTGGTCGGCGGGGTCCCCTGTCGTCATGCCAGATAGAAAGTACGTGACACGATAGAGTCTATAAGTTCGGTTTTACTTTTCTAGTCTTATGGTGCAGTACAAAATCAGAACGACTGTATAGACCGGTTGATTGATTGATTGATTGATTGATTGATTGATCGACTGGGTTGTTTGACTGACCCAGCGTAGTATACAGACGGTCGAAGCACATGACGATAGGCCAAGCATTATGCATTACATTCATTCACAATGACACATACATTGCGTAAAGACAATAGCAAGGGCAGCTCCAGCTGCTGGTATCGAGCAAGTGAAATAAATTGAGCAGAATAAGAGCAAGGTGATAGAAGACACAGAGTGAGAAGACATGCTCCTCAGTTCCGGGTCATGAGCGGGTAGGGAGTTGGCACCCGCTTCAAGCCATAGCCAGAGTGCTCGTCCGCCTTTGAGGGCGTTATTTTCAGTTTGAATGAACTGACTCGCTCCTTGAGCGAGGACTCGGTGGAGTCGTTTGCTGGCTTGGGTCTGCGGAGCTCGTTGACGAGCTTGAGGTAGTGCTTGAGGAGGTTGGAGCTTTCCTTGGCCATGATCGAGCAAAGGTGAAGTAGTCTTTGGAGCTGAGAAGAAGAAAGGTCTTTGAGTTCAGATGAAAAATTTGCTGTCTGGCAGAGTGTTCTTGGAGGAAGGACGAGGGATGGAAGAGAGAAAAAAAAGGAGAAGGCAAGAGGAGGGAGGGTTGTACTCCTTCGGCTGTCTAAGAATAGATACCGTTCCAGAGAAATCTGAAGGAAAATGACAACAGAGTGATGCCATCAGATGTGGAAGTTGAGCAGAAGACTCAAGAATAGGGCGCTTTGGCTTGGGGCTGGACATATATTACCATTCGAAGAGGTCAGGCACACGAAGGCAGTGTTGATCGTCAGAATGATGCTGAGCTATGTCGTGTGAAGCATCTGGATACTGGCACTCGATTTCCTTAGAATGGGCTGAAGAAGGACTGGCACTTTCAGATTCGTAGTTTACATCTAAGTCTCAACTGTCATTGACATTCGTCTCAAAGACTCTGCAGGAAAGTGCAATGGCAGCAGTGGTAGTACCTTAGTACTAGTAGCCGTCGTCGTCGTCTCCGTGAGCTAACGTCCTACTATCTAAACCTAGATACACCTAACGTCTTGTAATAGCAACCAAAATGGTATACTTCAGGCCGTGTGAACAAAGGAACGAGACGGACATCACCTTATGGACCTAGGTCTTGGAGTCAAAATCCGTCCTTTCGCGGGAGCTCTGCAAAGTCCTTGCGCTTGGAGGGACCGCATGTAGTCGGTCACATCCTGCCTGTCTGAGGGCTTCCGAGAGTGTTGACGGCGGGGACATTGTTGATGCTGCTCTGCGCCTTCCTGCAAAAGACAAGGGAAGGAGCATCTACGCTCAATACAGCTGGCTACTCTTGTTTGTTTATATGAAGGCGATTTCCCTCTGGCAACTTCGAAATTCTCCCTCTTCTACATGCTCTCCCAGCTTAAACTCCATCTCTTAGATCCATTCCACTCGTTACGCCTTTCAGTTTCATATTCTCTTACTGTCCGACATTTCTCTTACTGTTCAACCTTCCGAATTGCATCATCACTGTCATCATGCAGTTCCTTCTTATTGTTTTTCTGCTCTTCTTAGCGAATCCCACTCTCGCTGCTCCACACCGGCGGGGCACAATGAATCTTCACTGCCGGATAACCTGCCCTTTCCTTCTCCTGGTCAGCTACGGGAAATAGAGCTGAGAGCACATGGAACGCTGCCAAACACGCCTCCTCCAAATAACATCAGCCGACAGGGTATTGTCAACCTACAATGGATCGCCTTCAACGAGAACTTCGAGGTGGCTTTCTTCAACAGCCTTCTTCACAATGTCACCAACAATGTGACGGGCTATGAGATCCCCGGTGATGATGAAGGCGAAGAAGATGAAGAAGACCGGGATATGGTCATCCGAAGTCTCACTGCAATTCTTGCGGCAAGCCTCCTCGGTAGACACATCAATCAACGAGCTTGACTAACATTTGACTTTAGCAAGAAGAGTTGCATGAATTGAGCGCCAATATGGCCCTTCAACACTTCAATGTTTCGCCCATCCTTCCTTGCAGGTATCACTTCCCTGTCTCCGACTTTAATTCCGCGATCGTCCTCGCCGCCAATTTCACCGATCTTGTCCTTGGAACCCTGCAAGACGTGGTGGAGCGCTTTGCCGTCGGGGGTGACTTCAACTTCACTCGAATCATCTCGTCGGTGATTGGAAACGAAGGCGAACAAGAGGGCTGGTTCCGCGTGCTGCAGGACAAGATTCCCAGCGAACTTCCCTTCCTCACCACCAGTGATCTCAACTTTGCTTTCTCCGCCATACTCAATGCTTTTGTCGTCCCGGGCAGCTGCCCGAATATCCATGAGATTCCACTGCAAAGATTCCATCCCTTGGCCATCCTGACACCACCTGAAGACCGGACGCAGATCATCCAAGTCGCCTTCAGGGCGGGCAGACACATGGCGCAGCGATTGTGGATGACCTATATCAATCAACAGAATCTACCAATAGTAGAATCAATGAACATCATCTCCACCGAAAACCGGACGGTTGTTGCAGAAGTCCTTTTCCCGTACGACCAGTTCCTAATGAACGGACTGACCATTGCTGCTGTGACCAACAGCAGTGGTCCGTTCCGCAACGCGAATGACGTGGCTCGGGCGACAGTGGCTGGACCTGGCTTAATCATTGTCAATTGAGTTCTTGTTATGAATCGTGCTTTTCAATCTTCCATTATTATTGTTCAAGGGTCCCTGTTCTTCTCATCCTCCTATGCTGTCTTCACGCTTGGTTGTTTGGGACTACAGGATTAGCTTTAGGTCTATGGCAAATCACCAGTGATTGCCTGTAGGTAGTTAGGTATAAAACATTAAACGGTACTACAGATAGCTCTCTCTTCTCTCTCTTCTGTCTCCTCGGCCTTGACGCTCACTTTGTATTGTACGATCCAACGAACATCACCTCCACCAAAAGCTGGACGGGTGTCAATGTCGACTGACATTTCAATCTACCAGACTGCGCGACTGTACAGGACCAAGTGATCAGTAGACTATTTGAGTGCTAAAGCAATGTAGTGGCGGCGCGGCCACCTCCACGAAGTTCTTCGTGGACCCGGACCGTTCGGTACTCTTTTTCAGCGATGCCAACAGTCGCCCGGGGGTGACATCTCGTTTCTTCTAGAATTGGCGTAGGTTGGAACATAAGAAGAAAATTAACAAGGGAATTTCGCGAAACAGGACTGGCTATTCCGCAATTACTAACATTATTCAGCAGTCGCTGCTCCGGAGTGTTGTGTGAGTGTCCTATGATAAGAGTCGATGTCATATTTTCCTGCCTCATCAATGCATCATCCAGTGCAGGAGTCCAGGACAACACAAAATGAGCATCCGCAAAGTCCAAGGCTTCCCAGACAAAGCCATCATTGAAACCATGCGAGATGACATTCTAAATCATTCCGAGGATACCACATACGAAGCACTCTATATAGTTGCTGCCCTGTCAACTACGACTACCATGTTACGTGCGAAAATTTCGCGACTGTGTGCAAAGACCCGGACTATATCAGCCGGTACATCAAACAGGCTAAGTTTGAGGGGCAGGGGACCGAATGTACCCAAGCACTGGTTTCCTAATCCGCAACCGTTCAAAGCTGTTCGAGTTCTGAAGGAGCAAACCACGCAGAATCTGCATCGTGAAGCTTGTGTATCTACCTGCCTGCCCGCTTCTAGGGTGAATGCCCGTGGCTTGGTTACAGTGGGTAGACCTAGCGTGATTGTTGTTAATTAAGGTCATAGGTACTACTCTTCCTATGGTGGCCATGCTTGTTTGGTTGGACTTCAGAAAACTGGATTAGCTTAGGTCTTCTGGCGAGTCACCTGTGATTGCCTGATATGGTTATGGTACTTAGGTACAAGAAAATTAAAAAGTGTTACCAGATAGCTCTCCCTCTTCTATCTCTTCCCGGCTCCCCCGCTCACCTTGTGTTATGATTCAACGAAATGTGCAGGCCCGCTTGCAGCTTACAGCTTACCGTTGCCAGCATGGGCGGTAACGCTGGAGACAACAGTGCTGTAGGCAGCAGCAGAGGCAATATTCTTGCCCTTGAACTTCGAGAGGATGTCCGTATCAGCCTGGCTAAAGGCACCGGAGCTTCCGAAGCCGTTGACCTGGCAGGTGCGTCCCAGGGAAGAGGAGCAGGCCTTGTTGGTGTTGGCGTCGGGGGAGGTGAAGAGCTTGCCGGAGATGGGGGACTCGGCGACGGCCTTGACGTTCTGGAAGACGTTTCCTTCGGCGACGACGTAGGCGCCGGAGCCGATCTCGAAGGCGTGGCCGGCGTTGTCGTACCAGTAGTTGTTGACCTGTTCTCATTTCGTTAGTTTATGACATATGAAAGGATGAGGTGAGGGGAGGGACGTACAGCGTGCAGCAGAGTGTTGCCCTGGACCTTGGGGGAACGGCCGCTCGTGTGGTAGATGTAGTTGCCCTTCATGGTGACCATGTCGTTGGAGCCATCAAGGTAGATGCCCCAGTAGTGGTAGCCGTTGCAGGTGGCCGAGTAGTCGGTGACACCGTCGATGTAGCAGTTGGAGATGGTGATGCGGTTGTCGGCCTGGGTGCCGAGGACGATGTGCTGGCGACCAATCCGGGCGGTCTAATCCCGTCAATATATCAGCAATTGTCTCAAGTGAGCACGGTTCGAGCGACTTACAGTGACGTGGTCGATCCAGACGAGGTCAGAGTTGTTGATGGTGATGGCGTCTCCACCCCAGACGTACTTGGGGTTGATGTCCGTGATAGCGATGTTCTGGATGATGATGTTCTTTGCGCCACTGACGATGCGCAGACCCTTGCCCTTGATGACGCCGGCGCTGCCCTGGCCAATCAGGGATTTGTTCGAGTTGACGGTGATGCCGAGCACGCCGGCGTTGTCGTAGCTGACGCCAACCTTGGGGGCGTTGGGCTCATAGTTGTCGCACCATGAGTTCTGGTTGATGGCCAGCTGGCACTTGGCATTGGTGCCCCAGGGGGCGCAGCCGGTTCCGCTCGTGGTGCCTTCAGTGCCGCGGAAGTCGAAGCTGAGGCCACATGTTAGCTGTTCCCGTTCATCTTTCATCTGTCAGGGCATTGGGGTTGAGTACGTCTTGGTGAGGACGATGACGCGGGGCTGGCTGTCACCGAGGTATGAGACCAGCTCATCGGTTGTTTTGGGGTAGACGGGGGAGGCATTTCCACCTCCTGTTACGCCCTTTGCAAAGCCCTCGGCGGCTCCAGAGACGCCAACGGCCGCGGCGGTGCTGGCCAGCGCAGCCGTGACTGCGGCGAAGAGAGAGGTATATCTCATACTGACAGAAATGGCAAGAGAAAGAAAGAAAGAATGAATGAATGAATGAAGTAAGCACTAGAGTGAAGAGCAAAGGAATGAATGGGTTGTTTCAAACAAGCATTGCTCACGGGGGAAGCCTTTATATATACACTTCATCTCGGAATCCGGACATGGTCCAGATGGAGACATCAAGAGATGCAAACCCCTATTATCAGATCCGGTTCATCTATCCGAGTCAATAATGCAGGGCCAGGCTAAATAGAGACGACTTCTTAGATGAAACATACCGGACTAAGCCAGCCCTAAAAGCACCAGTAAAACACCAGTTCCCACCCACTGGCGCTAAGAACGTCTGTTTGCAGCGTTACTTAATCCACAACAATGTCCTTGACTATGGAGGCCAATATATGAAACTCAAATGTCGGCCGGAATTTCTTCTCGACCATCGGTAGTAACTTGCTTGTCAGCCGTCGACTGATACATAGTGGATAGTGGATAGTTCATCAATGAGGGGCGAGGGGAAACGAGCCTAGTTTAAAGTGTTTCATAGTCCTACTTAGGAAATCCCTAATATCTTAACCTCTCTGCACTGAGTCAGGGGGACCGGCTAACATCTTAGCTGCCGGATGTTGTTGCGGTTCTTGAGAAATTCTCCGTCTTGGCGGGTGTGAGTTGATGTATCCAGAGATTCAAACTTGAGACTTACGACGCTGCATCTGTGCGAATACGAAACTCTAACAATGCGGCTTTCTTTTTGAATCTTTTGATTGACTTCGACCATGGTTCTCAAGATTCAAGTCTCATTGTAGTGCGGACCATGTGGTTGTGGTAGAAATCAAACTGAGAGAGACATGATCCACAGTGGATCACCGCGATTGATTCTTCGACCATATGATCAGTCTCCATTTTCACGACTAGTGTCTTTGTCAGGGCCCTCAGGGGATACTCCTGGACGTCATAAGTCCATAACTCATAAGTTGAGATAGCCTCTTAGGGAATAAAAGGATCACCCCTGCATATACAAACTGACTCCATTCCCCATACTCTGCAGATCCACATAGGGCACCGTCCGAAATACCGAGCTTAGCCTTGCCTTCAACGTGGTCTGATCTGGGCAAATCATGGGTACGGAGCAGTAAGCGGTTGTCTTAATTGTAGGAAATTGCCCGAGGGCTGCAGGCTCTAGTGCCTGCTTAGCATATTGGCAGATTGTAATCGTATTAAGCTGCCATACCAAGGAGGTAGTAATTACCGCCTAGACGCTTTTCTTTACATCCTCAGAGCAATGATGGATAACAGGCTGGATATGCTTGTAGAATAGTTATCTCGGCCATACGCCAGCTCCTGTCTTATTGCTACTTTAGTCGACCATACTTGGAAGGTCAAGCAATACATCGCACGAGATAAGGCATTAGTACTCTACTTCAAGACTAGTATAGAAGGACAATTTCCGCATCCCAATAGTTGAGTCCTTCGGCCGCAGCAACCTCGTTGCAAAGTGATGGAGAGGTCTGTCTGGTTCATCTGGTCATAACATCCAGAGTCCGGAAAGCCCCCCGATGGTGTTGCCTTACTGAAAAATGTAGTCCTGCCGCGACCTCGAAAGCCCAATGGCCACGGGTTACGCGGGAAGGACCTCGAGGTCAGCTTTAACAAATGTAAGCGTCAGTGTAAGGTCATAAAGCTCTTGTCGGCAGAAGATGGATCTTCCTGTCCATAGTGATTCTGCGGGAGGTCCGGAGCACTCCCGAGTCTCCTCCGTGACGCTTGCTCATTGGAAGTCAAGAGCACATGCGGAAGGCGGTTCTGTCAAAGACTGAATCAGACTAGACTGTCAGTGGTAACTTATAACCAATTGCCTTAACGTCTCATTTCACGAGAAAAAAAAAAAAAAAAAAAAGAGAGAATGCTGGACAATTGACCATTGAAACGACAATGCAGGTAAACGGCAGTTGGACAGTCAGGCACGATCATGAAGAAGAGCAGATGAGCATGATCTTGGCCTTCAACATATTTGCTCTGATGTCAATTAGAGCCGCATATTTATATGCACATCAGTTCATGATATGATCATTCCGATCTTCTTCACTCAAGCCGATACGATGTCTGAATTAGAAACGATCGACAATCGGTCCCGGTCGGTGGGTGTCATAGCAGTCTTGCATACTGAAACAGATCTCCAGATTCGGTCTATCAGATCGGTGGTTCGAGAGCAGACTGAGGCGGATGTGATTGGCAAAGCTATGTTGATCTTTGCGATGGATGAATGGACTGCCACCACCCAAGGAGGGATAGTGTTAATGCCTTGTTGCCTCAGGCTGTTTCACATGACGTTCGGTCGTCGGAACGGCAGTTCCGTTCCCCCTTGGACCTGGGCCAGCACTCAATCATGTCTATCGACTTCATAAACCAGGTGGTTGTATATCATAGACAGTGATAGAAGGTTCGCCTCTCGATTGAAACAGAAGCATCTACCGAGAACGACGGAGTGGCTGCAGGGAATTATATTTCTTGCATGGCAGCGAGCTTTCGCCGTGTATCCCCGACGCTTGCAATTAGCGAATGTGTGATTGGCCTGGACGGGCTGAGTCAGCAAATTGCCGACCGCCAGACCCGAGGTTACCTTAGCTCCCAGAAGCGACAAAACATCTCCAGCGGCATCTGAACCGTCTTCCGGACTCCTTGACCCTCATCTCGTCGTCGCCGCTGGCAGGCTGCTGCTATATCTATCCGTCTCTACTTCTCCTCTCTGCCTCACTGCCACTTTACACGACTCAATCGACGCCTTTCGGCTCTCCACCCTTGGACTTCAGCGCTCGCGTGATTGAAACGACCTTCCACTCGTCCGCACACCATGGCTGCTCTTCGTTCGACCTCGCGCCTCGTCGCATCCACAAGGCCTCTGTTCCGTCCTGCCGTCTTTGCTCGCTCGTATGCCACTGTTGATCCCGCTACTGGAGTCGGTCGCACTGGCAGTGCCGAGGCCAAGGTTACCCCCGAGACCAGGACTTCCGATGTTCAAGATCCCAACCCGTCCAAGTCTCCGAGAATCAAGAAGTTCCACGTCTACCGCTGGAACCCAGACCAGCCCACCGAGAAGCCTAAGATGCAGACCTACAGCCTGGATTTAAACAAGACCGGTCCTATGATGCTGGATGCGCTCATCAGAATCAAGAACGAGATCGACCCCACCTTGACCTTCCGGAGAAGTTGCAGAGAGGGTATCTGCGGTAGCTGCGCCATGAACATTGACGGAATCAACACTCTGGCTTGCTTGTGTATGTTTGGCCCACCTGGAATCGATTAAGGACATTGAGCTTGGTTGCTAACATCCCGTTAGGCCGTATTCCCACCGACACCAAGCAGGAGTCGCGTATCTACCCGTTGCCTCACACCTACGTCGTCAAGGACTTGGTCCCCGATCTGACCTACTTCTACAAGCAATACAAGTCCATCAAGCCTTACCTGCAGCGTGAGACCAAGACCGAGGATGTGAGTACTTCTCAGATTTTGTGAATATGTAGCCCAAGCTAATACAAGAATAGGGTCTCGAGTACCGCCAAAGCCCCGAGGACCGCAAGAAGCTCGACGGTCTTTACGAATGCATCCTGTGCGCCTGCTGCTCGACCTCTTGCCCTTCGTACTGGTGGAACAGCGAGGAGTATCTGGGTCCCGCGATCCTGCTCCAGTCTTACCGTTGGCTGGCCGATTCTCGTGATGAGAAGACCGCCGAGCGCAAGCACGCTCTCGACAACAGCATGAGCGTCTACCGTTGCCACACTATCCTCAACTGCTCGCGGACTTGCCCCAAGGGCCTGAACCCCGCTCGGGCTATTGCTGAGATCAAGAAGATGCTCGCTGCCCATTAGGTGGTGTGTTCACAATAAAAGAAACTTGCTTCTTTCGTGTCCAATTTCCCTGTGCGCCTATATTTCTTTTCACCTTTTGTGCGATGTTGTTGCATTACTTTTTCCCCTCGATTTCGAGGTTATTCATGTCGGATGTTTTTATAGGTGTAAATTGACTATTTGATTCAAGCAATATAGTGGCGATATTCATCTTTTAAATCGTGTCCGTTTGGGGCAGATTATTTAGAGGAAAACCATGGTCCATAATCATAGAATTCAATCTATCCGCACTGAGATGAACATCTGTATCATGTCGCCATGTCATATGTGAATCCGCCAAATACCAGCGATAACCTGGAGCATGCTCGGGAATTCTTCGGCATTTGTTCGATTTTCTTTATAGACGCATAATTTGGGTGGCGATAACATCACTGGGCTGTTAGCACAGTGGTAGTGCGCCCGCTTCGCATGCGGGAGGTCGTGGGTTCGATTCCCACATAGTCCATTTTTGCTATTCACAGCTTGATCTTCTGTTTTTCTCTTCCTTGTATTGTTTTTGCATGCTGTCATTCTCCTATACAGCCCCTTATACCTGTTTGTACTGGGACGGGAAACCCTTAGGCCTATGGGCATAAAATTTACTGCATCATGACTGTCCTTAGGGCTAATAGCAAGATGAATGGGTATAGTCACAAATATATATCTTTCATGTCCTGGTATATGTACAGCGCAGCATAGTCTTATTAGCACCTTTATTAATTTTGACACTTATGTTCATGTCTCTGCGGAGTACACTCAGATAATTCAGAATTCTTTCTTGACTTGTGTTTATAATGATTGTACCATAAATAAGCTGAGATCGGACCGAGGACAGTAAGTTGGAACACGATGCTATTTATAAAGGAGATCTCCACTATCAGTGTAGATCGTCCTCTGCCTCACTCCTAGGCATTAACCCCACCATCGGTGACCGGTCCACATTGTTTCTTTCCTGTCCTCAACTTCTAACCTTCATCAACTATTACCAAAAATGCCTCCGCACGAAGGATTGGTCCATCTCAAAGAGTACGACATCAAAGACAGCAACGTGGAATTCATCGGCTCTGACATCGACCACCGCGTCAAATACAACTCTGCCGCATCCGAACCAGCCTGGAACAACGGCCAGGTAGGCCAAGAATGCGGACTCTTCATCTGGCGCATTGAAAACTTCGAGGTCGTCCCCTGGCCCAAGGAGCGCGCAGGCGAGTTCTACGACGGCGATAGCTATATCGTCCTGCACTCGTACAAGGTCGAGGACAAGCTGTGCCACGATATCTTCTTCTGGCTGGGAAGCAAGACCAGCCAGGACGAGGCGGGCACGGCCGCGTACAAGACCGTCGAGCTCGATGAGTTCCTGCATGGGGCTGCGACGCAGCATCGTGAGGTGCAGGCGCACCCCTCGCCGGAGTTTATGGCGCTGTTCCCTCGCCTCTGCGTTCGGTCTGGGGGCGTGCGATCGGGCTTCAACCACGTCGAGACGGAGGAGAGGCCGTCGAAGGAGGTCATCACGCTGCTTCGGATCTTCAAGCATCCTGGTGCTGCGCGAGCTGATTCAGTCATCGTGCATGAGGTCGAGCCGACCTGGGAGAGTCTCGACGATCACGATGTTTTTGTCTTGGATCAGGGGGAGAAAATCTGGGTCTGGCAGGGCAAGAACTGCAGCCCGATGGAAAAGGCAAAAGCTGCCCAGGTGGTCAACGATATGACTCTTGCTAAACATCTCGACGTTGAGGTTCTTTCCCAGCTGGAGTCACGATCTAAAATCATCGTGGACCTGCTCGGCGGCAAGGATATCCAGCAGTCGTCTTTCCAGGCGCCGCGGCCCGTCTCGTTCCCTGCAGGAGGCGATCGGGATAGTGACGAGTCTCAGTCCCACAAGTTATTCCGACTCAGTGACGCCGCAGGGGCGATTTCGTTCGATCTCGTCAAGGATGGTCAGCAGATCTCACCGTCAGATTTGGATGGGAATGACGTCTTTCTCTGCGACACCGGTAGCAGACTTTGGGTCTGGCAAGGCTCGCAGGCGAGTAAACGGGAGAAGGCGCTGTGGCTCAAGGTCGCCCAATCTTATATTCGGCAGATTCAGGAGGAGAGGGCCAACCCAGCTGCCCATCTGATTCCAGTCTCAAATGTGGCACAAGGCCATGAGAGTCCTGCATTTTGGAAGGCTATTAGAGTTTGAGATTGGCCGCGTGCCAGTCCTTCTATTAGTGAGACACGCTTGCTCGGCCTCACGCTGTGTATCTAATCCAAATGGTAAAGATGTCACATTATGCGAATGAACATGATTAATGGCTTCAATATTCAATTTGATTCAATTTAATTTCCACAGAATATACTTTTAGGAACTGCGTTGCTATTGGCATACAGGGCTATGTCAAATTTGCAGAACGTTGACCTGATACCCTCCGCTTGCCGGAATCATCTCCCCCAAGTGGAATGTAAGTTTGGCCATATCATGCTGAAAGTGTCCATCCACATTTCCTGCTAATGCAACAGAAATTAGTAGATTTGACTGCTTGTTTCCAGATTTACCCAGGGAATCATTGCAGGCCACATAGATTCAATAGCCATGCGAGCCAGGGACGAAGGCTTCCCTGGTGAAGTGGTTCAACCGAACACCCTCTGATTAGTTAGATGATTTTATAAGAATATATAAATATATATACGCATCTAAGCATGGGGAGGTCTACTATAGAATATAATTTCTCTCCACCTCCTATATATTACACTCTTACATCAATCTACACTTAATATATATAATCACGCTCATCTATATCTTATCCCTTCCCACTTAGTATTCCGATATTACCTTAGCCTCTCAAGCTGCTCCCGCTGCATGCGCCGCGCATACCGCGATGCGCCTCCATGATGTAGAGGTCGAAGCTGGTCTCTTGGCCGAGGCTGCTGTATTTGTAGAGTGGGAGTTTTCGGTGCGCGCGGTATGTTCGGCTTACGTCCTCTGGTTGCACTCACGGTGGCTTCGTCAGCAGGTATATTCAGTTCATATCTTCCGGGTGCTCTCCTGCTGGCTTCGTCCGTGGTTTCTAGCGTGTATTCGAGCTGGAAAACACCGAGTGGCCCATCGTTTTGCATTTTGACAACCTGTCCATTGGGCCCCAACCACCCTAGGTGTGTTCCCTTTTGTTCAAAAAGATTGACTGCCACGAAAGCGCCATTGTCAAGCTCGACGCTGCGATTTGGATCCGGATTCACCACTGCTTCAATTGCAGCATTGATTTGTCTCTCGAGTTGTACACCACGCGTTGAGTCGGTGGTAGTCAAAGCAAGCAGTAATTGCCTGTGGGCCAGTTTAACCCATCTGAGATCATCCTCGTTTTCTGCATTACTAGAGCCATCCTTTGCCCGCAGGCCCCTGGCATCAACGAAGGCCACTAGCAGGTTTGATGAGTCACTTTTGCTACCATAGAGAAAGCCTGCATTGCTGTACTCGTCGTCGTCGTCGGTTTGCCGCAGGTCATACAGATCCTCACGTTCATAGTCCTTCGTCCTGCGCCGGAACTGGACTTCATAATGAGACGTGGCTTTTAGCTGGTTATTGTATGCCAGCAACAAGAACGCCCCGTCTGCTCTGTTCTTTGACGGGGGCTGGATACGAGAATAAAGGATTACATACCTCACGGTTATAGTGCGCTGCGGGAAGCAGGGTTTCAAGTTCGCCTGTAACGTCGTTCGTACCGGCGCCGATGATCACTGAACGGGCACCGTCGTCGTTTGTTGGCCACCGCCACTCGCATCTTTGAGCAACTGATGTGAAGGTGGTGAACATATCAGCTTTAATAGTCCCTGTTTATGATGGGGCAGTGTACTACTTACTTGAGCGTAGGTCCACTTGGAGGTTGCCATCCGCGATGCTGACATTTTTTGCGTCACCCAGGACAGATTGGAAAAGGGCTCGATCTGGGGCACGTAGACGGAACGCCTTCCTAACCAGCTGCGGGTCTTTGTGTGAAGGATATCGTCCACCAGTCGTGGGATATAATGGTACGCTTCAAGTTTGCCAATCATGTCAAAGATGCTGACTGTGTCTTTTCGCTTTCCGGATATTAGCATGGCACTGCTGCGGTTACCAGTACGTTACCTTCATCACACGCCAATTGTAGAAGGAAGCGACTGTTGAACACCAAGCCGGAAGGCTTCATTGGCCAGGGCAGATGTCTGTTAGCATGGTTCCGGCCCCGTGGAGGAGGAGAAATGGAGAAAAAGAGGGTCAACTAACTTGTTACAAAGCAGAGTGTCCCCGCCTTCAGCGTTCCAGTTGATTGAATGCGTTGATCTGCTTGCCGAATATTCCGTCTTGTTGCTGGAATTGTTTTCACGGCTTGCACTGACCTCAGCCTGAAAACTCCACCCGACACCGAGGCACTCGCCGCTGCCTTAAGGGTTCGTGTTTTCTCTTTAACAGAGGACCCTGCAACACTGTCAGATTCGTCCGTCAAGTAGAGCCGGCCCCTAACTCGGCGTTGGGGACGAAGACATGGCCTACTCCCACATCTCAGTCAGACCTGTCGTGTGGGTAGATATGATGTAATCGAATATCCCGCGGACTGACCATATTTTTCGCAGAATTTCACCAAGTAGTGTTTTGTCTCATTCAAGGGTAGAACAATATCAGTTTGTTTGATGGTGTCAAATTAGCCAGTCCTCAAGATGCTTCCTTTAAGAGTTGCGATATCCACTTCGACCACGATCCGTAACCTATGTGCCTCCACCGGCAGAGCTAGGAGGAACTACAGATTAAGACACATAGAAGAGTCCAGGAATTGGCTTTATAATACCGTCTGCTACATAAATAGCTAAATGGACGTTTATAGTAACACAACAATCATTGCATGGATGATTATTTGATACTTCGAGGTTCTGACATCATCATCACGGAAACAAGAACGAATCGCTAACACTATCGCATTTCTACATCTCCACAGACATCGTCAATGTCTTCGCCGTCGGTGGCACTCCATATTGTCTTTTCTGTTGAAGATACGAGGGCATCCTTCGACCGAACACGCATAAGAGCCGGGGCGTACGTGCATGTTCTTGACATGCCGCATTAGGTCAGCGTCTCGGCGGAAAGGTCTTCTATAGTTGCAATCTTTCCATCTACATCTGAAGCCCTTCACTTGGGATCCTCTTCATTGCTATCAATGAATTGTAAGACTGGCCAGAAAGAATAGAGGACAGGTAACTTACGATTGCGAACCAGTGTCACGGTTGAGACCTTGATTCTCGGCTGGAGTATGGTCAGAAGTGAAATCAGCGTATGATAACCCCTCCTTGCCTTGTGTGGCACCGGGATGAGGTATGTACAAGTCGGCCATCATTGTTTGGCCAGGAACCATAACGTCCATCGAGGGATGAACGCCACTGGCGTTGTTGACACTGAGCAATGTAGAGTTCATTGTACCATCCAGAAGAGGTGGGATGTACAAAGGATACTCAAAGACACCATTGAATCCCCCTGCGCTTTGAGTGTGAGAAGAGTCAGGCCAGTCCATCGTGGGGCTACGCCAGCTCGACTGGTTTGCTCGAGATGAAGAATTTGTAGGAGAGTGACCAAGGTTGGTGTTCATCTTCTGTATACTAAGGTACACACACGTTAGCCGAGAAAGCAGGACCGATCAGAACAGACGGCACTCACCTTGTCCGCTGTTTTCACACAGAGTATTCTGAAGAATCTGTGGTGCATGGAGAAATAGTAAATCGGCCATTTTGCAAATGTTTGGCCTTTTATATAACCCAGCTGGTGGTGAAGTTGCCCTGCTTGACCCGTGTAGCGGGCGACCTTCCCTGGCGTAAACCGACATTTTAAATATTAACGTACCTCACTAATCGTCTCTAGGAAGCCGCCCCACCTCGTCTTCGGGGGTGCCAATTGTTTTTGTATTCGTTTATAAAGCAAAGCGCCCACTTCAAATTCGATATCTAATCCACTCCAACCCGCACCTGTTCTATAATTCTGGTTTCTTGGAAGTAACATATACAGAACCGGATGAAATCTCATCAGGCCACAGGTGATCCATAATAAGCTGGATGGTCTCAGTCAGCAGATGGAGTAACTTCGAGGTGTGCATTCTAGAAGACGCTACCATCCAGTCGGTCAATTCAGTTTTGTCCGCGTCCAAGGACAATGCAGCGCGCGGAAACTAAGCGCCTGTCAGTCGCGGAATACCGGAAATTGATCCTCTGGAGCTTCAAGGTGATCTTACATTGTACGAAACATGCAGGTAGCTATGCTCGCCAGCAGCAGCATATGCATTGCGCTCGGCCAGGCTGCGGCTGGCGCCACCTTTGACGCTCCCACTGATTCCCGCAATAGAACCTCCTCTATACAGGCGAACTGCGTCAGAGTGTCCTTCTTCAACCATTCAACTCCTGGCATTGCGACTCACACGGAAGCTTGAACGGCAGTTTGGGTGAGGGAACTAGTCGCTTAATGAAGCTGCAGCTGCTGTTTCGTCTCGAAGACTTCGACTGACGAGTCAGATGTGAAAATGAGGGATCCGAAATTTAAACTGGTTCAAAGTGTAAGCCTTCAGGAAGTCGAGGCCTTGCCCTTAGCGAAGGCGACTGGTAATAGGCTACATCAGCCGCGGAGCATGGAACCGACACATGAACTCTCAATAACTAAGGTACCTTACTGGTAATCTCGAGTTTCAATACCTGGAGATATTGCTCTCTCGGCCGATCTTGACCCACTTTAGCATCTATGGATATCTGTATTCCACTCGTTCATTTTGTCTTTGCTCCTTGTCGCGTCTAAGCGCCTTTCCTTTCAGTTAGACCCTAACAAAACTATGAAAGATGGGAGCAAGCGAAATCATTGGTCATTTTGCACGGTCACAGGAACCATGCGCGTATAGGCAAGGAGGTTAGCGCTCAAGCAAGCATCGACTGGTTTCGACGCAACGTGTCGACATGCGTTACACAGGGCTATGCAACGATTCGATACCCGGCTCTCCGAGTCAGTGATTGCAAGCAAACAACAGCTGCCGCTTGGGGATATCGGCGGCAATCTCGGCGCTGCTTACACATAGCCCAATAGTTATTCTATAAGAATGGGTCTGCGTTGGGCAGCAATATCCAATTCTTTGAAGACCTTCAAACTACTCCAAAATCACGCAAGTAGCTGTAAGTAAGTTCAGATTGAATCCTCTGTGCTCGTTTACTCATCCTCTTTTGCGCAGTATCCTTCTATCCCGTCCTATATATCCCCACATCCGCTACGCAGCCTTCTGACGTCTTCTTTTGCTTCAAGATGTCAGAGGTCAAGGTATATGTAGCCATATCCGACGACGGCGGTGTTTACAAGCACTGGGCTCTCTTCATTGACGAACCCGGAGCGGACGAAACCTGGCTCAATGCCCGGGGATCTGATGGCCGTTTTCGCTATGAAACGGAGAAAAGAGACGTTCGTCGTGACGAAAGTCCGGTGGAGCTAGTCTACCTTTGTGACGTGGATGTCGCCAAAGCCAACATGATTCGGGATGTCGCGAGGAAAATCCCCGTTCACAATGAGATCTCCGGTTGGAATTGCCAAGACTATGTGCTTGATCTCTTGGACGAGTTGGAAGAAAGGAAAGTCATTGACAGTGAAGACGAGGTATATCGCAGGCAGAGGACTTATATTGCGGAAAAACAAGAAGGACTGGCATAACGCTCTTCTTCGTCTGCCTGTTATTGGAGAAGTTGGATGGATTTCTTCCTTTTCCTCGCGAAACCGATTGTTCATATTAGGCATGTAAGCTCAGTGCATGATATCTATCCGATCTGTTGTTGTCAGCCAGTTGCCGTTTAACACCTGAAATCGAATTTTCAAGTGACATATTGCTTGAGACGTGCCGTAGCTAAACGAAGACAGTCATTCAGAGTGGCACTATGATAATAGATTGCTTTGACATGGATGTCCTAGAGCCGATGAACAAGCACAAGCCAATGTATAGGGGACTGCGAGGGAGGAATACTCCTTGGCAAATAAGAATACCAGTCATTCTCCTCCGTCAGACACAATGTCCTTGTTCATGAAGTACATCCATAGTGCTTTGGATAAAATTTGCTGTCTTCTCAGTCAATGATGTTGATCACGACACAGGCACTGTTCTGATCCCGATTCACTATAATATTATCAGTCTTGACATCGCCATGGAAAAGACATACATCGATCCTGATTCATAAAGAAAGAACGGAAGAATTTGACGCATGTTTTACTGCCATGACGGGGAGTACTATGGTCGAGATGTTCAGATCCAGGAGGTACGCTGAGTATTGAGCTGTCTGTGTGGTCCTCGGCTCATTTCCTTCAACGCATTCCGAATAGTAGTTTCCTGAAACGTTCTCAATTGGCAGAAGATGCCATCGAGCTGACTCTGCACAGACACCTTGTCTTGATGTGCGAGTGTAGGCCACCCTTCAGTCAACCTCATATCGGGCTTGGAGAATCGTTCAACAGGGTCGCTACATTCTGAGATGGTGGGAAGTCAGTCTCAGGTATATCTCCAATATCCAGACGCGTGCGAAAGACTGGAGGGCTTCGCGGTTTTATCATCTTGCGTTCCGATGGGTTGATCGAAGTCTGAGTCGCGAATCGACAACGTCGACCATAGTTCGGAGGGAAAACCGACGCTAAGTCGATATCGGGATTGTCGCTGACCTAGAACTGGAGCTGATTCAGGGTCCTCCGGTTGAGCTTTGCTGTATCTGTTTTCAGATGTTGGAATTGTAATTTTCGATGCTCCTGGAGATAGGAGTCAGGGATGAGTGCCATCAAATCGGCCGCTGGTTTCTCTCGAGCGCCGTCGTAAATATTTGCATCAGCTCTTGATTAGGATCCACGGCGGCACAGGCCAGGGAGGTAGGTATTTCCGTAGTATAGCAGTATTGTCCATGGTCATTGAGAAGCAATGGGCTCCAAAGCCTTTTGCGAAATGGACGATTGTAAGAAATAGCTGGGTTAGAAGAGTGAGACAAACAGCGGCCCAGGGTTTGTCAACATGTATGATGCAGGAAGCTAGCTAAAACAGAGCATTTAGCCATAAGGAGTGTTACATTAGCTACATCCAAACATTATGCTCTATATGTACTCTGGGCTCTATAGACTTAGTGCTTCCTAGATTAAAATATCTCGTGCGCAGACTCTACGGACTAGGAAGGATTTCACGTATCTTGAGGAGTTTGGTATACTTACTATATACAAGAGGTGAAGATCGCCACAGACGAGCTTCATTCACTCACTGTGATCACATAGAGGGAGCATTTGACGGATTTTAGTGACTATTTTGATGTCCAGGCGAGTATGCCTAGCAAAGTGAGAATATCGCCTAGGGAAGCAAGCGAGATCGTCAGGGCTTTACTGGGAGCTCTATCTGAGTGTCACATCGGACATGGTACATAGCAAGAATGCTAGCTTTTATACAAGATGACCCTCATAACGACTGCGGGCTATCTCGACCTTTCAAACTACCTGAACGGTGCGTCTCCTGGTCCCCTATTAGAATGATCCCAATGGTATCTGTGGGGTGACTGCTCGACTGAGGCCTTACTTTTCGGACGTCTCGTAAGTCTGCAGTGTCCCTGAGCAGCGCGAAACAGTACGTGGTCGTTTGAAGGAGAGGAGTTGGGCCTATATAGATGACATGGATATGTCGAGACCGCAGGGGCCAGGGGCCAGTAGCATAGCCCACGGCGGTGGCCGGTGGAAGAGCGGCAGCTCAATAAGGGTTACGGAGTATTTTCAGCGCTAATGATGTTGTTGTATAGAGGTACTATCGCTAGCTTATTTAGTTTGTATTGACTATTACCCCTCTAGGTGTTCTAATAAGTGGGATTCTGGGGGCCACCCAATCTTGGCATTGTTGCACCTCGGGCTTTATATAAGGTTATGCGCCTGTTGTTTTTCAGCTTTGTTTTTAATTTCCCTTGTATTCTCAGCCAACTCTTGAGTTAAAGCCAAACACTCTACAAAATTATACATCCTATTAGCTGACTGGCAGTTGATGCCATTAGCCTCCACTTTCTATATATAGGCTCTTAACTCCACCTCACTACACAAGATGTCACCTCCAGAGCCACCTATATGGTGGCGTGTGTACGCATACTGCAGAAAAATGTCGTCCAAAAGCTCTTTACTAACGTCTTTAGTATCTTGCTGATTCTCGCCGTCGGTTCTTTTCTTCCCCAGATATTGCTCATCCACAGGAAACAAACCATTAATGGGGTCTCTTTGATGACCATCTTGTCGAACTTGATTATTGCCACTGAGCATCTCTCGATCTATATATTCTTACTCTTTGTTGTGTATGAACAAGATGGCCACCCTTCTTTCTTTCTACATTACCCCACAAGCGCAGGGGACAGGTTTAGTTTGTGGCACTGTGCTGTGGTCACAATCCTTTTTGTGGCATTGTGAGATCCCATCCTAATGTCCAGAAGCAGTATGGGCAAATACTTATATTTGTCCCCGCAGATTCATACAAATTCTCATCTATAGCAACCGGAAGTTACTCTTGGTTGCCACTTACACCATCTTTCTCCTTATCTCGATCGTTCCTCTGATGATTATCAATTCCATCCCCGACCATGGACCTCGAGATCTTTGGTCCGCAATTTTTTACGGCGTGCACTCCACCTGCATTTACCCAATTCTCACGGCGCTAGGTGTTCTGGGGATCTTCTGTCAAGCTCGTGAGATCTTGGTTGCACCAATTTCAAATGCGCTGAGTGTGCAGAGTTTGGCTACGCAAGCTCTCATCTTCACTCTCGTCTCAGTGACATGGATACCGAGTCTTACATTTCCGTATGAGAAATTGGAGGGTCATTACAACTGGAATACCTTTACTGTGTGGTACGGGGCTGTTGGTTTCATCATCGTTGACAGCTTCGTCTTCGCCCTCGGCCAGGCAGTACTTCTGTTACTGGCCTTGCATCGCTCCTCTTCGAGCAAAGCCACTGTACAGCGGGGCACCGAGACAGAGCCGCTTTTGGGGCATCCGGCTGAGATGTGAATATCCAGATATCATCATTTCTTTCAGACTTCATGCCTTGTAAGCAAGGATCTCATTCAACCATCGTAAACTCGACCCAGTTACTAGCCGGGACCACAAGCCCTGGCCGGCCCCCATTGTCTTTTGGATCGCGAACCAAGTAATTAACCCACACCACGGTATTTTCATGATCCCCAAGGTGTCCCCAATCCCACCAGTCCAGCTGCGCACCCTTAAACCTGTACCGGAATTCGTCACCAGGCGCTGCATGCTTCGGGAAATCAGTCACCTCCCGCGTGAATGACCAGGACTCACCAGGCACCAGGGCCACGAATTCATCTTGCTCGTTGCGGCCGACATTTACTGGGACGGACTTGGAAAATCTGTACCTGTGATATGTAAAACTGCCGGGAAGTTCATGTGGGCTCCAGTGGCACTTTTCTCTAAGGTAGAGCCTGAAGCCCCCCTGGCGGCTATCGATATCTTTGAATATGGGCGTATGAAATGTGACTGGCTTTCTGTCTAAGCCATCCGGAGCTGCGTCATACGACAGCGTCATTGTGACTGGATAGCGCAGCCGACCCCGTGAATTGCGATCTCTCATCGATAGCGTAGCAGGTCCTGCGATGGTGAGGCTGAAGACCGGGGCGCCGCTCACCCTGCCAGATGCCAAAATGGGCGCGGGAGAAGGCGGCAACGGGCCCACTTCGTCTATATCGCTTTCCACCTCGAGAATCCTCAGTAACTGGTGTGGCCCGCCCGGTAGGATCACTGGGAGGCTCTTGGGGCTGAGTGTGCGGCCACTGTGCTGCGCTAATGTGCCCCAGTCCCACAAAGAGATTTGTCCGCCTACCCAGAGGATTCTGTAACGTTCTCCTGGTCGGAGGGAATTGAAATAGACAGACGGCAAGTCCAGCTCCCAGGAGACGCTGGAGCCTGGGTACAATTCCTTGAAGCACGGATCTGACCTGGATACTTCTCTTGGGTGCAGGGATTTTGCCCGCAGGTGGCTAGAATCGACTTGAACGGGTTGCAGGTCCTCCGTGAAGTCACGATTGGAACGAACTAGCATTATACCGGGCTGGCCAAAGGCATCCTCAATAGGGTTCCAGTGAATGATGCATGGTTGTGTGTGGGGATCATCTTCATCCCGCGTGATTGTGATGACGAGGGGGTATGACGTGTCAAAGTCGAGATCGAGACATGATTTGCCTTCCAAAGTAAGAGTAAGACGGGGAGTAGAAGACCTCAGGAAAGATGAGAGCTGGCCCATTTGTGCTGGAGTCAAATGAAGGAAGTGGTGTGCGTGTGGGTGGGAGGTTGTTGGGTGGACTGGGCCACTGGGGCCATCGAGGCAGGTAGTTATACGGATCACCAAGTGCGCTAGCTAACATAGTCCCTGTCACATGATAGGTGGTCACTGCCAAACACCCTCATGGGCTGCACAGTGGCTAGTAGTAGCCTAGTAGGGCATAGGAGGACTGAGTGTGAAACCGGAGACTGATCAATATCAACAAGGGGTTGTGGTTGATCGAAATCTTCGATACTGGAAGAGAAGATTGTTGAATCGTCGACCCCCTGATATGGTTCACTTGCTTACTTATTACGTTGACTGAAGGTAAACCCGCTTGCATGCTTCCACCTATCATGAGGGTACGGGTACACGAGGAGCGAACTATCTGAGCAAGAGAAATCCGGTCAAGCTGGAGAGAGGAAAAAATGAGACATTTGGCATGATAGAGAGGGAAGAAAAGAAAAAGAGGAAGACGAAGAGTCGAATAGCTACCGAACTGAGGAAGCAGAAGAATCAAGCAGATATCTGGGAAAAGGGAAGAGAGAGGGAGAGGGAGGCGTCTGGACAAGAGTGCTGGTGATTCAAGTTGCTTAGTCGTCCATTAGAGCATCAATATTTTCCAGGATAGCATCGCGGTAAAGCCCCATTCCAGGACTCCGTGGGTGGAAACTTCTGATCTGTCGAGTCGGATACCAGGGTCTGACATGCTGCGAGTTCACATTCCTATCTCTGATGGCCTGGGTCGCACTGCCAAATGACCAAGCTAATGGTCCATTCGGCTCTTCCTTGATCGCAATGAAAGCTAGACACAGGAATTCCTCGTATGGATCTGGATCTGTGCCTATCATTTGCTGGCAAGTTGATGCCTCTGGAAGGTTGATCCCAGCCTGCATAAGGGAGGCAATATCGGCGGAATCGGAAGATGTGACAGCGTTGTTGTTGAGGGGAAGATCGGACCAGCCGCTCAAAAAGAAGTAGGTGTTTGGAGCCGTGGCGTCGGGCTCATGAATCCCTTGCTCACACCGGCGGTGCCTGTCAAACTTCGGTTGGACGTCAACATAGCGGACCTCGGTTGATCCTAGCTAGGAATTGGCATCTTGAACGGCAGCTTCAATCAAGCTGTTGAGCTAACCCACCAGGGCATTGAGTTCTGTACGTAGAGACGTGGTAAGGTAAACCTTCCCTCGATCGACATAGATCCAAGGAGGAGTAGACGAGACATTGCAATAATATAGTTACTTGACGGCAGTTGGATTCTTGTGAATTAGGGTCCCACATGCCGTCATTTGAGTCCTCTAGGATTTCAAGGAAGGAAGAGAAGAAGCTAAAAAATAATTATATTACCTTAACAGATTCAGACCATATGCACCATATCTTGAACCCCTCATGCAGCAGCCGTAGCGGTGATGAACAGCCGCTCCCATTTCATACCAAAGGTCGCAAGCAGGGTGACTGCCCCAGCCACAACGCATAGAATATAAGTCCGATCAATGGCCGTAACGATCGCAGCGAGAACCCTGCTCTTAGTAGCCGGGTCTAGATCCCGTACGAACGTCGAGCCAGTCCCGGAAATGGCATCGATGATGGTGGAACGGGCCTCGTGCGGGAGAACCCATGCAATCCCTAGAAACAAAACCATAAGCGCACAGCCCACAAACGCGAAGGGAAAGGTGACTTACGCTTTGCAGCCTCATTGACGAAGACACACTGTGCAATGACCAAGGCAACCGTCAGTCCATTGAGCTGCGCAGTGGTGGTAAACGCCACAGCGGCAGGGACCTTTTCAGGCTTGACTTTGGCCTGCGCTACGGCGTGGCCGAGTTGGAGGTACATTCCCGCTCCTAGACCGATCAGCGCACTGTAGCCGTAGATAGCTCCCGCGCTGCTGTGAGGGTGAATTGTGTACATCAGCGCGGAGCCAACCAGGCACAATGCGCCTCCCATGATGTACCACGGAATGTAGTAGCCCAGACGGGAGGTGAGGAATCCGCCTCCGACGCAACTGAAGACGAGCAGGCAGACGAAGGGGAGTAGCCGGACGCCAGACTGAAGGGACTCGTCCGACGCGGTGAACTGGAAGTATAGGGGGATGATGTATGTGGGGACTGTGACGCAGACTCCTGTGCAGCAGCCGCAGATGAAGAGGAGGGTGAGGAGCGGCTTGCGCCACGAGACCAGTTCAACGGGGAAGAGGCGAGTTTCTTCTGTGGTGAAGATGCAAAAGGTTTGCTGGATTCCAAAGACGATAAACAGCACCCCGCCGAGAACAAGTGCGACGATGATGCCTGGTGCATCCCAGGGATACATGGCGCCAGCGAAGTTGACACCGATGACTCCCACCGCAAAGGCACCCATGAGGATGAGCGAGCCCAGTAGATCCATCCGCTTCAGCCGCTCGGTAACGGACATTCCCACCGGCTGCGGATACAGCGAAGGCAGCAAGAAGATGTACACCGGGGTGAACAGGCCGCCAACGCAAAGATTGATGTAGAACGACCACCGCCAGCCCGCAGAGCTATCGGTAAACGCACCGCCGATGATGGGACCGAGCACGGTGCCCGCGCCCCAGGTCAAACCCATCGCGCTGATGTACATCGGACGTTCTTGCATCGACGTCAAGCGAGGGAGGAAATTCATGACGCCGACGTACTGGCCCACGCCGCCCACGCCGCAGACCACACGGCCGCCGATGAGCATGTTCATCGACTGCGCTGCGCCGCAGATGGCGGAACCCGCCATAAACACGGCAATTGAAAAAATGTACATCCACTTGATGTTGAACTGGTTGAAGATCTGGAGCCAGGTGAGGACGGTGGCGCTGGAAGCCATCACGAATGCGACACCGGACCAGGCTAGCTTGTCGACGCCATTCAATGATTGGATGATGGCGGGCTGGATGTTGGCGACGATGGTGTTGTCGAGGGCAAAGAGGAATGTTGAGCTGTAGATGGCCAGAACGACCGTCACCCATAGGTCGTCGCAGGAGGAATGGCCCTGACTTGGGATTTAGAATATATACAGTGTCTCTAGACGTCAACTACGCTGACAAATGTCATGGAATGATAAACTTCGGATTAGAAATTACATTCAGGCAAAGAAAACAAGGACATTTGATACAATCATCTGATTCCACTCTAAAGAACAGTGTTCGGGTGCTTGACGGGAGATTAGGGCTGGGGGAATTGCCGAAAGGGGTAAGAGAGTGGTTATATTTGACAACAGGAACAACACCGCAGCATGAGACGGAATCCACTACTACTTAGTTCTTCGTCGGTTTCATGTATCTAAGTTACCACTTGATGATTATTACGAGCATTTTTTGCTGGCTCCTGCTCCTGCTCTCAGCAGTCAGACCAAAAAAGGTCCCGAAGCGTGCTGACTAAAAACTCCCCGAGATCGGGCAGTTTTCACTTGCCCTAATGTCTGCTGGCGATGTCACTTCACGAAGCCACGCTACTCTCCACTTCCATATATTCAATTGATACAAGTCTGTCAGGATGATTATACATGAGAAAGCCTTTATCTTGTCCAAATTTGCTCCCATTCTCTTGGCCACCAGCGAGCAGGTACGGCCTGAGGACTTTGACTGACCAGCGACATGTTCGACAACTTGACTCGCAACCTGGAGATTACGCTTCAGAACATGCAAGATGCATATTCCTCGCGCGAGGAGATGCCCTTTTCGGCCACCAAACTATTGACGCCGACTTCCATGGCCGTCGCTATCGTCACCACCATTCCACCCCCGGGTCCCACACGGGTCGTCGTCGGGATGACAGCCTTCACAACTCTGTGGCTCTACGTGCTCACCCATTGGGTAGCAGGTCCGTCTTTCTTCATGGATGCGATCTTTATGATCTCAATCACGGTGCGCTGGATGCTAATGTTCCTAACTGGAACTCCCGAAATCGACTACTCCCAGACGAGTAAAACCGCGACGAAACTTGGCAGCGCCAGTGCGGACGGTGGGATCATACGCAACTTAACGTTGCTGGACAAGGTTAAATGGAGCGTGGAGCTGTGGTCGTGTTGGCGCGGGCAGGGCTGGAATTACGCTGACCCTCACCTCAAACGAGGCGCGGAGCAGACTCAATCTCGGCGGTATGTCTGTTTCCCTGAATGTTCTGGTGCAGCTGCTGATAGAGTTCTGGCAGGGACTTCCTAATTGCAAACGCAGGTAGAATCCTTCTGAACCGGTACATCTCCGACCTGGTGCGCAAGTATGCGTTCTGCGCGTTCTGGCCGGCTCACGATACAGACGCGGCCATTGTAGATTTCCCTTCATTGCCCATGCTACACCGACATCTACTGGTAGGGGCTCAATTGGTTCGAGACAGTCTCATGCTGGACAGCGAATACCGCAAGGCTTCGCTGCTCTTCGTCGGGCTGTGTCTTTCCACGCCGGATCGCTGGCCTGGCCTCTTCGGCAGTCCGGCCGACTTGTACACTGTTCGGAATTTTTGGGGGAGAGTCTGGCATCAGATCTTCCGGCACATGTTCACACGGGCTGGCGAGGTGGTAGCTAGAGCCCTGGATGCCAAGAAAGGGACCCTGGTGTACAAGTATACGAAACGGTATGTCGGATTCTTGGTCTCCGGAGTCCAGCACTACGCGTGTCCGCTGTTAATCCCGTCTTTGCGCTACGGCTGGGGAATGTTCTGGCAGATGCCAGCGTATGCTGCTGTTATCACGGTGGAGGATTTAATCAAGCACTATGGCAAGAAAGCTGGGATCCGCGAAAATGGTAGGTTCTCGTCTTCTCCTCTCCCCTCTCTTTCGTTACCTCGACCATCTTTGCTAAAGGTTCACAAAAGGCTTTATCCGCGGTCTAGGGTATATCTGGACGGCATACTGGATGACATTGATCTACGCCTTGCCTGTTGGCTATGTGTCGGACATTGGGGGGTTCGCGGGTGTGTGCGCGGCATAAATTTTTCTAACGCCAGCAAAGCATCGATAGCTATGTTGAGAACAGAATTATGGAGCTTTTGCATACTTTACTCTGTAACGATTGTATGTAGACTTGCTGAGTTCGAAAGTTGTTATTATCCTTCAGAGTACAGACAGTTCATAGTTGATCTTATAGAGAGTCCTGGGTCTTGTCGATCAGCTGAAGGGCTAACAGAGTGGAACCCTGCTGTCAACTATCTGTAAATTAAGTGCTGATCCCTATCTTTGATGAAGACTCACAGAAGACAGAAATCATCCAGATGGGCACCATCAAATGCCATTTAAATGTCTGCCTGATATGCAGTCAAAAAGAGCCACCAACTGGTGATTTACTTCTGCTTAGTAATTCTCTCCCATTTGCTTCTAGCCTTCTCCACACTCAGACAATCATCGCACCATCCATAACATCGTAAACAACCACGATCAACAAACTCAATCATGCCTTCGACTCCTTCATCTCCATCTCCAGTGTGTACACAAGCTGCGGTCACTGCAAACTGGGAGCGTCTGCGCAAGTCCTGTGATTCTTGCCAGGAAGCCAAGGTCAAGTGCAGTCAACACAAGCCCTCGTGCCATCGCTGCCTTCGTCATCGCCAACCATGCATCTACAGCCCGCAGCGTCGTACTGGACGGCCGCGAAAGAGGCTGACACTCGACGGGAATGCATATCCCGCCGCCAGTTCAAGGAGCGACATAGATGGGACAATAACCAGAGAGCCGACTAGCTCAACTGTCAACGGCCAGGACCTCCTCATGGCCGATGTCCGCGGTGATGATACACCCTTGCTGGCCGGTGGCATTACTGCGGACAACATCAATCCCATCGACAGCGTTTTTCACCCATCGTTCGAAGTCTTGCTAGCAGTCTCGCCGCTCAGCAAGGATCCGACAGCCAGCGACAACAACTCAGACGCCCATCATATGGGCTATCTCGCGGCCTCTCCGTCCGATGCGTGGGGCGATTTATCCCTTTTCTTGCCCAGTTACAATATCTCCAGCCCACCACATCCGGAGCATGTACCCGGCATCAACCAGATGCCACCACTCAGTGTGGACGCCTCGAACACAAGCAGTGAGTGCGGGGACTGCAGAGCCAAATGTTACGCGGCGCTTCTTCAACAGCTGTTGTTCTTGCGCCAATCGCTTCCGGAGACTGCTCGTCCTTCAATCGACGTGATACTGCAGGTGGAGCGCCACGTGCGCGGTCTTCTCGACCGAGTTTTGGGCTGCGCCGCGTGCCTGAGTAATCGTTCGTCTGTTCTGCTCATGTCGGCGATTACGGAGCGTGTGATCCAGATGCTCGACTGGATCATCGAGGAGAAGACCCTACTTGACACCGAAAGCGCGCGCTCCAGCCGGGGAACAGTCAGTTCCTGGGCGCGGACTTCACAACTACCCCCGGCCGGGAACCGTACCGGCGGTCGGCCGTATGTGTGCCTCATTCCATTACTTGTAGGAAACACTGAACTAGACGAGGATACCAAACAGTACTTCCTCAAGCAGCTTATCCTCATGCGGATGAAGAAGCTTGCCGCCAAAGTACAAGATGTGCGACGGACAACTAGTACGCGCCCCGGGGACTGCATCTATCGTGCTGCCGAATTGGTGCTTGCAGAGTCACTTCAACGATTGGACTACCTTCGCGGCCAGGTTCAAATGTGGGAGTGAATGCTTCCATTTCCCACTAACGGAATAATGACCTTGAGATATTCATGCAGCGTTCGGACCGTTATTTTCTAACCTTCGCCAATGTTAGAAGAAGCGAATATTAGTTTCTTGAACTTCTTTCTTTCTCCTTAATCGGTCTTTGGCCTTCAATCAATTCAACACATTCCACCTCAGTTTCCCTGCATTTCTCAACCTTGCATTGAGACAACATCTCTACTTTCTTCCTGGTTTCTTGAGGTACAATATCCCATAGCCCACTTGTTAATAATCATCCGTACTATATTATTTCCTGCGTCTTCACTCAGAAAGCAATCTCCCCAACAGCCCCAACACCCTAGACAAACACTGATTGACAGGACCGTCGCCCTCCCGACCATACAAGCCAGATCTCGTCCCCAACGCCATCCCCAAGTCAAAGTCAACCACGACAGTAGCAGTAACAGTAGCAGTAGCACCAAGCGCGTTACTACTCCCAGTTGCATCCTTCCCGCGGACATACACATCGCGCAGAAGAGCACTCAGGCGCGTAAGCACGGCGTAGACCACCTGTCGCGCGAGGAGGGTCTCCTCCTCATCCTGGAGGGTGAGTCTGCCCAGCGCCATGGGGGATTTGGTGCATGTCCACGAGGAGCCTTCATTTCCCGTTCGAGTAGGAGCAGGAGTAGTGCTACCAACACCAGCGGCGGGACCTAGCTCATCATCGAGGAGATGGTAGGTCGTGCAAGCTGCATGGCAGAGGGAGAGCACCGCGTCGGAGAGATCGACGATGGGAGTAGCCAGGTCCTGATTGTAGTTGTGGCAGGGGTGTTTACATGCCTCGATGGATTTGGAGAGGTCGGTGAGGGGTTGAGTGATGGTGGGGAGGAAGCTGAAGTCGAACTGGCCTTTTGTGGGGATGGTGGAGGAGAGCTGCTTGATTTGGGGTGGGCAGGGGCAGGTTGTCGTCATTGTGGTTATCTGTATCTATAGTGAGTTTTCTATTCTCAGATGAGTTTAGATCTCTGGGTGACTTACAGTGGGTCATGGGATGGCATGATCTGGATGTGTGACGGAATTGAGTTGAATGGTTCAAAGATGTGGTCTATCATCGTGTATGACTAATTAGTTGGATACTATTCTAGTGTTTCTTTCCCCTTATATAACTCTTCAAAACACCACTGCTCTAGTACTGTAAGAGACTTATATGGGCTTCCTCTACCTTACAAATATGTACAAAAGGAGTGACAGGGTCAGATATATTAATCTTATAATATATTTCTAGCATTAGTGGCTAATACACACTGAAGCGCTCTCTTACGATTAAGGGTTACGGCCATATAAAATACAATCCTCTAGAGCAGGTACTCAATAAGTTTACTCTCTTTCAGATAGTGTTTCCCAATATACAGAGCTATATATCCCTCGCGCCGACTACCTGACAATTCTATCCCAACTGCTCCCGTCACCTGCTACTTCTCTATTAGTGCCGATAACCCGGCATCCCGAAGAATTTCGTCTCGCCGTTCTCCACGATAGACCAAAAGACAGAGAAAAGAGAAACAGAAAAAGCCCAGAAACAAGACTTGTAGATAGCATGTATCCACCACACATACAAACTGACAGGTCCGGTAGTACATCAAATGGAACAGGACAATAGAGGCGAGGAATCTATGGTACGTCAATCGAGACAGTCAGATATGGTAATTGCACATACAGAAAGGGATGCTTGTAGAACCCGGCTTTTTGCATAAGACGCTCGGGAAAGCCGATGTAGGAGGAGACGGCTGCGGCTACTTCCTTTTGCTTAGACGACATCAGGTGAGATTGGACGGAGGGTTCGGGCGTCTTGGGGTTGGGAGATGAATGAGGCATTTTTTGGTTCATAGCTTTAAATGGATGCAGATTAATCAAGACATGAGGTGCAAGTTAGATAGGATGAGCCCCGTATTTTATCAGTCTGTTGCCTGCTGGCCGATTATGTAAATAATGGATCTAAGCTTGTGGCTGTTTCTAAGCCTTCTGGGCCCATCAGTGGGTCCTATCCACTCTAAATTAGGGTAATACTAGGCTATGATGGGAAATGTACATTGCAAACTAGTGTACTTACAAACTGCAACGTACTATGGAGCTGTAGCCCAAAACAGTCACTATAGGGTTAAGAGATAGTACATAGGTTCCGCCATTCCTAACCAACATTAGGTTAGTGGTTACATACTCTCTCTTAGTTCAGAGATTATCAAATAACCATTAAAACCGCCGAACTCAGGTTAGAAGTATTCTTTGTCCGAAGATTAGTGATCAATGCTCAAATTGAGTGTCTTTGAGAAATGGCACGTGAGCAAGCCCAAAGTGATACTGCTTCATGAATACTCTGGTCCTCTGGCAGATGGCACTGAGTCCGTTGTGGTATAGCCGGCGCGACATCGTTCAGTAGGGTGGAATCAAGATGAACAGTCCTTAATGGTTTCTGAGCCAACACTGATCGATGTATGTTCAACACAAGAGGAACCTTCGCAGTGTGCTCGATATTTCTCACACGGTCTCGCACTTTACCAATATTGGAATTCCTAGGGAAGCCGTTGCCCGCTGGCCAACTATACCGATACTTACGGGGGATTATTCAGGGCTAAAAAAAAAAGCAATTGTCTTGCAACTATAGCAATCTCCCCTTTAACTGAACATAAGCTATATTAAGAAGGGTCAATATGCGCATGTTTGTGTTAGGATATCGGCGTTCGCCCCGAGCGGCATACAGAGAGACGGAGGACTGCCGAATCGGTCCTCGGCCGAGATGCGGGGAAACGTGGGGTTAATATTATGGACGAAAGGAATGGCAAGGAAAATGTATGTCTCAAGTCTATGAATAATAATGATATGGATAGCATTAAGCAGCCTTCCCTGTAGACCCCAACATATCCATACACCTCTCAACCGCCTTCTGCATCTCATTCGTCGCCTCCTCGAGCACAGCTGTCAAGGGCGCGCGGCCCGATTTCTCGCGCTGCACCCGGACATACTCATTATTCAACACCTTGTTGATATTCACCTTGGACACCCCACACTCAATGCACTTGGCAAAGATCTCCGGCGTGAACGGATCCGCCCCATGCAGCACAAGCTTGACCCGATCCCCCACCGCCTCCTGAATGCTCTTCAACCGATCGTACTCCAGCCGGATCCCCCGCGGCCCATACTCGCCATGCACGTTCCCAAACGCCGGAGCCAGCCAGTCAATCCCCGTATCCGCAAACTCGCGGCTCTCGTCGGGAGTCGTAAGTAAACCTTCTAGGTCAGCCGTGTCCGCGACTCCGTCCTCCCCGCCCTCGATCCGCCCGGGCTCCGCCTCCGTCGCGATCCCGCGCTCGTGGCAGTACGCTACCAGTTCCCGCGTAAGACGCAGGTTTTCTTCCTTCTCGTAGTGGCTCATGTCGACCATGATGCTGTCGAAGCCACCGAGGTCTGCGGCGTAGCGGATGATCTCGGGGGTTTGCGCGTGGTCCATGTGTACGGCGATGGGGACGGATGCTTTGCGGGCTGCTTCGGCGGCGGCGTGGACGAGTAGGCCGTCAGCGTAGTGGATGGCCCAGGGGAAGAGGAGGATCATGGCTGGCGAGCGCTTGGCTTCGGCGGCGCGGACGGTGGCCAGGATGCCTTCCAGGTTGTAGCAGCACATGGCGGGCACGCCGTAGTGGTTTGAGGCGGCGTGGTCGAGAATGGAGAGGGCGCGGTTGGAGGACATTTTGGAGGACATTTTGCAGTATAAAGTAGGCAACGAGAGAGGAAAATGAGAGGCAGAAAGGTTTTGCAGTACAGATTGTAGGTTCAATCGGACATGGGTCTTTTTATATATGGGGATGTTTACTGCAGAGGATAACTCCCCCACTCTCTGCACGGAGTTGGTCCGACTGACGTCAATGCGCATTTGGCATCCCGCGCATTTCAGGGAGTTAATGAAGGCATTAATTGAAGGCATTACATAGAGAGATCCTAGTACAACTGTAAAATTACTGGCCAAACATCTTGATCACGCTGGTGCTCGCTTCCCCTCCGAGTCCGTGTCTCCTTGCCACCAGCAACTTCTCCAGCGCCGCATTCCCCAGATGCAGCGGGCAATGCAGATCCCTCGCCTTCTGCACCACCTTCTCCATCTGTGCTACGGCTTCATCGAGCGTCTGCGACCCTTCCGGCGCATTGTCGCCAATTCTTCCCTCGATCATCTCCAATCCCTTGTCGATAAACACTTTGCTTGCGCCGGCCGCGTCGCTGACTAGTCGGTGGAACATGGCGAGATCAACGTTTAGATACCGCGCAAACGCAATAGCTTCTGCGGCTGCCACGAGGTTGACTCCCAGCATCAGATCGAGGACGAGCTGGAGGGCAGCGGAGGGATCCTCCGCGGTGCAGGTCACCTCGGCGAGGGGTTTCGGATAGTACTGGCGGACCATGGCGGAGTCGTCTTTGGGGCCGTAGCCCTGCAGCAGCGCCGAGAGGTAGACTTGTTCGGCAGTCGAGCAGAGAGGCGTGGGGAAGTGGTGCTGGCGGGCAGAAGTCGTGATAATACCCTAGACAGTCAGCACCTGTAGAAAAACACATCGTAAGACAACGTACCACATCCTTGAGAATAATCGTCAGCGCACTGGCACCGGGATTCCAGTCCTCCTCCACCATGCGCTGTAGCCGGTTCTCATGCATCCACGTCCAGGCCTCCGAACCAATGATCTTCTCAGCGGTCGTCTTCGCATCGAGCCCCAACTGCGCCGCAAACCCCATCGCCTCACTGGCGCCCAGGATATGGATCCCCGCCAGCACCTGATGCACCATCTTCATGTTACTACCGGCCCGACGCCGCCGGGGACAAGGTACAGCTTGTTCGTATCAGACATCACCTGCAGAATCTCACGACCGCTGTTCAGCGCCTCCTCCGACGCACCAGCCATGATGGACAAGGTTCCGTCAGCGGCGCGCTTGGCACCTCCAGAAACAGGGCAATCGATGAAGCGGATATCCGCTCGGCCGCGGGACTGCAGCTCTGCCGCTACGGACTGCGCATAGGAAGCGGGGACTGTGGAGCAGAGGAGAAGAGTAGCATTCTTTGGGAGGTCTGTTCAGCTCAGTATCAGCTTTGTTTCTCATAGTTGTGATACATGGCAATGGATGTGACGTACACTGTACAACGCCGTCATCTCCAAAAAGAACAGACTGGGCCTGCGGCGCCGACGCGACCATGCAAATGTAAAAGTCCTTGCCCTCTGCCGACTCCCGAAGTGATGAGGCCGGAATTCCTCCCTGAGACTGGAATCGCTGCACCGAGGCGGGGAATACGTCGTAGCCGACGACGGGTATCCTTCGCGGACGAGGTTGGTGGCCATGCCGAAGCCCATGGCTCCTAGGCCGACGAAGCCGATCGTGGGTTTGGACATTCTGATTGATCTGATGTTTTTTGAGTATTCACAGAATTTGAATGTAGGATTGGATTTGTGGTTCCTCTGTCTGCAGAATTCGAAGAGATTGAGGTGTTTATAAAGCGCGGGGAAAGGTCCAAGCAGTGGGGGAGAGTGGGATGAATGACGGCTGTCGGAGTTGGTCCGATGTACACTCACCAGGCTCAGTTGGTGACAGCAGAGTGATTATTCACGGTTCTGTCATTATAGAATGCTGGCAAAAATACTAGTGACGGAATCAGACAAAGTGAGATGAGATTCACGCGATTAACCTGGGATTATTCACGTAAAGGAGAATAAGCGAGAATACGCGAATGGATTCACGTATCAGGACTCCACGAGAAAGATATATAGCTCCTTCTTCTCCCCTCTCGAGGCCTCTTCTTTCTCTCATCAGTCAGGCAGATCTGCATTGGCTTTGGATGTCCAAAAAAGTCATATCGGCATCTACTTATTAAAACGCCTCTTCAGTTTCATGTTACTATCCCCTCGGTCAGCGATGACCTAACAATCACCCCTTGAGATGGGTGCGCTCAGCGACTCATAGCAACAAGGCTACTCGACCGCTTACACAACCCGCTTGGTCACTTCAGTCATCCGCAGAGGATTTATCCTCTCGCGAGGTGACGTTGCAATCTGTGAGCCGGCCCCGGGCGTTTCTCCCCGGAGGCCGTCTCATTGCACGGACGAACCCTTGCGGCATGGCAATCATCAGGTTACCCAACAACGTGGGCGCCTGGCCTAGGACATACGGCCTAGGCTCGCTCCAAATGGATTGAAATCAACTCACGAAGTTGTGAAGAAGAAGGTATGTTGAGCTTGCAAGTCTGAAAGGATCGTCGACTAACAGGAAATAGGGTGCGACTAAACAAGACCCAAAATACAATGTCCACTGAAACAGCACCGCTGAACAGCAAATGGCGAGCCGTGGCAGGGTACACCTCCATCGTACCCTTCCAAACAAGTAGAAGAGGTGCCCGTCCAGCAGATACCGGTCGAGCAGGACCTTTGCCAGCTAAAGCTATTCTTCCCACGGACAACTTAGGTGAGTGTACCGGATGAAGCAAACAAAATCTGATGCTAATCGACGACAGTGGTATCGTCTCTCCAGCAAACAACTTCCAATGGCAAGCATTGCCTCCTCCGGTGGATGGTGGTTCGTCGGAAAGGCAACAACCAGTCATCAGCAGAAGAAGGCACCCGGAAGAAAGAGCGGCGCAAAGAAGCCAAAGGCTCTGTTTCCGACTATCGCTGACCAGGTCATAATTGATTTGATATGTCACCTTCCTCGGTGCCATTCAGAGAAGAATTTCTATGGCACTATGGGCCTTGTCTCGCTGCGCGACATGGAGTCCGCAGCGGAAGGCTTGCCTCCATATCAACGACAGTTTAACATTTATCTGTATACTTGGGAATTGAGGATATTGGCCTGAGAGCCGAGATTGAACCGGAACAACATATGGCAATTTCAGGGGCAGTACACGACCCATCCTTCGACTACGGTCCCGAAATGTATGGCATGTTGATTGGCGTCTGGCCCAACCGATTCTTGGGGCCCCTCATCCAACATACATCTGACAATGCATTGTTCACATTGCCCTGCGGCATTTGCAGCGTGACGTCCCAGTTCAGCATCAAATCAATATATGGAGAAGTCACTCGGTATCCTTCGCCAACGGGCCGGCAGACTTTGAGAGCCGAGATGCTCGACATAAGGGAGCCAGTCCTGTGGAAACTAAACTGCGTGGGAGTATGGCATACTCCGTGGGTCGCTCTCTTCAAAACAAGGCGTTTGAAATACTAATGCGATTACCAGGTTATGTCTAAACTCACCGGGTATCGAGTACCTCGTTAATGAGGCGCTGCCGAATTCGGATCAACACATTCGATAACATCGAACAAGCTTATCGCTCGCACCGTGGCATAACTGGAAACAAAAAGACACGCAAGGTACGTTGACGAGTTGGGTTTTGGTATATCTTGAGGGCTCTTCACTGACGTTCGGCAGACCACTCAATACAACCAATTCCTGGTTGGTCTGTCATATCTTCGACCAACTCGGAGAATGGCCGGTCTGCTGCTTTGCTACGCCCATGCAGGCAATCTGGGTATGTTCCATGGACGGCTGCCATGCAGTTCTTCATCACTGCCCTCGAAGACGTCTCCCAAAACCAGCGCTTCGGAGCGTCGAGGTGACGCACTACCTTATGTGCTGAGATCACGAAGAACGACTCATGAGTCATGACTGTTATACAAGCATTTACATGCCTAGCTCTGGCCTGAGACTGTTTCGACAGCTCAGCTGAGCCTACTTGAACCCTGATCAGCCAGCATCCATTGTATGGATGTTCGGGAGAAAAAGGGGATCTTTATGTATCATCTAAACGTGAGGAAATCATCCTCAAGTGGTAATCGTCTTGGGCTCGCGAGGCCGTTCCTCCGAGCCAGCTGCCTCCTTATTTGGCATGTTTTGATATTCCGAGGGTTGGGAGGCTCCTGACGCTGTGAGTGCTTCCGAAAAACTAATCTGTTCATCTGGCTTACTTTTTTGTCTAAGTCGCAAAATGGTTGACAATACCTCTCAAGGATTTTATGCGTGCGAATTGCCTCTGGCACGGTAAGGGGGCCCAGTGTGAGTTCTACGCGGGGAAGTCTTCGCATTAGAACAGTGACGACGACATGTGAATACCTCCTTCGGTTTCTCCTGCCTTCCTTCACTTCTCTCGTCGTTCTATTTCAGGTTGTACTAATTCTTGTAGCACCATTGTCCAACAGGGGGTCTTCGGGCCGTGGATGGCGGCGAAGTTGTTTAGGACTGGCCGTTGGACGAAACTGCTCCTGCTGTTATCATTTCGTCTCCTGCGGTGACTGATATTACTTCTTCTGCGCCCGCAACAGATACCAAACGGCAGACTCTCTCTGGCCGTGTTCGGGATTCTGGAAGGGCTTCGACTCCCGCGTCATCGTCGCCGCTCCGACAAGGCATCATCTATTTCGAATGACCCTTTGGTTCCGATTCGCGCACATCTCATCGTCCTCCGTCTTTCGATATTGACCGGAGGGCATCTCCTTCAGCAAAGCGCCGCCGCCGCAACCCGCTAGACAGAGCCATTCTGTCCTGGCCAGTTTCGATCTCCAACTTCGAAGACCTTGAACGACTTCGACAGATTCGCGCTGATTTTGTTCGTTTCACAAAAGTCGTGGACACAGAGATTGATGCTCTCGAGTCTGCTCTCGTCGAGATCGAAGAGGAGGGAACATGAACATAAAATTACGGATACATTCTACCCTCACTTCAAATACCTGCAAGACAGGCAACATTTCAACTGCGATTTCTTTATTGTCGCTATACGAGCGGAATCTGTTGTGGTTTTCAGTCGGGACGATGGATACGTTGCTTGGATTGCTGCTCAGCATACATTTGTTGAGGGAACACGTTCCCCGACTATGATCACCGACTATAAACAAGTATACTTGCAATAGCCGGTCTGTGACAGTTGCCCAATCGGAACCACAGTGTACATCGCGCACACTGGACTGCAAACCCAACCCCTGGAGATGCTCTGCGCGATTCCCCAGCGGTTAAGCGTGACCATATCAGATTGGAAAAATACTTCCCCGACCTTCTTCATGCCATTTTCGTTTGTTGACACTTCTTCCTTTGTTCCACACACCATGCTCTCAGCCGGGGAAAGGCCTCAGCGGTGCGTTGGGCATACGATAGACAGGATTGGGTCAAGCAGCCAGGTTTGTGGATATGAATGATCGAATCCCATATTAGTGTTTCTGGATTGTACACCATGGATTTGTCCCGATTGGAATCTGTCTCCATTGTTTACGTGCTATACTCTCCTCTTCACTCATGGACCCATCTGAATGCATGCACCTCGGGCCGTACGGCCTCGCGTTTTGGCCAGCTGTCGACAGCAGCATCACGCATCCGGAAGGTGACTTGCGTTGTGATATCTGGCCTTGTATTCTTTTATTTATCGGTGGGATGATCCCGTCTCGGTAAGGGAACGGCCTTCTATGATCTGATCTGCCTCATCTCACCAATTTGCTAGTGTTCTGCCGATGAAAACGAACCACAATATCAGGTGAAGAACAGAATCAACAAACACCATCGAAGGTCACCATTGTTTGATTGATCTCGATGCAAAGAACCCAGTCTAACTCGGTGCATGCAGAAACCAACGATGCCAGCCAACAATAATCATGAAAAGACCTTCCGCGGTTTGATTGGCACAGTCTCTCCCCAGCGTTGGAAGTTTAGCGAAGGAAAGGAGATGACACGCGCGAGTTTCAACAGCACGAGGAAGACGAACGACTTGTCTTTCATTTTCATTGTATTAACTTGGCTCCAGAAGTATAATTTCCTACGTTTGCTGTCTCCAGCTTATGAAAGAGTTTCGGTTACGAGATTTAAAGAGCAGAGTCGAAGCAGAGTGCCAAAAAGGATGGTCTACGATGAGGGGATATACTCAGTACTCGGTAGTAGTCAGTCCCGATGGCACATGTAATATTTGTGTGCATTCCATTCGCAAGTAAGCATAAAGAACCAATCTTGTTTCCAGACTCATATCTCCTTGCCCATACCCAAGTAAGTATGCTGTCAAACATACAGCAGATCTGGAAGACTGCCCATCAAGCACGGACATGTAACCATAGCCTCCATGTTGCGTTGCATCACTCTCACTTAATATCAATACGTTTGCTCACAGAGGATTCAGCCGTTTTCGGGATGGTAATCGACAGAACACCGTCTTTCAAACTAGCATCGATACCATCGCGGTCAACACAGTTGGGAAACCGAAACGAACGTTTGAACTCTCCCACTGAACGCTCAGAGCACCACCAGGATTGTTCAGGATCTTCTGAGGTTGACTCTCGCTCAGAACGTCCCTTGATGGTAAGGATGTTGTCGTCGCTGAGTTCAATATCAATGTCTTTCTTATCCACTCCCGGAAGCTCTCCGTCGAGACGGTAGCTGTCTTTTGTCTCACGGACGTCAAACCGAGGGTAGTGACCCAGTACATCATGGCTGCCCACTGGGCGGTTCAGGAAGGACTCGAGGTCATTAAGAGCTCGAGACAAGGAGGGAAAGCCAGCGCCAGAGTCCCTTTGATTCCTTTGCATCAAAGACATTGTCCTGGTTTGCCATGGCTGGCGCGGCGGCACAGAGCGGAGAATTGGAGGGTGTGTAGCGAAGTGTCTCAGAGGGAAGTTCAAAAGCCTGCGAGAATACATCTTGGTCTATGATTGTTGGTGTCTTCTTTGTCATCAGAAGATAGCATATGTGCATCCATATATATCTTTACGGAAGTATAGAAACGTCATTATTGTATTTCATCGTTAAGTTCGAATCATGCTTCTCCGGAAGCCTCTAGAAGGTACATCGCCGCTGTACCGCGATGATCGATCTATATCCGTAGGATATGGTACTTCTGTGGCGTCCTGGGATAACAGACAGTATTTTGGTTAGACATTATTGTTCCATGGGATTCCAGCCGTTCGATTGCATGTGACCTGGACAACTATACATCCCACCGTCTATTACATGGCCCCAGGGGTTTATCTTCGCTGGCATTCTCATCATTACAGTGATTAGGGATACGGTTCCATTATCGAAGCTCTCTGAGTGATGGGCTGCGACCGCGAAACTTAATTTAGCCATATCGGCAAGCCGTAGCTAAAATAGACCATGATCATCCTAGATGTGGCGATCGACAGTTTGATGTTCGTCACGATGATCATGAGACCCTTGTTCCACATTCGAATTACTTCTGGCCTTTATTAACTCTTACCCGTAATTCATCCTGGTGTGTAACATAATTCCTATTTATCATCATTGCAATGAGTATGATGCATCCTCGATAGGTCTACACCACAGTGGGAAATGAGACTGAATGTTTTAAAGGAATACGAGAAGTCGGGCCTCTCCATACTGCTGTAGAAGGTAGAATGTTATCAGAGTAATAAGAACAACGGAACAAGAAGCTTGCTAACAGCTGGCTGATCTTCACCCTCTAGCCGAGTGAGAATACTTGGGCACATCAATGTATGGTTATAAAAGGCTCAGGAACCCCGAAGTTTCCCGAAGATTTATCTCATATAGTTCTAAGATCATTGGTGTTCATACACTGCGAACTGTAAGCTTAAGTAGTTTACCGTTGTCTCCTTTCACAAGATAAAATGCTGGCTGAGTGCTGCCGATGCCACCAACTTGATTTTTTAATCCTGTTGGTTTCTTTCGCCCCTGAAAACCGCGCAACTAAGGAATCGGAATGAGTCCATCAGCTGTTGTCTCTGTCATGTACCAAAGGCCTGTGACACTCACCTCGTACTGCAATAATCCTTGAAGATACTCATCATTCAATGTGCTGCATCCTAGCAGCTCGACATGTTGAAATTCCCTCGATAATCCAGCGAGTAGGGCCAACGGAAGGCTCACGGGCTTGATGTACGCAGAAGCAATGTGACGCACATTCGACCAAAGTCAATGGTGGAGCACATATTTGGATCCTCCAACATACGACGGAGGGCCAGAGGATTCACACTGCTGTAGTTCTGGGTGCGGAAGCGACCCTGTCGCCGACGTGTGTCAGCCTTGACTGTCGACTCGGTCAATTTGTCATGGCATCCTTTTGTGGTGCAGCAGTAGTCGGAGTTGGAGGCAGGCGATTGGAAACGGCCCCGGCTGAATGATGCGATAGAGGGTCAGCTTAATGGTCAAGATCAATGTGTTGGAGAGGCCAGAAGGACGTACTCCTTGGGGGTTTAGCAATCTTGGCTGAGCTATGGGCTTGTTCCAGGTTCACGGGAAAGATGATTGAGCCGTATGACCAACTGAGCAGATTTAGTGCTGCTGCATGCAAGAGAGAATGAGGTCCAGTGGGCCCGGTTGATCCAGAGACGGAAGGGAACGTTTCTCATACGCACGGCTTCCAAAATGGAGTAGGAAGATGAATGAAAGCTCCGAATATATAGTCACTCAGTCCCCTTTAGAAACCACCATTGGTTTGTAAAGGAGACTGAGAATCCAAAATAGCCAGTCTTTGGGGAGGCGATGCCAGTTGAGTCGAGAGCAGAAGAAAGCAAACACAACTGGATGCAAGATGGGCAGGCGCATCGGGGCCTTAGGCCATATGGATATTGATCGCCTGAGGCACTGAGCACCTGCCTCAAGTCAACCTTGACTTACCAACACACGCCCTTCGAAACTAGTTACATGGTACCGCCGCGATGAGGTGCGGACCGCATTCCCATCTGATTTTGCGTCGAGCATACAGAAGGACATGATAATGGAAGACAGATCTATGGGGTTCTCGCCGACACCTCTATAAATCCGCAATGCCCTTGAACAACGCCTCGACATGGCCTATCATCAACGCCCCGTTTCCACCATGTCCAACAAGATACTCACAGGCATATCCTCTCTGTCGTGAATGCCAAGCTCGGAGTCTGCGCCATAGTTGACGGCTATGACATTGAACCCGTCCACGTCAGTATCAAGATCGGTGGGCGCCGTCCCTCCTGGCCGAAAATTGACTCTATATTGGGATCATGACTTATGAATCTCGCGCACGGCTTGTGCAACAATGACTTTTGCTTCCTCTGCTGTTCCTGATGCATGCGCACGGAGAAACCTCCCTCTGCCGATGCAGGGACCAAGTTGGTTGCGACACCTCCTTTCACAATGGCCAAATTCACAGTGAAATTGCCGAATTTGATGGTGCCGGACAAGTCTTCGTATGAGACTGGATTGTTCCCAGTTTCTTGGCAAACGATGCGAACTGGCGTAAGGCCTGAAATAAGGCTCTTCCCTAGCCAAGGATATCCTGAATGAGCGACCTTTCTACTCTCACCGAAGTGAAGCCAATGCCTCCCTTATCGTTGTACCAATCCGCGCTTATTTTTGAACCAAAGTATCCAGATGGTGTCATGATCCATGGATTTCGAGACTTAGCTCCAGGCCTCAAGTACTCGAGACCCAGGAGGATATATGATCTCAGGCAGGGCTGAGCTGACTGTGGCTACTCCATTGACTAACGGATTGCTATTTGAAATCACCAGCACTAACTTCCGAAAGCTTGACTGAAAGTGCAAAGTTGAAATACCACATGGATATTTGTTATTGCCAACAAGTCTGTGTGACTTCGACACAGACAAGACCATCGTCAGGCAGTCTCCATCAGCCCAAAGATTCAGGCCAGTGAGCAGATTCAAAACAAATCGCTGGCACCAGCCAAGACAACTCCTCGTATAATAAGTTTTTACTGTGACCCGTCTACTGCTCAACCCGAGATTGACAAGAAATGTTTCCACTGCTGTACGAAGGACTCATCCCTTTTTAGTCGTTAAGTCAGTATCACGAACTCCACTATCTCCACAGAAATTAAAGATCCATGGATTGTTGAACCCCTATATCACACTAAATTAAACTACTATTGCTACTAAGCCAAAACAGGTGTCCGGGATGCCTTTTTGGCCTAGTGGTCATATGGTCAACAACACATGTGTTAGTATACTAGGGTAAAACTTCAATAATCAGCTAGTTATTCTGTAGGTTCCCCTTTGTACAAACAGGCAGCCGTAAATAAGCGTCTCTCACTGGCCCACAATCACAGCCTTGCCGATCCCCGTACAGCCTCAACGCAAAGCCTGCAAGCTCCAGTCCGCAAATGACATTGGCAGACCAGTCTCATTTAGCACTTCTTCCAAGGCCCAAGCCTCGTATTGTGAACGCTCATCTTCTACCCACAACTACAAGGCTAACAGCAATCAAAATGCGCCCGATGACTTTACGGAACATAAGCGAGGGCGTTGGATAGAACCTTGTTATATATAGACCCTCCCTGTCATATAAAGATGTCCATACCCCCAGCTCTGAGCGAACATCACCTAAAACAATCATACCACTCAATCAAATCACCATGGACTCCGAAAAGATCAACCCCAGTACGTCTCCGCTGATCTCTCACTCCACTGACAAAAACTGTAACTAACAGAATCATGATATCAGCCCCTGTGCCAGCATACGAGCAACACTCCAGCCCAGAAACCCACCATGCACAGGCCGCGCCTATAGTCCCAGTCCCCCAAAACGCACACATGCAGCCTCAATCTCATTCACCCCTCCCAAAAGACTACCACCAGCAGCAACAACAGTTCGCGCACCCCCAGCGCCGGGATACTACGCCGCAGCGCCCGGGATGGGCCACCCAAGCGGGTACAACACCGCGACACCAATGCACGCGCTGCAGCGCGGGCCGACGCCCGTTGACTGTCCCGTCTGCGGACAACGGGAGATGACGCGCGCGGAGACGCATTCGGGGAATACCACGCAGTAAGTTTCCTTAACTTCCTCCTCTGGATTCATTAGGAAAGAGAGAGGCTAATGCGGGATGTCTAGTGGGTGGGCGGCTGTGCTGTGCTGCTGTTTCTGTCTTGGGTGTATACCCTACCTGATGTCGTCGCTGAAGGATGTGGACCATTACTGTGGGAAGTGTGGGGTGATGTTGGCGACGTGGCATAATAGTGGAAGGGTGGATGTGCATCATGCGGTTAGGAATTAGGTGTCTTAGTTGTTTTTGTTGTGTGTATGTGTATGTGTATGTGTGTGTGTGTGTGTTCGTTTATGATACCAGAAAACATAGTTTTTATCTTCTTTTTCTGAATTTGAATGGTGCCACCGCATCGCGTTATCAGAGTAAGCAAGCCTAACACCAACACCAACACCAGGTATCATTAATGCGAATGCTACTATATACATCTTAGAAAAAACCATGCAGTCAAGCGGTCAAGCAGCCTCATAAATCGGCCTCTTGATATCACTCGTCCCATCCATCTCGTGCACCTGTCGGCTATTGCTCAGTTCCGCCTCCGCCCCGTTGCCGGGTAACTCGACGAACTTGGAGCCTGCGTATGCGCGCGGATGTCCATGCGCGTGCGGATACGCCTGGGACATCTCCATCTCGGCGAGTTCCTGCTTGTGCGGGACGATGTATGCTGGTGCTGGTGCCCCGGCTGTGTCGTTGGTTGAGACGAGGCCTAGTGGTGAACCCGGTGGGAATTGTGGTGTTTGTGGGGATGCAGAGCGTGGGTCGGTATCAGGCGCGGCTGGCTTGCGGTTGCGTCTTCCGAAGAAGAAGAAAAGGGCGGCGATGATACCGACGGCGGCGATTGCGCCGATGACGATTCCGGCGATGGCGCCGCCAGAGATGGAGGAGGACGATGGGGATGGGGTCGGTGTGGCTGATGCCGCTGCTGAAGTGGCTGATTGGGATTCTGCTGCTGTGGTTGTTACGGCGGTGGAGGTGGGAGTTGTTGATGTAGATGAGGCGGTGGTACTCTTCGAGGAGGTCGACGGGAAAATGACGCTGACAGACTCCGGGGGCATGGGGAAGACGTCAAAAGCGGGGAGATCGCGGCTGGCGTCCTGGCGCCAGACCCTGCCGTCACAGGCGTAGCCGGCGATTTGGGAGCATTCCGCGTCCTTGTAGAAGTGCATGCACCATTTTCCCTCTGGATCCCAGGCAAAGGGTTGGCCTTTCTGGTGCCAGATCCGCGTGCAGTTTTCGGCCTTGTTCTCATTGATGATGGTGGCGCCGGCGGTCGAGTTGCGCCATGTCAGGGTCCACGCGGAGGTCAGTGGTGTGAGGGCGAGAGCACCGACCGCGAGGGTGAATGTCCTCGATGAGAGAGGTGCCATGGCGATGTGAGGGTCGCACAGCACACAGCACGGCGAGTATGGGGTCAAGACGTTGATTCTCCTCAAGTGGGGAGCGGCATGTTTAAATGCATGGCAGCGTGTGTGGTGGATCGGAGCCGCACGACGCTAAGGGGCGCGATCTCGTATAAAATGTATGACAACCGGGACGATTACACGAAGAGCCGGGATTGAAGAGTCGTTGGCAATGCTTACTGGTGCAGACGTGATGACGGATGATCGTTTACTCCATCAGGGGTCGAAGGTCCATGCCTGTGGTGCAACTTGGGCACGCTGCGGGACTGACGCAGTCCAGAATGGCGCAAATTAGAAACACTTTGGAAGGATCAAGCTGTGGCAGGGAGCCAATCGAAGGTAAGCAGTCGGCCTGGCCTCCGACTCATTTCCATTCTCAACAAAGTGGATTATTGATCAATGTCCGTGGACGCGTTAATTGGTGCCTCATGGCCCGAATACGAGGTCAGGGACGTAGCGCAGGGTTAGCTTCTTAGCAGTGGATACCATCTTTCCGCACTCAGAAGAATTCTATGGATGATACTGAAAGAGATGATATTGAAGAATGCATTGTCGTGTTAGATGATTTGAGACGATGCTTTCTCATAACGAATGACAGTGTGCGAACAGTCAAGGGATGGTGTTCGTAGATTCAGTGTAACACGATGACACACATTCTCGTCCGGAACATGCCAATGCTTGGCGCGCCCTTAGCGCAGTTATTAAGACGAGAAATGGGGCCATTTCGAGGGATGATCTATCGAGTATGGAGATTCTAGGAAATTAGTCGGGCAAGTGCATCTGCATATGATAGATATTTATATCCATCACTTGACCGAAATACGAGTTACGATTTGTAAGTAACGAAAGTGCATGCCTCCTGCCTATGTTCCTACATACAGAGTACAGTGAGCATTACAAACGAGTGCTGACGTCAAGAGCTGTAATTCATACTATATTCTGCTTCCCTACCTAAGGATGCCTATAAGTCAATGATAATGATAATGAGTATGATCGAGTGGTGACGCAGACGGACTGGGGATCCACAGAGGTACCTTAGCATTTGAACTATTCGAGGGAAGGTACATATAACATATTCTTGAACAGACCAGTGATATTTCTCTCAAATGGTCATATTGCTGATATTAACGGAATCAGCTGCTCCCTTATGAAGGGAAGATATTGCCTGTCTATGAACTATGGAGAATGAGTATGGAATGGGTAAGGGAGATCGACGTGGGGTTGTGGGGTGCCGGAGCTTGGCGCATAGAGCTCCAGCTTGATATAGGATAATAGAGCTCCTGTAGTTTAGCTGATGCTGCAATTGAACGAACAGAATCGATGGCAAGCTCATAAGGAGTCAATAATGTCTTACTGACACTATGATGGATGACACTGCAAGGATATTGTCTTGGAATCCTATCAATTAGCTTTGTGGTCCCTTTGCTCATAGACCGAGTCAAGGTTGCACTGTTGATATCACCACGTCATTGCTATCGTTGCACCTGTCCATCTTCCGATGCTCCCGATACTCTAGCATTTCTCAGTCTCTCGCCTGTCGACTGCCTTTATTCTCCCCGGTCACATCTTCATCTGAGGCAGAATCATCACGACAGCGACCGACAGTCATCGTTCTGTCTTCTCTTCCTCAGCTTCACACCAGCCAATCCGTAAGTAGGTCAATTGAGCTCGTGGTCAAGAAGAAACTGACAGGAAAGAAAGACAATGGCTGCAATCGCACTCCGCGAGTCGCATATCCACTACCTAGCCAAACGGCGCCACAACTGGGCGAGCGAGAACCCCGGCGTTGTTCTGGTCTTCTGCATTGTCTTCATTGTCGGTGTCGGGATCATCGGTCTCTTTGCGTATCGAAGATGGATGGCACGAAAGGCGAGGATGGCATCGTTTGAGGTGGAGGAAACCAAATAGTTGATATACGGGAATGGTTCAATTTTCTTATTGCTCGAGCTGGATTGGCCATGTCCAGTAACAATACCCTCTCCGATTGTCTGAGTGTGAACTATTCTAGATGTCCGAGACTGTCGTGGTAGCAAGAGGCAGGGCAGCAACTGCCAGCATAATCATAATCATATCCAACTCAGCAGTTGTCAATCATTGGGATGGACTTGCACCTTCATCCCTCCCATATCCCGATACTCATCCAACGCAGCATTGATCTCATCCGCATCCAAGCCATCAATAACCCGAAACTTACTCGGCCTGATTAGCCCATCCTTCAACCACCCGGTAATCCTCTCCCAGAACAGCTTCGTAAAGTCATCCGGATGCGTAGCACACGAACCCCTGATAAAACGCCTCTCATATCCCGCCCGTTTCTCCCCAATCTTCGCGCTGTCAACCTCCCCAACCGCCGGCGCAAGCGTCACCAACGTCCCGCGTCTCGAGTCCGAAAGCACCGCAACACCCAATTCCTGCTTGGGTCCGAAATTGAACGCATCAAGCGCGTAGACGAGCTCATCACCCACGATATCCCGTACCCGCGAGAGCACATTATCCGCATGCCGATCAACCACATGCGTAGCCCCAATCTCCCTCAGCTCGTCCTCCGTCCGTAACCCAGCCACCGCGACAATAGCCCCAAATCCCAGCCACTTGGCGAACTGGATTGCGTACCGGCCGCAGTTCGTCGCCGCGCCGATAACCACTAGCTTCTGCGATGCGTAGTCAAAGTCGACCCTGCTGTCGGGCAGGGGCAAGCCGAATCCACCCTCGGAGAAGAACACCACGAAGCCCGTGGCGACGTTGACGGGGATCGTGGCGGCCTCGTCGTCCGTGAGACCGGTGTCGGTCACTCGGGCGGCATACTTGATGTCGACCAGGGCGTACTGCTGGAGCCCGTTGAAGTCGTTGAGAACTTGGTTGAGCGGGAGCCGGCTCTGCGCGAAGATGTGCTCGCCGGTGGTGAAGTCGGTCGTTGTGTCTGGTCCGATGGCGATGATTTCGCCCGCGAGATCGTGCGCGGGGATGTAAGGTGTAGCTGTTACGAAGAGACCGCGATCGCGTGATTTCTGGTCATGGGGGTTTACTTTCGACGGTTAGTTTGGGCGGTGCAATGTAGGAGGGGAGGACGTACAGCCGACGGAGGTGAGTTTGATGAGGAGCTCGCCCTTGCCCGGTTGTGGGATGGGTCGGTCAACCTTGACCAGACGGTGGCCGATTTCCGGGAGGATTAGGGCTTTTTGCGACATGATGCTGAGGGAGCCTATCTGTTGGATAGCGAGGTGGTGTCGTTGACGCCATGGTCTTGATTGTATTTATATCATTCTCCTCGTATGCGAGATGCGAGCTGCGAGCTGCAACTACAGTCAGCACGATGTGCCTGAGAATGGACATTCTCCTTCACTTACAGTCAGAAAACCTTGGCAGAACAGTTGGTCAACTCGGATTGATAGGAATATTCGTGTCCTGACTCATTTGGTCGCGTATTGAATATCTGACATGTCTGACATGGCTGATTCAAGCTTTAACGGCCGCAAGCCCACCCTTCAAGTCAGTTACAACAGTCAGCCTTATTAATATGTAGACAGCATATTCCCCGAGATAATTATTGATGGTTCTTAGTAAGATGAGCTGGCCGGAACTGTCATTGCATTATTGGCCACCCGAAGTCTATCCTGATCCCACTGACAGCTCCATGACACATTCTCCCGAATCATGACTACATCTCTTATCCTCCACCAGCAAGCCGCACCAGCACAGTATGGTATAGCTTCATAATCATAATCATGATTCTAAATTCACAATGTCCCTCTTAACCCTCCTCGTTCTTAGTGTTATCCTCACCTCAGCTTACTTCTACGTCTCCCATTGTTCCCTGGCTTCCCGCATCCACCCCGTCTTCCATACCGGCACTCTCCCCCGTTCCATATCATCCTCTATCCTCTCCATTCCACCCTCCGTCTACACAAAAGAATACTTCTCCCTTTATAATCATGCCTCACGATCTGTTCCGCACCAACTCCTTCCATCTCACGATCTCCCCGCTCTCTTTGTTCTCCTCCTCCGCCGTAACTTAACCGTCTTCTCGCATTTCCCCAAAGCCTGGAAACAACGATCCACCTGCTCCAGGGAACTGAGCAGGACCTTTCGCTCGTCCTATATACAATCCTTGGACTTTAACGAAGGCGACATTGTCTGCAAAGTCTACCGGGTTCTAGTCCGGAAGCCAGATCGCGTGGAATTCGCCGTGGACATGGAAGAGTGTGACGGGCGGTGGGTGCTCCGGTACTGGGAGGAGGGTGAGGACGTGGTCTTTTGCAGTGAGGCAGTTAGCTGGCGACCGACTGAGACAGAGACCCCAATGCCGGGGGAGAATCGCTTCTTGCGGTTCATCCATGAGACAATGACGTGGTGGTTGTTGGATTCGGGGGTGCGGTATCTGATGGATCTGGATGGGGAGTTGGGGCCGGAGGAGGAAGAGACAGAGGATAAAGAGCTGGTCAAGTAGTCTTTGTTGATGTCTCATACCTGTATGACGACGGATGTACCAGCTGATTGATGGGAGTGTAAAAAAGAACAAAGGGAGTACAAGGGCTTTGTTTTCGCTAAGGTCAAAGTCTCGTCGCCACAATAGCCCATTAAAAGTGCTTTGCTTCCGATGCGGTGCTGCTGTCTTCGATGCATGTCTCACCTGTGTGTATATAAACACATCGAATCGAACCATGGTATATCGATATTCCATCTTCGTCACCATCGTTTTTCGCAATGTGTCGATATATCTTCCACCACTATACCCGCTGTGGCCACATCGCCAACTTCGATTTCCATAGCTGCGTCGACGTCATTAATCTGCTGCGCGGATTATCCCAACCAGGCTCGGATTTGACTGAACTGGCCTGTACCAACGTCAAGGTCGAACACAACTTGTGCTCCACCAAGATAGAGGTCTACTGTCTGCAGTGTGAAATTGACTTTCAGCGCTTGACCCAAGGCACTGAAGCAGCGGTTCAGAGCATCCCAGACTACATTTCTATCGAAGGGCTCGATAACTCGGGCCCCATAATCACCACCAAGATGCAGTGGCAGGTTACCAAGTCCCGAAAGCGCGATTTCACCGAGGCTTTTCTTGATCTGGACCTCGATGGCGACCCCAAGTCTGACAGCAGCAATTGCACTACCGTCCGGTCGGACACTATTGCCAATGCGTCAACTCTCAGTTCCCCCGAGCTATGGCATGACTCTGTCGATGTCCCGCTGGACGCCCATGACAACGACGCTGCAAACGCAGACAAAGACGACTGCGGTCCCAACCCGGCCAAGAAACGTAATGACTCCATCTCTGAAGACTACGTGGTGATCGGTACTGACATCCTCACCACTCAGGCAGAACGACTTACTAGCGCAGCCAACGGCGAGGAAGAGTCGGACGAAGATGACTTCTGCAGCCTGTGGTTGTCGGACTTCGACTCCGACTCGGGCGATGGCGACACAGGAGACGCCACTGGGTCAATTAAACGCCAGTTGGAAAGATTCACTTTCCCAACCTACCGATCTACACCTCGAAGCCCTGATCTCCCTTGTTCACCGCATACCCGTCCTCGTCCCGACCCGCTGCCTCTTTACGTTGGTTTTCCCGGCCAACCGCCGGAAAGGTCGCCTAGAACTCTCCGGCCTTCGTCTAGAGGGAATTACCTCGATGCGAGGACGGAGCTGCAGTCGCCTGTGTTTGATGGGTTTCCGGGTATTCTTCCAGATGAGGAGGAGTTGGGACTGCAGTCGCCTGGTCTTGTGAGTTTCCCGCGTATTGTGATTGAAGATGTTGATGAGGAGGAGAAGGAGAAAGAGAACGAGAAAGAGAAGGTCGACGTGGGCAAATCGACTGGTACGGTTCTCGGACCTCGTGGTGCGAGTTTGGCTTCCGGTTCGGGGTGTGCTGCTGCTGTGTTGAGAGGTTGGAATATTGCCATGTCGAGGAAGTGATCTTGCTGGTTTTTGAATACATTTGTTTCGACCTGGTTGCTCTGCTTTTATTGCTTTGATATTGATCTGCTTGGTTTTGCTATTTTGCTTTCACAGTCTGGTCCTTCGCATTTTTACATTTGCTATACAGAATTCACAATTGCTCGACAACAACTACAATCATCGCTGCTGTAATAATCCATAGCCCGGGACTAATTCCACTACATGAAGTTACCGAAATCAGTATGTCCTAGTAACTACTAATGCAACCTCCACCTACTCCACCGTCTCCTGCAGTTCCACATTCTCAACCTCCTTGCCCCCGTTTCCTGTTCGCTTCAGACGATAGACAACCCAAGCCACGTACACCGCACCACATACCCCAGCAACAACCCCATACGCGATCTTCCCCCATGAGTATTATCCGCAAGCCGAAGCCCTAGCCCGCCATTCACCATACCAAGGACGATCAGAATCCGACCCAACCAAACATGCACGGGGGCTAGAGCCGTGCGCGTCTTCTTCCGGATATACACCCAGTGGTGAATGGCACCCAGGAACGGCTGGATGAGCATGAGGACCACGATGACTGTTCCGAAGACCGTGTGGGTGTTGTTGTGTAGCTATAACGTTATTCATATGAAATATATATTGCAAAGATTGATGGCTTACTCTGTCTAGTATCTTCCCCACACGAAGGCCGGTTGCCAGTCCGCCGAGCATAAGGGCCCATCCTGTGAGTTGGATACCAGCATGGATCCAAACTGCGTAGTTGGGTTTGGAGAGGCGGAGTACAGTAGCGCCGAGAGGGAAGATGAGGATGAAAGCTACGCTCATCAGGATTCCGTGTGCTTTCGCGTAGGAGGGTACGAGGTGGAGATCTTGATATAGGATGGTAGCTGAAGCTGGTCTGGCGAATGCCGCTGCTTTAGACTCGTCAGTAGCATGTTGATTAAGAAAGAGTAGTACATACCCAGGATTGAGTATAGATATGCCGTACGAGGTAGTTCGTTATTCATCTTTGTTGCTCTTGGAGAAAAGCAAGGATGATTTCCTTGCCATCCATGAGACGACCGGGAACAGCTAGGATCAATATTTATAACATTGCTCGCGGTCTTCTGCCTTGTGTCCACTTTACTATTGTTGATGTATTAAGAACAAGTGCCTATATTCCAAGCAAATCTCCAACCAATCATCAGCCAACAATATACAAAAGACCGAGAACTGCGAGCTGCAGGACACAGCCACACCAAGAAAACAACATCTGTCATCAATACGAGACCCTTAAAAGCGGGCCGCAGTCCAGGTAACAGGTCACCGAGAAATCCGAAGCTGCAGATCTATATTTCATCAAAAATGCCTAGACAACGTCATTTACAGCCAGCTGGCGCAACTCCACCAGTCCCAGCGCCTGTCAAACCAAAAGCATGTATCGGATGTCGAACACGAAAAGTAAAATGCGACAGGGGATTGCCGTGTAAGAACTGCGCTTTGTGGTCAATCGAATGTGTGTATCCGTGCCCAAAGCGGACGTGTTCTCGACCGAAGAAGAGAGCAGAGTCTTCGAAACAAGCACGTGGAAGAGTTGATACCAGATCGTCTACGCCTTCGCTGATTCCGTTTGGCTGCCATTCAGTCGAAGTAGCTCCGTTGCGTCCCTGCTCGACGCAAGTGCAAGTCTGCTGGCAAAGGTACATGGAGTACATCGATCCCCTGGTCAAGGTTCTGCATACGCCGTTGGCAAATACAGCAGTGGAGAAAGCACTTTCCAACTGTACTTCTTTGGCTCCAAGCGAGCAAGCCTTGCTATTCGCTGTATACTTTGCATCAATCTTGAGCATGCCCGCGGAGGACATCAGCGCCCTCCTCGGAATGGACAAAGTCGCCGCAATAAAAACTTATCGCGCCGCAACAGAACACGCGCTAATGCGAGCCAACTTTCTCGTGACGGATGATCTAGTCGTCTTACAAGCCTTTGTCCTATTTCTCTCGCTGAGCAGCTTCACCGACGAGGCGAAGCTAGTCTGGCCGCTCACGGGCATTGCGCAGCGCCTTCTAACCACGGACTCGACTGGCAGCGATGACCCGGTCTCCCAGGAAATCCGTCGCCGTCTTTACTGGCAGCTATGGTACATGGACAAACGGGCCATCGAGGACCAGGGCAAAAGCGCAGTAGACACGACGCAGGATACCGTTTCCCTTCCGCGCAACATCAGCGACACGGAATTAGATTTAGGTCATACATCCTCAACCACGCAGGAGAAAGGATGGACGGAAGCAAGCTTCCTTCTAATCCGACTTGATATCGCTAGAACGCGCTCATCGCTCGCCACTGCGCAATCCCTCTACGAAAAAGAACAGCTCATCCAGCGCTGCCATAACCGTATAAAGTCACGATATCTGGTTTCCTGTGACGGCAGCCAACCCATACACTGGTTAGCGAAACACGTCTCTAGTGTTCTCATCGCTGAGATGTGGTTCGAGATTCATAGCGCGGCATGCTCATTTACGCTTGGCGCCATGATTTCCTCTCGGAGCACGCGAGCCAAACTCTTCTCCACAGCGGTTAGTATCGTCGATATCCCTCGACGGGTGCATGAAGATCGCCAGGCGAAAGCGTGGAGCTGGTTGCTCAAGGGATACCTTCAGTTCCAGCCTTTGTGGTTTGTGGCGGCGGAGCTTTCGTCGCGGTCAATGGGGGATTCGCTCAGTGTGCGGGCTTGGGAAGTAGCACATACTGCGTTTGGGAGATGGCCGGAGGAGACGAGGAGAACGAGACAGGGGAAATTGTTGGATGGCTTGTTGAGAAAGTCGCAGGAAAGATGGAGGGGGATGCAGCAGGAGGCTGCGCTTGCTACGGCTTCCTTGTTGACTGTTCCTCTAGCAGATGAGGCTGTTCAGGAAAGTGACAAGTTGGGTCCGTCGTGTCAATAATAAAGCGATTCAGTCATGCTAGAATAAGCAAGCATGAATGTGGACCCATCCGACCAATCAGCATCCCTCTTTCAAAATATTTCATCATCCACTCCCCTGATGAAGATCCCTTGTTTGAAGTTGTTCCCTTCTCTCACTCCATCTCTACCTATCTCTACATCAAACAAAAACGACTAACAATGCTCCTCTCTCCCCGTTTCCACCTCTTTGAAATAGGCGACCAACTCTGGTGCCCCGACTGGGTTATCGCCTACATCCAATCCTATCTCACCAGCGTCTGGAACCTGCACATCCCACCCTTCAGCCGGACCTCCCCGGCAGGCATAGCCGCCGAGCTCGTCACCGAAAACCTACCCGATGCATCATCCTACACCTTTGTAGATTGCTGCGCCGGGGCAGGAGGGCCCACATCGACCATGGAGCGCGTCTTGAACTCCCGGCTCCAGGAACAGGGGAAACGGCCCGCGCGGTTTGTGCTAACTGATCTACATCCGAGGATCGATGCTTGGTCCGCTATTGCCAAAAAGCAGGAGCATGTGTTGTTTATCCCGGAGGGCAGGGATGCGACGTCTTGTGGGCGGGTGGCGGGCGAGGGGAAGGAGTGTCGGGTGTTTAACTTGTGTTTTCATCATTTCGATGATGCGGTCGCGAGGAGGGTATTGAGGAATGCGGTTGAGTCGGCGGATTCGTTTATGTAGGTTTTTTCTTTCTCTTCTGCTGAGTGAAGTCGTGGTGACGCTGACTTGGCAGTATTTTCGAGTTCGCGCAGCGCAACTTCTCCTCGCTGCTGAATATCCCTGTGATGGTGCTGTATCCGTTTTTCCATACGTTGCAGCGGTACTGGTATTCGCCTTTGCATCTGTTCTTCACGTATGTGGTGCCGCTGTTCTCTGTGGTCTGTTCGTTTGATGGGTTTGTGTCTACGCTGCGGTGTCGGACGCCAGAGGAGTTGAGGGAGCTCCTTCGGCAGCCGGGTCTGGATGCTTCTGGATGGGAGTTTACGTCGGGCAATCGCATGATGGTCTGGCCTTTTCTGCATATTTACTGGTTTATGGGTGTAAGGAAGCAGTGATATTTATTGTCAGTCGTGTCATCATTTAGGCAGACAGTTCTGCCACTCTTTGTTCTACCTCTTGTAGAACATCAAATCCAAGGACCGCTCGTTGTCGCGAAGACATCAGTCCGATCCAGTCTGTCTCTCGAGTTAGACCTGACCAGCTCAGAACAAAGTCGCGCAGTCGTTGTAAGATGCCATCTTCGAGGTGAAACCCGCCTCGGTTGCGGATGGCGCCCTGGACGTTCCGGGCAGTCCGGGCCTTTCGGATATCTTCGTAGAGTTGCAGTGCTTGTGGGATTCTGGATTTGTAGTCCTGCGAGGATGCTACGTGATGGAGTAACATCCCCAAAACTGCGCCATCTTCCACGGCCATGGCGGCCCCCTGGGCTTGATACGGCAGAGTCGGATGGCACGCATCACCAAGTAGTGTAACAGAGCCCTGGAAACATTTAACAAGTTGTCAACTAGGGATCAATCGAACAGACCTTGGTCCACCTCGGCAACTCAGGTAGATGAGACAGCTTCCACTTCAGGACGGTCGGGATACAGGAGATCATCTTCCCCAGCCTATTCGGTTTCAGTTTTCTCGACACTAGAGGCCAGGAAAAAAAAAAAAAGACGAACGTTGGATCCCACTCTCTATACCCATACCGCATCTCATCCACATCTCCCTGCGTCGTACGTACTCCCGGCGGCAGATCATCAGGCTGGAGCAGCACAAGGTTATACTCTTGTCCGCCGCGAACGGGGTAGAAGACGGCGTGTTTCTTAGGGCCCAGCCAGGCCGTTACGCCTTGTTTCTCGCAAAGCGCATTTACCTCTGGATCGTTCAGGGCTAAGAGCTGCGCTTGCGAAAAGGTAGCGCGATAGGCTAGGTCTCCTGTTTCTTCGGGTGGATGGGGTTCATCGAGGACGGCTTCGCGGATTTTGGACCAGAGACCTGTCTTATGAGCTTGGACATAAGGTGGAGGGATGGGAGTGAAAACGAACCATCAGCACCGATGATGACGTCGCCGGTGATGGTCTCTTTCCCCACGATGACTGCAGTCTCGTCGACGAGGATCTTCTCCACAAGAGCGCCTAGGCGAATCTCCACTCCGAGGTCTCTGGCCTTGTCGAGAAGGATCTGATGGTAATCCGCGCGATGGATGACGCTACACCCGTCAGCAGGCCACTGCAAATAACAAGGGATACATACATCCATGGCGCTCCATATTCCTTTACTATAGACTCACCACAGGGCATCGAGGTGATGATCCTCCCGTCTTTGTACCGCCGCAGATCCGTAAACTCCAGTTTCATGCCCTTTTCCTCGGTCTGAGCCAACAGACCTAGTTCCTGCATGATCCGGGCGCCATTTGGAGGGATTTGGATGCCAGCACCAACCTATTGTGTCATTTTCTGTCTAACAGTAGTATTGTAATTTGGAATGTTGATGCTTACTGGCAGAATCTCAGCCGATTGTTCCAGGATAAGTACGCCGAGATTCTTCCGGCGACATGCAATGGCGCAGGCCAGTCCGCCGATTCCTGCGCCTACTATAATGACTTTCATTGATTTACTTTATGTACTCCTTACCCCTTTTGCTATGCTGAGCTGAATGCCGGTCATTTGAAGACCTTGTGCACGCGGACAAGAGGAGACGTGAGAACAAAGAGAACGAGCGGTGAACCACGTGCGGAGGGGTTATCCCTGCTTTAGCATTGCATGTAAATACTGTCTACTTGACATATATCTGAATGATTGATAGCTTGACTTTGCGAAACTCAACTTGAATAATTGAGATCAAACCAACATCAGTACATTACTCTTATAGAGTTTCTTCACATGACTGCAAACATGCTTACCAGTCTCGTTACTCCGAGACAAATATATATTGGCACCAACTCGTGAGAGACCTGTCCATTCCTAGCTCTTCCGTTATTCGGCTGTTTGTACTCAAGTGGAGAAGATCAATATAGCCGTAGTATCGGATAGATTACTGTCTAGATAAGCCCTGACTCAGTTCCCGCCGGAACTTCCAAGCTTGTAAAAGCCTCCAATGAACCATGGATGTGGGCTCCCTTGTTTCAGATGCTGAGTCCTACTCTTGGCCTGCCCCTGAGACATTTCCGCTATTTCCTTTTGAGTTACTCTGAAACAGGCCGTTGCGAACTTTGAAGAGTTGCCTATCCCAGCAAGTTTCCCTTCTGTCAAGGGGTGAAGGGGATCCATTCCGATAGGCGAAAATTTCTGGCTATAAAGACTGGAGTTCGCTCTATATCCGTCGACCATATTCTTGACAGTTGACGCAGGGTGCAAGAGCTACACAAAATGAAGACTGCGGTTCTTTCTCTTTTACTGGCTCTCCAGGCCTATGCCCGGGTTACGGGCTCTCCCTCTGGCTTTGCTGCCGGGACTACAGGGGGTGGTTCGGCGACCCCGGCAGCCCCCTCCAGTCTGGACGAGTACGTCTCCCTTGCTCCTTCTGACACTGATTGCTCTCGACTAACTGTGTAGACTGGTGCAATGGATCACCGATGACACGCCTCGCGTCATCCTCATCGACCGGACCTGGGATTTCATCGGCACCGAGGGCACCACCACGGGCAAATGCTGCAGCATGCCATCCACGACAGTCTGCAACGGCGGCACCTCCAAGGGTCAGGCCTGGATCCAGGATCAGTGTGACGGGGGATCCTGGGTGTCGTGCACGTACGACAATGCCGCGCTGACGCCCATGGATGTGGGTTCGAACAAGAGTATCGTGGGTGTCGGCAACAAGGGTGTCATCAAGGGCAAGGGCCTGCGTGTGCGCAATGGAAACAAGAACGTGATTATCCAGAATATCCACATTACGGTGTGTATCTGTATCCCTTGACGCGTACTTGTACAAAGCTGATCAAGTAGAATCTCAACCCCCAATATGTCTGGGGCGGTGATGCCATCACCCTCGACAACGCGGACAAGGTCTGGATCGACCACAACAAGGTATGTCTTTGCACCCCTTGTAAAGAATTACTCTGACAAGGGAACTGGAAGATCTCTCTGATCGGCCGCCAATTCATCGTCAGCGGCTGGGGCAAAGCCGGCCACGTCACCATCTCCAACAACGAATTCGACGGCCGCACCTCCTGGTCCGCCGGCTGCAACGGCAAGCACTACTGGACTCTTCTCCTCCTCGGCGAGCAGGACTACTACACCTTCGAAGGCAACTGGCTGCACGATGTCTCGGGCCGCGCCCCGCACATGGGAACCGACCACACCAAGTCGCAGATCTTCTTCCACGGCGTGAACAACTACTTCCAGAATGTCGGCGGGCATGCCTTTGACATCGACACCAATACCTGGGTGCTGCTTGAGGGCAACTACTTTGAGAACGTCAAGACGCCGCTGACCGATACCAGCCTCAAGGCTGGCGGCAAGCTGTACACCACCTCCACAGTGAAAGCGGCCGGCGCCTGTCTGGATAAGCTTGGATATATCTGCGAGTGGAATCGCTTGGCGGGATCCGGTGCCTGGCAGGACCGTACTGATGCGGATGTCATGAGCAAGGCGGCTACGTACAAGACCAGCTTGGTGGGCCATTATGCTGTGGCGGATGTTCCTGCCAAGGTTGTTGCCAACGCTGGTGTTGGCAAGCTGTAATTATATTCTGTGTATATATTTTACATTCGTTCTTTTTTATGTATATATTTAGATTTTAGAGATGGGCTGATTCATCATCCGCATTGGGTTTGCGGAGGAGGGTCTTACATCAGAATGACAACTCGGTGATAAGCACCTTAAATACCAGCCACATCGTGCCAACATGTGAAACTCCACCAGTCGGAGTCAACATCAAACACTAAAAAATGAAGTCTATCCTGGTCACCGGCGCAACAGGCAAACAGGGTGGCGCCCTCATCAATGCCCTTCTAGACGAAGATGCCGACATGGAAATCCTGGCCGTCACCCGCAACCCGCAGTCCAGCAGCGCCAAAAAACTAGCCGACAGATCCCCCAAGATTAAACTCGTGCGGGGCGACCTCGACGACCCAGCGGGAATCTTCAAAAACGCCTCCCAAGTATCTTCCGAGCCAATCTGGGGCGTCTTCAGCGTGCAGGTTACTCACCCCAACCATTTGAGAGAATATTAGCTAACCCGCAGTAGACACCCATGGGCCACGGCCAAACCGTCGAAAAAGAAGAGCGCCAAGGCAAGAGCCTAATCGACGAAGCCCTAGCCCAAAAAGTCCAGCACTTCGTATACTCCTCCGTCGACCGCGGCGGGGACGCATCCACCGACAACGCCACCAAAATCCCGCACTTTATCAGCAAGCACCGCATCGAACATCATCTGTTCGAGCGGACGCAGGACGCAAACATGTCCTGGACGGTGCTGAGGCCGGTGTTCTTCTTCGACAACATCACCCGGGACTTTTTCGGGCGGCTTGTCGTCACGGCGTGGGACGCGTATCTGCAGGGGAAGCCGCTGCAGTGTATCGCCGTCAGTGATATTGGTTATTTCGCTGCGCAGGCGTTTCTCAATCCGGCAGAGTACCGGAATCGGTGCCTGTCGTTAGCGGGGGATGTGCTTACGTATGAGCATATGCAGGAGACGATGAAGCGGAAGACGGGGCGGGAGGCGCCGACGACGTTCCGGCTGGTTTGCTATGCTGTGATGTGGATGGCGAAGGAGATGAGGATTATGTTTGAGTGGTTCTATGCGCATGGCTACCGGGCTGATATTCCGCGGTTGAGGGAGATGCATCCCGGTTTAAAGGATTTTGAGAGGTGGTTGGAGGAGGATAGCCAATTTGTTAACCGTAGTTCTTAGTTCCTAGTACCTAGTTACCCTGTGTTATTACCCTGCAGTCTGTAACTGATAATGATAATCTTTGGTTGTTTTGTCTTGAGTGTCATGACTCCCTGCCCCCTCACTATCAGGCTGACGCCTTAAATGACGGACCCTGACGGACCCTGACGGACCCTGACAGAACCTGAATTAGAACCTGAATTAGAACCTGAATTAGAACCTGAATTAGAACCTGAATTAGAACCTGAATTAGAACCTGAATTAGAACCTGAATTAGAACCTGAATTAGAACCTGAATTAGAACCTGAATTAGAACCTGAATTAGAACCTGAGGAACCTGGCCTGGAACCTGACCTGGAAGCTCACCTTGACCCACATGAAGAGTTGTTTTAATCTAATTTTCGCCCAAGTCCTCGACCCCCAAGTATATAGTCTCGTTGCTTTCAAGGGATAAACACACAATATACAGAGTAAATATAGGATAAACAGATTGAAAATAGCATTAAGATATTAGTATTCCTATATGAGCTTCCAATTAGCCAATTTGATTCTAATGGTGGCCGTTGAAATATATTCAAAGAAATGTTGATCAGGATGGTGGTGTAGTACTCACTGTGAAATATATATTTCTCGCTTCATACAACACATCAACCACAACTTCTACTATAATTAACTACCAAGGGCCTGGAGGCCACTAAATCTAATTGGATATAACATTTGCTATGCTAGGTATTCTATATACAGACGAATTTCGTATAATTTCACAAGGGATAGGGTGACATCGCCATGTTCATAGACATTATGACCAGAACAGCGGTAAATTAACTTACAGTACAAAATCTGGATGAATCATCATTTTATCCATCCGAAATAGGAAAATCTTGGCAAAATTATGCATATCAGGTTCCGTCAGGTTCGACTCAGGTTCGAACCTGACGGAATCGCGACCCGACTCAGGGTCCAAAGTTTGGAACCTGAGAACCTCAGGTTCAGGTTCGAGGTTCCGACCTTTGGAACCTGAGTCGGACCATTTCGAGGCCTAGTCATTAGCATCGAGGAAGTCTTCCACATCTTTTAAGATGTAGTCGTCCAATCGGAGGATTTCGATCTGGAATCTTATTTCAGAAACCGGGCGGCATGGGGGAAATAGAAGTAACCCTATATGTATCCATTACGATTGTGTATGGCAAGTATCCCTCCCTGAGAATTTTAGACGACGGCCAATTAGCGGGAACGATCAGCTGGATGATCACAATTTTCATACAAAGGTGGAAGCTATATAATAGCGCTGTAGTACATGCGGCTAAAGCTACGGCTCTATTCAACTAGCAGCCTGGTGGAACCGAATACTCGTTAACATTATCCTCCTGGGCGCCAAATCCCAGTCCCCTACTAGCAAAAGTTCGCCAGAGTATGCAATAGTTCTCCCCGCTATATCTGTTGTGGTCGGCTTGTATAATGGCATCGCGTGCAGTAATGAAGGTGGGTTCGCAGGGCTGTATGGACAAGCCGTCCACAAGCAAATGCATATACACAACATTGCCGCTATCTCCAGTTGAGTCGGTTAGGAAACTAGAACTCCAGCCACGGTTATCCACCAGGGATGCTAAAACGTTGTGCAGCATATTCGCCCATACTTCTCCGATGTCATCGCGCGCTGCTGAGGGTGGCCCGTCCGTGTATGTAAGCGGGTTGACACTCGTATCCCGTGAGTATGGATAACGTCGTATTCCGACGGTGTTATTCATCACATAGGCGCCCAGAACTAAGTCCTGTACAGAGTCCATTTGTTCAACCCAATCCGCCACAGCATCTCCCCAACCCACCAGCAAGCCCGACGATGTTGAACTGGCGAAGCAGGCTGCGGACCCTCCACCGGTGAGGCGATTTGCCATGCCTTGTGCGTATAAGCTGGCAATTAGGTCGTCTTCCAATGCACTATCACGGTCTGGACTAGTGTAGTCAAAGAGGGAAAGCTGCATTTCGCCATTTTTCCCATCTGGTGGTGCGTAGAAATTGACTTTATTGGTATCATGATCGTCCTGTACCGAAATAGTGACGCGGTCGTTTCCCTGCCCTCCCTTCCCAAAATTATCGTCTTGGAAGTTGAATGCTGCTTCAGTAAAGCCGTAAATATAGAAAATATCATGCAAGGTATTCACAACATAGAATGCGTTCGTTATGGCCGCGCCGAGATTCTGTGGCGTCGCTGGTGATGTGGTCTCATCGTGGTAATATGCAAAGATACCGGGGCTAGTTTCAACTGCCACGTTCGTTTGAGCTCCTTTGAATGCCAATGCATTGTTTCCAGAGGTATTAGTCGAGTAAACCCATCCATTGGGACTCGATCCAGTTTCTGGGTTCACGACGAAGTCAAATCCGTCTGTAGGGTCATTTCTCGTAATAGGCACCACTTGGTAGGATAACCGCTTCTGCAGAGTGTTGCGGGTGGAAGACTTTGCATCAGATCCCCTTCCAACTACTCGTACCATTTTGTCCGCTAGCAACTCAATGTCTCCCGTTGCTGTATTAACTCTTGCATTTCAGCGGTGATTTGCCTGCCGGAGAGTTATATCCCATACGTGAGCCAAGGAGCTGTCTGATCGTTGCATGATTGACTGTTGTGCCGTAGCTGCACCATCTTCAGCCAGAGTCATAGGAATATTCTCAATGACGAGCGTAGGAGCATGAGCTTCATCGGAGGACAGCGTAGAAATACGCACTTTTTGGAGTGCATTGTCGTCAATTTCTGCATTGAGGTGCTCGCTCAACGTCTTCAATGCAGACTTCAGCGAGGCATATTGATCAGAGCGAGTTGTCAAGCTCCGCCTACTCGAGCGTACTATTTCGCGCAGCTCGTGAATTGGTGCGAAGGCATGGGAGGACGATATAACCCTTCCATGATCGTCGATGTTTATGTTGGTGAGACTATTGATCAAGTCGAGCCCGTCAGAGGTCTGACGTACGTAGACATGGCTGACCCCAGTGTCTTTATTAGTGTAAGCATCTGTAACTCTGACATTTTCAGGCCGGATCCCGTGGCTGTTCTGCAGATAGGCCAAGGCGATGCTGTGCGACTCATCCGTGTTGTCAATTGCGCGGCGGTTAGATGGCCTAACTTCCACGGGTGCATCGTAGATTTGGAAGTGGGCGGTAGGGTACGGCTCGCGAATCTCTAGCACACCATCACCGGTCTTCAAACCGGCAACACGTATGTCCGCGAAGCAAGCAACTAAAAGGACTGTGGCGAAAAACATTTGGGATGCTCTGTTCCGCTTGCTTAGTAACTTTTACTGAGTGAATTAGAGTGCTACGTGTGCTTGAGCAGTGGATTTTATAGCCCCATGCGCTGCTTCTGCCAGGCTATGAACACAACTGCCCGAATTTGTTTTCTGAGTATGCGAGTCGTCAGCGGGGCGTGGGCACTATTGACTACTATTGATAATCGCGGCATTTTTCGATGCTGAAGTAGGATTGATTCGGTGGCGAGACTGAGGTTTGTTGGGCTTGTTTGGTTAAAGTTCAATACTTATTTTTGTTATGCAAGCCACTGAAAATTATTCAAATTCGGCCATGCTACCCAACGAATCAGAACTGTCACTATCATTAGGGACCATCGATAGAATTCATAAATAGAAAAACAAATATGTTCCCTAGGACAAGGTAGGTTAAGGCATATACTCCTAATAAGTATGTCTGCAGATCATCCGCCAACAAATCCAAAACCTTCTAATCAGTCGCAGTGCGGTCTTCTTGTGTGATCTTGAATAATTGTTTATTCTTTTCCTAACTTATTGTAAGGATCTACGTATCAGGGTAGATGGCCTGTTGACTAGGTAAGAATTTGTAAAGGCTTAGCTGCAGCCCAGCCACTCAATTATGCAGCCACCCCTTGCTTCCTAATTATTTTCAACCTCCTGTTTTCACACCTTGAGCTGCTTTCAAATCATTGCTGAATGCATCTAGGATAGATAGTAAAGATAAATAGTATTCCCCTTATCTGGTATTTAAGAAGATAAGGATTAGTTTTTATTTTATATAATCTACTACTCTCTACTATCCTCTTCTATTAATTATTATTACTAATTCTTACCTAGTCAACAGGCCATCTACCCTGATATATAGATCCTTATAATTTCTAATCCTTCTTTCTTTAACTACTTAAGTATTAGTTATAATACCTGCTAATTTTTACTATAAAGCTATTACTTCTACCCCTTTACTAGTAGAATAATATGGTCCTATTAAAGAAATATCTCCTAATCTAAGTAACTCCTCTACCCCTACTAATTAACCTTAAGAGTTAAAGGGTACTAAAATATAATAAATCCTATAATAAATTACTAAACTTAAACACCTTTAATAGATTTAAAGAGTTAATAAGTTTAAATAGCTTTCTTATTAAAATAACACCTCTTTAATAGAAGATAGGTAGGAAATTAAATTTAAGAATCTTCCTATCTTTACTATTAAATATTTACTCTAGAAAAGAGAAGAATGGCTCTAAGATATAGAATATATATTCTAAGGAGCCCTAAAGAAATATACCTCTAATAAGTTTAAAATTATTACTACTATTATATAAATAAACTCTACCTATAGGTAGTAATAGTATATTAGAATTTATAAAATATTAATAGAAAGATAATAAAATACTAAGAATTTATAGCTATTTTTTAAAGACTAGACCTTAAGCTTAATCTAAGACACTAAAACTATTAAGGCTAATATTATTATTAAATTATATTAAGCCTATTAATACCTAGATAAGGACCCTAGAGAATTTTATTATATCTAGATTCTCTAGAATAATATTTCCTTTAATAAGATAAAAAGTAATAAGCTCTAGCCTTTTTTAGTAGTCTTATACTAAAGTTATATACTTATATTTAAGAACATCTTAATAAACTACTAGATACTTAAGATAAAATAGTATCTATAGCTTTAAAATACTATACCTTTTTATAAAAATAATAGAAATAGAAGAGAAAAGACATTAGAAAGCCTTAAGAAGGGAAATCTTAAGATAGTAACCTATTAAAATACTTTTAAAGGAATTCTAAGAGGTTTGTAAAACCTAAATAAAACTAACTTAATAAAGATAGGAATCCCTTAAAATACTATAAATATAATAATAAAGAATATCTTACTAACTAGTACATTATAAGGGATACTAAAGTCTAATTAATTATAAAAAATAATAAGGGGTTAGAGTAAAATCTATGCCTCTAACCTCTTACCTAGTAGTAGGGACTACTACTTATTTCTATATTCTAATATAGCTAGCTAATAGCCTTAAAATATACACTAATCTTAATAGCTATACTAAGGTTAATATTATTAGTATTACTTTTATAAAATTATAAAAGCTATAGCAAGCTAAACTTACTACCCCTATTATTAAAGTAGTTAATAACTTTGTTACTCCTACTTATAGGGTTTAGAAGGTTCCTATTATTACCCATAATTCTAGGGCATTAGGCAAAGCTTTAAATAAGCTTATATAGCTATTAATCAAGACCCACAACCTAAAGGGTGTAAGTATCTATGTATCAGGGTAGATGGCCTGTTGACTAGGTAAGAATTGGTGATGATAATCAATGGAAGAGGATGGTAGAGAGTAGTAGATTATATGAAATAAAAACTAATCCTTATCTTCTTAAATACTAGATAAGGGGAATACTATTTATCTTTACTGTCTATCCTAGATGTATTTAGTGATGATTTGAAAGTGGCTCAAGGTGTGAAAATAGGAGGTTGAAAATAATTAGGAAGCAAGGGGTGGCTGCATAATTAAGTAGCTGGGCTATAGCTAAGCCTTTATAATTATACCCTCTCTAGTTATAATAACTGTCCTTAGTTGGAGTTATATAACTTTAAATTTTTCTAAAGAAGTAAATAATATCACAATAGTTAACACAATGTAATATTATTAATAGAGATAACTAATTATAGGGTAGATATAATGCTTCTGTTATGTTAGCTTTATATATTTTAAAATTTATTATATTCTTTGTTGTTGTGTACTGTGGTGTGGTAGTAAATAATATTATTATAGGTAATAACTATAGTATATTTATCTTAATTATATCTTTGTTTATATTTTCTCTTCTTTTACTTTTATATATTAATACTTCTCTTTTATATTATAGTATTTTCTTTAGTGTTATGGTTGCTTTTTATTTATTAATACCTAATATTTAAGTTCTCCTAAACCTTATAATATCTTATTTATTTCTGCTGTATTTTGCTTCCTCTTTATATTTCTTGCTGTTGAGTTTCATTATAGCTAATACTATTATTTATAGAAAGTATTAGTATATATATTACCTTTGCACTGTATTAAAGAACTTTAACCCCTAAGGGGGTCTTCCTTTTAAAGTTAATTATAAGTTTATAGATAGCACTTCTATAAAGTGTATCTAATATAACACCCACTATTCTCTCTATGAACCTGTATATTATATTAGTCCTATATATTATTTTAGTATTAATAGCTGTTTCTTAGGCTGTGCCTAGTATGGCTGGGAATGCCCTTAACCTGTCTGCTATTATTAAATGGTATACTAGGTTCTTTAATCCCTAGTATACCTAGGACTAGAGTCTTTTTATAGACTTTTTAGTCACTCTTCTTAGGCTTATTAATACCTTTAAAAATATAGAGTAGAGCTACTATTAGTTGCATAGCATTATAGGAAAGAAAAAGAAATAGTGTATAAGTTTCTAGGTTGACTTATTACTATAGCACTATCTTGATGCTAATATTCTTATAGAGTGATAAGTATAATAAGTTCCTTAAAGGTCATTATACTAAAATAGCTTATATTCAGTACCTAAATACTGGGGCTACTGCTAATAAATAGGCTATATATTATTTAGCTAAAGCTCTTTAACTTATGCCTAGTGATACTAGGTATATAGCTTAGGCTACCTCTCTTCTCTTCTTTATAGAGGAGGTTAAGGTGATTAGCATCTATTTCTATAGTAATAAAATAGTGGTTACTAGCTAGACTTACTTAGCTAATATTAATTAGTCTTTTTATTTAGTACTTAAGGATATTTAAGTTAGCATTATATTCTACCTTTATCTATTATACTTAGCCTTAGCTAAGTCTTTCTAGCACCTTTACATTAGTTAATAGTAGTAATTCTTTTCTTATATTTCTATATTACTTCTTGTGCATTAGTTATATCATTAGTATGAACCCACTAATTATATTCTAAAGGCTAGTCCTTCCATTTAATTAAATAGTATTATTTATTTCTGATAATATGGTTATCCTTAATCTCTTTAACTTCCTATTCATTATTATCTTTAAGCTCTAGTATTAGTAGTAATTAATCATGCTTTGCCCAATTCCATGGTTCTAAGTATAATATATAAAAGATATTATAAATTTAATTATATTTTATAGGCAAAGTAAGATAATATGCTTATAAACTAATAGCACCTAGCACATAAAAAGATTTAATAAAAGTAGGAGCTAGCTTCTTACTTAGGACCTTTAACTTAAGATTCTTTATTAATAGTCCTACTAGTTATCCTTTTTCTAATATTAACTCCTTATAATATTTATTATAGTGCTTTACTTATATTTTACTAGCTTTGCACTATTATTCCTTCAATCTTTCCTGAAGATCTGAAAGTTTTTATACTTATACTATTATAGCTAGGATCTCTCCCCCTACAGTGCCATCCTTGGCATGTATATAGAAGTCTAGATTATAACCTAGTAAGATTTTAAATAGGGATTTACTTAGCAACACATTAATTACTCTGTTTATAGTAAACTTAGCTTCTCTTAGTAGAGTTGCCCAGTTATTTTGTTCTTCATTAATAAAATAATGGAGATATTTTTTAAGGACTTAGTTTATCTATTCTATTTAGCTATTAGTTTAGAGATGAAATATAGTTAATAGCCTTTATTTAATCTTTATAATATAGCATAATTTTACCCAGAATTTATTAGTAAAGACTAGTCCTTAGTCTGAAATGATGCTGTTAGGTGGTCTAAATTTTAATTCAACTTCTTGATGGAATAGTTTGGCTAGTTCTACTATAGTTATTATTATTAAGATAGGGAAGAGGAGTGACTATTTAGAGAACCTATTAACTATAACTAAAATACTATTAACTAGATTAATCCTATATAATACTATTAGAAGTCCAGTTATGAAATCCATTAATAGTTTGCTGAATAGATAGGATGGTTGTAGTAATGAATTAAGCTTGCTATAAGGCCTATGCCTTAGTGCT